ATTGTTTTTCCTTTCTACCTGTTTCTTTCACTGTATTTTCGTCCTTCTCTGTCATTCCCTATGTTAAGTGGATCCTTTAGGCTGTTAACGGATCCACTTAAAGACTAATGTATGGGGCCTGGCCCATTAACTCATGTAACCTGTACTTAAGAGGGAAACTAAGATAATTGATGTAAGAATTTGGAATCGTGGGAACTCTGTTCCAAGAAGTGGTGACTGATTCATCTTCCTGGAAGAGGAGGATCGTGAAGATCGACTCCTTTCATTCGCCAAGTTGCAATAATCTCAGGCAAGATCAATTCTCAACAATAGGTTATCATTAACAAGCCCATGATCTCAGCTGTTCACTAGGGTAAAGAGATCGTTATTACTTACGCTGATATTTTGGGGGAAAATGGTTCTTTTATGGTTTTCTTTTCTCCAGAGATTTACAGAATATCATCAGCGAGAGATGAATGGAGAAAGAATCAGTGATTGCTACATAATAAAGGTTTCAATGAAAAGCATTACAACGTCATGGTTTGTTAATAAAAATTATAAATCCACTTTGTGACAGCTGCATTTCAGTTTGTATAAACAAGAATATTGAGGGCAATAGAAGTGTAGATCAACATCCCACATATTTAACAGTCTAAAATATACAAACTAATTGTCCTTAAGATCCATTGAAAGTTCCTGGAGACTGATATCAAATGGAAAATCCTACTTCCCATGCTTACACCACGAGTTAAGTAAATACAGGATTATAGGAAAGAAAGTGTCAGTCAGGACTGAAAGTAAAAGACATTTACGAATCCCACTTATAAGGCATAACACATGAAGGCTAGATCGGGAGAAAGGATAAGAAATGGAGGAAAGTGATCTTTAAAGCTAAGTTGCCACGTTCCATCTTCTGATCTTTAATTTGACGCTTATTACCAAGCAAGTCATTCCCACCTTCACCGGTGTAGATAATGTCTTTGGAAATATCCAAATCATCTTCATACATACCTCAAAACACAATGCAGATGGCAAGTGGAAAGGAATACTCGCTGTACTCTGCCTAAAAAAATAATAAAAAAAGAAGAAATTGATGAGAAAAACATGTTTCAAGTTCCAGTAAAATATCAGAAAAAAAGGTAGTTCTTCTAAAAAAAACGTCTAGTGACGTTTCAGGAATTGAGAAATGTAGCAAATGTCAAAAGGCACTGTAAATTAATGAGATTACAAGGACCTCCATGATGACAGAAAATCTACACTAAATGACACGAACTCCAGGACCAAAAGAGTTTACCAAAAGCATCTGTAGGATGCTTTTGGTAAGCATAATTATTGTTCCGGTTGTATTTTTCAGGAAGAGGTAAGAAATTAGCAGTTTCCTACTAAGAGAATGAAAGGACAGTACAACATTTGTTTCCCACAATAGCTTTAAGTGGACCAGCTTTTGCATAAAATTAGCAATGTTCTCTCCTTCTCACTCTTTTTTCCTTATTTAAAGTAAAGGAACGAAACACTGTTGTTACACTTTGGTTTTTTATTGAAGTAGATAAGGCCATATTTTCTTTAGCAAAAGAAAATGGCCAGTTCCAACCGTACAACATCAGCACATGAAGATCATTGAACATTGAACTCATGCACCTTGGCTAAATTGCTCTAAAATTATTCATCTCCTCAAATTTCTCTCCTATAATAATCATATTATCAATGTCAACCAAGAGAATCAGTATCTGAATATCTTTCAATTTAATAAAAAGTGACTTCTCTTCCTTGCTTGAAAGTTATCAAAATTTAATCATAACGCAGCAAAAAAGCACGGTGGGCTGATAAACCTCATCTACCATGATTATAACATAAATATGAGAAAAGGCCATTTTCTTTTGCTGAAGAAAATTCTCTCTTTCTCTCTCTCTCACTGAAGATCCCAACTACAAGAAGCCAGAAAGAAGCCAGAAAGAAGCCAAAGCGGTGTGGCGCTGTCAAGGTCTATGACTTCCAATTTCACTCCCGCCGAGTTGAGGAGCTGGTCTCCGAGATGTGCAGCACTGGCGTCTTCGACGCTGCAGAAGGCCATTCCGGGAGTGCTTGAGCCCCTCTGCTGTGAAAATGGCGGTCTAGGGGCCTCCTGCGCCGGATAAAAGGCATAGGCCTCTGATATCTGATCCTCTGCCACCAGATGAACGCTTTCTGGACACGTTCGCCCCGGAGAAACCCTGAAATCCAGTCCCTGCTCGGCGGCCACCAGCATAACTTCTGCAACAGATCCGACTCCATTGACTGAGGACAGGTGAGGCACCTGTCCGACCCCAGAGTCAACTCATCATTGAACAGCTTTTCAAAACCGAGAATTTCCTCATTAGAGACAGGGGACCCTCTCCGGACCTATGGCAAAGCATATATTTCAAATCATATCGACTACATCTGATAACATTGATCAATCAAAGAAAGAAAACCAAAAACATTGGGCTGAAGCGTGAAACACATTTAACCCCAAATACAACAGAAAACTTTACTTTGTTCAAAAATTCGTCAAGATCTTCGGCTGCCCCTCCTCCCCCCCCCCTCCCCCTCCCAATTGAGATGTTTATCATCTCTCCTCCTTTGCCTGTTTGACCTTGCATGATTGTGGTCGGCCCCATGTGTCCTCCGTTCCCTCCTACTCGATTCTTCTTCCCCATTGCCTCTTTCCTTGAATCCCCCCTTCCTTACAGAAGTATGTTGAGATGTTGAAGCTTGCTTCCCTACTTTGCAACTTACTCAAGATGTTAGTGGTAGCGTGAAGAGGGGGTGGGTCAGCTAAGGCATAAGATACTTTTTCCACGTTTGCATCATGCGCAATGGTGGTTCTATATATGAATGCACATGTTGCATTGATAACCTGGATTATGCTTTGTTCTGAATATTTTCTGGCTGCTCTTAAAGGTGGTCTGTAATGTATCTGGGGAATCAACTACTCTTGGAACTTAAATAATCCTAGGACTAAGCAGTTTGCTTGGAGAGCTGCTGTGGAAATGAGCAGGAGTGCAGCTCAGCTTGCTCTCCAGGTCATTCCTTTGTCATGTCTTCAAGAAGTGCTCATTCTTATTTGAAAAAATGATGATTTTTCCGTGGTTAACCTTTTTTCTGATTGCGACTGTATCAGGTCAGGCGTCTTGATGCTCACATAAGATGGAAGGATCTTGTTCGTCCGGATCTAATGGCTTCAGAGGGTAGAGCAACAGAAAGTGAAACTTCTGCTTTCAGAAATGCAGTCATCAGTGGGAAACAGGTGGTGGAGAACAAAATAAGATATCCACTGGCTTTTGGTGGACAAAGGCACCTTCCTTCATGCGTGATGAAAAATGTCTTGGAAGTTGAGACTGATCAGGTTGGAAAGGAGAGGTTGTGGTTTTCTGAAAATAATGTTCCGCTGTATCTGATAGAAGAGAGCGAAGAGAATGGAAAAGGTGTTCCATTGGTCACCCATAAGAAAGTTACTCGAAGATATTTACCAGAATTTCAGAGACGGCAGCTAAAATCCTTTCGGAGGGATATTTTCTCGTATCTCTTTCATAAGGTGGAGAGGCCAATCAGGTGTTCCTGTGCTTCATGCCATCGTGATGTGCTAGTCGGGTATGCTTTCTTACTTCTTGATTCATGATAATAACACTTTGGACATGCGAGTTTCTGACAGGTTCTCACTTCTTTTGTCTAATTTTCTGTCACCAGGGAGGCTGTCAGGTGCAGTGCTTGTCAAGGTGATCTTTCTCCAGCCCACAATTTTCTTCTGTATTTTTTGCTTTGGCCTGCTGAAGGCTAATGATAACTGTAAAAGAAGCTAAAACATTTTAACTTCCTAATTTTGCGTTATTAGGTTATTGCCACAAGACGTGCCTCGTACATTCCAATGCTTACATGAAAGTTGATCCAGAAGGCGCTCCTCTGTGTAACCAATGCAATGTCGCCCTGTACTCAGTAGTCGTCAAGAAGGGAGAGTGCGTAAATGGTCAGATGTCTTCTCTGAAAATAACCCAGTCCGACAGTACGGTGGAGAAATATTATGGCTGCCCCATCCCGTTTCCAGCCGTTCTCAGCCCGGGCGTGCAATCCAAGGCGCGGCCTCGTGCTTCGAAGTCGGAGTCAAGACATAGACGATTAGTGTTTCTCAACCATGGCCTTGTATGGAAGAGAAAGAATGATGTTGAAAGCGCTGAGCAGTTCAGGCTCAGACACATCATCCCTAGAGGTGGTGGGGACAGTGATCCTCTGAGAAGGCCCATCTGTACCCTATGTTTTAAGGATTACAATCCGTCCGCAGTGTACATCCGCTGCGAGAGATGCTCACGTAAGGCTATCGTGCGAGATTCCACTTGTTGCCTGTACGTGGACTTTATATAATCCTCTCACCGGTGTGTTCTATTATTTCATTTCTTCTGCAGATTGGGTACATGCGGATGCCGCGTTGCTGGAGGAAGACCGAATGTCGAACTTGATAGGTTATAAATGCTGCAAGTGTCGGTTATTGGATCTTGGGAAAAACACCTTTCAATTTCTTGAACGTGGAAGGTCTGTCCAATCTTTTCATCTTACTAGGTGTGATGCCCACTGAAAGGTATTATGTTTACATCTTTCCATCTATACGGCTGATGTAGATCAAGTCGGTGTTCTCGAATCTGTCTTAAATGCTTTCATGAGATAGGTTTACGTTCTATTGTGACTAGGTGCATTAAATAGATGGTTACAAAACACGCCAGGTATTAGCAGTCATGGAGTAACGATCAGGACTCACCAGCAATGAGTTTCCATTGCGAGGTGCGATTCTAAAGATGTAAAACTATGATTCTGATCCGGATGCGGTGAGCTCTTACACGGGATAACAAAAGATGACTTGGGAAGACGCTAAGACAGCGGTTGGTGACCTGCAGGGCATATGTAATCTAATCTCGCGCACAGTCTCTTTTTTTACCGCACCGACCGGGGACATCACCAACCATCTTATTGGAGATATTTATTGCTCCGGTGTACCTGATTCGAGATGTTATCGGCTATTTGGGTGTGGACTGTGGCCCCTCGCTCTTCAGGAAGAGCTTATGGTCAATGTGCTGGGCGAACGTGCGAGGCGGGAACTTAGCCGTCGACCCCTCGTGAACAAGCGCGTCTAAGGGCTTGAGGATGATCTTATCTGGCGGCGGCTCGCAGAAAACAGACCAGGAGATGCGGACCTTCTCCCTGTTGACGAGGACACGGTGAAGGATGCTCTTGTACCTCCCGTTGCTGAGGATCTCGATGACGTCGCCGACGTGCACGATGATGGAGTCTGGAACGCATCCGACCGTCACCCACTCGCCTGCATAGTAGGCCTGAAGGCCGGGAACCATGTTGTGCACGATGAAGCTAAGGGCGCTCACATCCGTGTGGGCCGGCACACCCACGGCCATGTTTGGCTGTGGGCAAGGCGGGTAGTAGTTGATCTTCATCTGCAGAAGGAGATCACTCATCCCGCCCACCTCCTCCTCCAGCTTGCCTTCCTCTAGGCCGAGCCCCGCGGATAGAATGGCCAATATATTGCTAACCACTGGCCTAAGCTGCCGTACGAATTCCTTCGTCTCCTCACTGTAGGCAGTAATGGAGGCGGAAGAGAATGACACTCAACTCATTGAAACCAAGGAAATAAAGAGAAAAAAAAGAGAGAGCCAGAGGAGGAGGACGTGGAGATCGTTACGCGTAGTTGGCGGGCTCTTTCGGCCAGATGGAGTAGTTGGCCTTCTCCTCTGGGTAGACGAGGTGGAAGAAGTAGTCCTGCCACGCTCGCCGGCCGTTGGCATTGTTTGCGAGCTTGCTGCCGTAGCCTTGGATATTCCCCGACGACTGGTCATTGGCGTAACGCTCCTTCTCCTCTATGGGCAGCGAGAAGAATCTCTCCCCGGCCTCCTGCATGCGCTTGATCAGCTCCTGCGGGATGCCATGGTTCACAATCTGCATCATCCCCCAGTTCGACGCCGCCTCCCGCACGACCTCCGCGCAGCTGCGTCGCTCCTCTTCGTTCGTGGACCGGATCTTGGCGAGATCCACCGTTGGAATCTGTGGCCCAGCATCCAAATTCTTGGCTGCGTCAAGCGCATCGGCGAGGCTAGCGCACTCGTCCTCCGATCTGACGTATTCGGCGGGAATGGTGGCGATGCCGCTGGCCGCCAAGCTCTCAACTCTTACTGGTCCGGGGAGAGCCCCGGAGCCAGCCGTCATAACCATGGTGGACATGATGCCCGTTTGCTCTAGGGAGAGAAGCGGCCGTAGCGCTGTGCGCTTCTAAGAGTCTCTGGAAGTGAGGTTGATGCCATCGCTTCTATTTAATGGGCAGAGAGGGGATCATGTAAATGACGAGCAAGAATTGGCCACGTCCACTGCTCGTCTAATGCCTCCACGTTGGGAATGACTTGTTGTAGGTACGATGTGTGGCCTACATTTCCTAGTAGGTAAGATGTGTGGATCAAATTAATGGCCATAGTCCATAATTCACAAACCATTTAATTCAGTACATAATTAAAAATCTAGTCAGTACATAATTCGCAAACCATTTAATTAAAAATTTCAGTAAATCATGAAAATATTTCAATAAAAAATTATAAATAATTTATCAATGTAAATTTAATTTGAATCATAGAATTTTTACTTCATATATGAGGTTAACAAACTTTATGCTATCATTATCATAGTAATATTTGAAGATAATGGTTAATTGATATTCAGTATCATTAAAATTTGACATCGTAATACTTTTATTCAAAATATCTCTAATCAAATGATGTGTTTCATTTGTGTTTCGTCCTAGAGTATATAAATGAACTTTTAGCTAAATTAATCCCTCTTTCATTATAAAACATAATTGGGATTATTTTAACTCTCTTTGGTAATATTTCAATTTTTAATTTCACTTAAAAGACTTATATTTGACTAAATCTTGTAGCAGTATATTTAGATTCAGCTATGAACAATTCAATTGTTGTTTTTTTATTAGATCCTTGAGAAACCAACATCCCTTATAAAGCACAACCTATTTCTCCTTTTCTTGTCAATTAATATTTTTAGTGAAAGAAGGATTATCTTATGCAACTAGTTTCATAATACACTTTTAAATAATCAAATTCCTAAATCACATGTGCATGCAATGTATCTAAATATTCTTTTAATTATAATCAATTGTGATTTTTTCAGGTAACTTTGAAACCATGCATATTGATAGACGCTACCCATTATATGAGGTATACCTGCCACTAAATACAACTAAGATCATATCCTGCCTCTGTAGGTTTTTGTTACACAAGTTTTATAATGTTGTCAAGATCAATTTTGATCTTTCTATTCATAGGGGTTTCCTTTTCCTCCCTCTGTAAAAATATTATCCCTCTAATTGTTACTTTGCATATTATAATTGAGAAATAAAACTTACATCTTTCAATCATTTCATTTCTAAACTAATAAAATACTAAGTTCACTCATAATGCTCATCTCAAACTCATCTTTCATGATATTTGAAAAACTAAGAACTAGGTCATCCACATACACTTGAACAATAAGTATATGTTTTTAGTTTTCTTTGTTAAATACAATGGTTCCTATATTAGAATTATTTTTTAATAAAAAAGATGTTAGTCTGTCATATCATGCTCTAAGAACTTGCTTCAATATATATTAATACATTCTAAATACTATATTTTGATAATTTCTAAATTAATAAAAGAATATTAGAATTTTAACTTCATAAACTCTCGATAAAATCAAAGAAAAATTTATTTTTCAAACTTTAACTTCACGTTAATTTTCTCTAAATTTTAAAATATTTCTCAAGGCTTCAAACTGTGGATAATCATGTTAGTATATGGACTAAAAATCAGAAATATATTTATAATGAAACATAAAATTCCAAACACAACATAAATTTATCACATAATTTTCAAGCTATACTAACATGTATTAATTTTAATATTGATATTTTACATTGATTGAGTTTTACCTTAGTTATTAAATAAAAAATAAAGCATTATGAGAAATGCATCAATGATACGCCATATTATCCACACAACTATTGTTAGCTTACAAATAATTCAATTAAAAAACAAGTAGCCAAAACTACTGAAACAAATAAAAAATATTCGAAACAACATAAAACCATTTTCCATTAGCACAATAACTATGTTACTAGTGAAAAGTCCCCATTTATTTGATTCAATTAAGCCCCATAGTCGTACAAAGAATTTACAGAAAGAATTTACTTTAATGAATGTCAAATTAATCTACTATATATTAAAAATGACTCAAACACACTTCATAATACAAGCAATTTGTAATTTAAATTTCAAAAGTGATAGAGATCGTTTATTTTTCTCATGTGAATCATGTAAAAGCAAGTCAATTATGTTAACACTTTAAAGCATTGCTTTTCCATAAATTGTTCAAGTTTACGATTCTATGAATTTCTAACATCAAAATTTCATTTAAGAATGCAGGTTATTGAATATTTAATTTGTGGAATTAGAGGGGTATTTTTCATTTAAGCCTGGCTCTTGGTGAAGAGTAGGCAAAAGCTATGTTTATTGTCAAAGTTGTGTAGAAAGGAACATAATAGGAACAAAAAAGCCACTACAACTGAATCTAGGTTCACCCTTAGAGTTTGATCAATGAAAAATACTTAAAAATAATGTCATTTTTCTTTCTCAATCTAATGTTAAAGAGAAATTTCAAGATTCCACTCATTCACACTATGCATGATTTCGTTTGGGAACAAAAATGATGTAACATTAAAATTCTCACTACACCAATATAATATCTTCTAATAAATCAATGAAAAAATAAACTAGTTAGGTTATTGAAACATAAATATAATTAAGGCAACAGATGATTAACATGAAAATAATTCATGCAATCAACCAAAAATAGCACATTTGTTTTCTTGACATTTTACCTATCTCTTCACTACCTTTGACATCCTTACTTAGTTGTCTTGTATTTGTTTCTAAGGATCATGCAATCTATACTTCAAACACATCTACTTCATGCCCTTTATGCAAGCACGAATACAACAAATATGAATTAATATATAAAAAATAGAAAAAAGTATATTTTAAAATAAAACTCTGAAGAAGTAAAGCCAAAAGATAACTTCCTAGCAAAAACATATGTCAGCTCAATTATCAACACAAAATAAATAAAACATCTGATCATGTTCTATTGAAAATAATACCTTGAGATGAAAGAATTAAACCTTTATCAAATCTATTATCTTCTATAATATCAGATGAATTAAATTCTATAATTAATTAAATATTATATTATGAATATTGATAATTATAGATTAATAGTTGTATCTATATATTAATATCTTATACATAGATGTTAATTAATGAGTAGATAATAAACTTATATATGTGTTATCGACTCATTATGATATTTATAATATTTTATTATTTAACTCCTAATACATATTATTTGTCAAGTGGTGATTCTTTCACATTGTTTTGGTAATTATTTGATTATGTGGACTTAGGTAAACTCTTATTATGAGCTAGAAGTAGTAAAAGAAGCCTAAGCCTTTAACCCAATGAAAAGTCATCTTATAGAGAAAGCCGGCCTAGTATATTTATGGGTTTGAGAAAAGGTGTCACCTTAGCTTAGCCTATTTGGACTTAAAAGGGCTATTAAGAGATGAGATCTTAGTTGTCCATCTTAGGATGCCTTAAGATGAGATTAAAAGTATTAGAGCATTGTCCTCATAGAATGATCTGAGCCATCCATCAAGAGAGTTAGTTATTAATTATAGTTATCCATTGGAGGGGCTTAATTCTTGAGAAGATTAAGACATCTCGCCCTCCTCTTAAAGGGTGCTTTTTGACTCTCTCTCTAGTAATGGCTAGTCGAAGGAAATAGGAGAAAAATTAAGGTTTGATCAATGGCATTCTCCTACCCAAGATTATCGTGGAGAAGAGATTACTTAGAATGCATCAAGATCATTATAGATCAAACATTACTCAACCTAAGACTGACGTACAACAAGGTTTGTGCAAGATCTAGATTTAGGACATCCTTGTAATCCTCTCTATGGATAGATTAACTTTTTGTTTAGACTAATTTTATCATTTATTCTATCATACTTCATTGTGTTAGATTCATTCTCTCTCTTTTGTCATGCTTTTCATAACTCTTGTCTTCATCCTTTTATATTTAATTCTATTCTTCACAATCTCAAGTATATATATAACTATATAAGAAATAAGATAAGTAGAATTCTTATTCTCACTACTCATGCTCCTTGAGGATTGACTCTTACTTGTCCTAAATAGAAACGTGAGGTTTTATCAATATTATTTACATGAACTTGGTCGCATCACGATGATATATTTAACCTCAAATTTGAGTTCATCAAATATATGTGTGCATGTTTTTTACATTTTTGATATAGCACTAAAATCAAATCTTTTTCAAGTTTCTAGATCAATGAAGAATATATTAAATGCAGTGTGAAATGCAACAGATAATTTAACATAATCAACAAAGTTTACACAAAAGAAGAGGAAAAATGTTTTCAAAAAAAGAAAGGTGTATCCTCGATCAATTTATCATGCTCCATAATAAAATTCTTTCTGGCCACTACGAATGTTACACTCACCCAATTTGTCCATTCAACAAAAAAAAAATCATCTTGATTTTTCCTGATTCAGTTGCTATAGAAGCTGAATTTTGTCCGTTAATTCATCCCATTCTCCACTAGATAAAAAAGGTGAGGAATTTCTTTTGAGGATGCGTCTCTATAGATTGTGGCATGCTTAAGAGTGAAATCACCTTCAAGTCACAATTGCTGAGATTAGTGTACCTTGCCTGCACAAAATGCCTAAATTTGATCAAGAACCATGTCACCCATTTCTTCTATAAACTTTTAAACTTTACATGATTTCCACTATTTTTCAACTTATAAAAATCTGTTCAATCTTACATTGTGTGACAAAAAATTACTCTTTTGAAATAAGTTTAATTCAAAAGATTTGTGCTTTGATTTTGAGAAATTCGAGTTGACATATCTATATCGACCTTGAATTTCAGGGTGTTCTTCACAAGCTCACATCAACTGACGAATACCCCAAATCAATAATTTTCACATATTTTACATAATTTTTGTAATCAAATAATTCCAAAACTTAATCTATTAAATGAAAATAATAAATATAATTAACTATTTTTTTTATCTTCCCTATGATTGACTTGGAAAACCAATATAAAATTAATTATTTCTAAAATTGTCATAGTTTCCAAAAGTTATAAATTTTAAATTTATTGAATTTTCTTAAAAATGATAGAAAACAGGTAAAAAAAATTGGGCCCATTGCTAGGGAAGATTGTTAAAAATTAATGTTATTTATATATATTGAAAAATAAAAATAGATATTTTTCTCATTTCCTTGTAGTTTTTATTTATTTCTTTGTTTTATATTTTTTATATTTTGTGTGGTGCTTGGTATGTAGGAGATCGTTGAACCCAAAGTTTGAATTTTCTGAAATTACAAAGAAAAAATTTTATTCTAAAATTTTTTAAAAAATGAGTCCTCTTAATATAGGTGCCCAAAATGCCAATCAACCTAAATTATTGAAGGATAATTTTATCCCATGGTCATGTGAAGACCTGTTACAGAACTCTATTTGTGTTAGACAAATTAAATCAAGTGGTTTTCAAAAGCTATCTACTTTTATGGTCGTCAATATGAAGATCTTTATGCTGACCTCAACGAATTTGTGCTACTATGAGACTGACTTTATTTTCATTTTCTTATGAAGGATGAAGCTAGTTATTGGTCCTCTACCCTAGATGGAAATAACAGATCATGAGCTACATTATTGTAAGATTTTTTTAATAGATTTTATTCTAGAGGAAAAATAAAAATCATGAGGAAAGAAATTTTAGTTTTTTTATAGAACTTAGGAGAAGCTTTTCATGACATATGAGCTAGAATTAAAGATTTGATAAGAAAATGTCCCCACCATGGTATTCATAAAACTCAAATAGTTGAATTTTTTTATGATGGATTGCTTCCAACTTTTAAGCAAATGGTAGTGGAACATGTGGAGGATGGTTTATAAATAGAAGTGAAGACGATGAATGTTATGTTTTAGAAAACTTGAGTGAAAATTCAATGAATCATGCCTTTGCTTCTAATTATGATAAACTTCATCTAAAAGGGGATAAATATTTTAAGTAAGAAATTTTCAAAATAGAGAACTGAGATCTTATTTGAAGGAGAATAAACAACAAATAAATGATCTTAAATCCTTATATGAAAAGTGGTGTTCATGACTAATAGGAATTTTGATTCTCCCAACATGTCATATTCTGGTTGTTCAATGTGAATATAGGATGCATAATGAAGAAAATTGTCCCTATGTTAAACAACATGAATCATCAAATATAGTAGAAGCTCAAGTTACATTAGATATTCTAAATTTAATGCTCCTATAAATGAACACAATCCCAATTGGAGGAATTGCCCAATTTTTTCTTGGAAAAATACAAATAATATTTAAAATCCAAACACTTTGAAATCTCAATTTCCTCACTATAAACCTGCTAAAAATAAATTTAGATCCATGCAAATTCCTTATGTTTATTCATCTAATATTCCATTTAGTCAAACTAGTCGTTGTGTGAGTATGTTGCAGCAAATGATAAATCAAATGATGCAAAATCAAATGAGTTTTCAACAAGAGGTGTAACAAAAATTCATACACCAGCAATAATAATTTCAAGAAAATATATTACAAATGGAGCAAAGGATAATAAAAAATTTGGAAAAAAGAGAAATAGGTCAACAAGGGCAACTCCCAAGTTAGACCTTACGGAATCCAATGAGCCACAACAAGAATTTTAGAAAGTAGAATCTAGCTAGACAAAAAAGAATGAAGACCCTCAAAATAAAAAAAATCAGGGCAGTCACTACCTTGATAAGTGGAAAATTCTCAACAATCTATATGAAGAGAAGGAAACTATAGAAAAAAGAAAAGAGACATGGGAAGAGCTGGAAGGTGCAGGAGGAAAAGAAGAATTAATAATGGTGGAAGATGAAGAACAAGAGCAACAACAACAATTTAGGAGATGGTGGAGAAATCTCCACCGAAATCAAAGAGTGTTCCTTTTTCAAATATGTTGAATTCAAAGTAGAAAAAGAAATCTGAATTCAAAGCTCCTGTAAAATTTTTCAAGATTTTTATATCAAAGCTCCTGTTTTGGAGGCCATGGAGGTTATCCCAGCTTACGTAAAATTTTTGAAGGAAGTTTGCACATTAGAGAAACCACCAGCAACTAGAAGTTGAAGGATCCAAGTACACTTTTAAATTCATGTAATATTGATGGATTTGTCTTTAAGAATGCATTGATAGATTTAAGCACTTGTATGTATTTATTAGTGACATTAATTTCTAAATATTTCTAAGTTCATAATTTAAAACTATTGATAAGTCCTCATTATCATGAATTAATAATTAATAAATAATATAATTTTAGCCTTAACTCATAATAAATAGACTTATGTTTGTGTTAATTTATGAAAAGTAGTTTTTAGTTGGTTAATGTGATTTTTTGGCTAATTATGTGATTTTATATATTTTTTATGATTTTTATAATTTAATGATTTAAATAAATAAAGAAAAAGAAAAATAAATAAATAAAGGAGGGGACCCACTAGCCAGCCATTTTCACAAGTAGGTCAGAAATGCAGTCAGGGTAGAGCCATGAGTAGGGGCTCGAGCGGCTATAAACTGATGGGGGCACGTGCGCACCACTCCCCTTTCACGTCATTGATGGCCAACTAATTATGGGGCAAGGAGTAGTCATACATGTGACAAAAAATGACTCATTACTTGGCAATGTGACATTACTATATATTTGTTCAAACCTTTGACATACAACTGATGTGAAACTAAATTTGTGTCACACCTTCCTTAGATAAGCTTTGAAGATTTTAATACCTAAATTATCCCTTAGTTATAACAAAGATATATCATAATGACATCACTTTATAAGGGCATTAATATACTTATTTCAATCTCTCTCATGTAGGTAGGTGACTAATATAAAGAAGTACTAAATAAATTGAAACATATATTTTTAGGATGAGATCAGTAATTTTCTTCTTACTATATGAGAAACTAGAATGGTACTATCCTACCTTCAATGTAGTCTCATAGAAAGGATAATAAAATCAATATTTCTATGGGCCACAATCTTGTTGGATACTGCGGTAGGGGATCAGTCTAATCCTATCACGCTTCAAATTTTACCATAAAATTCCAGTAGAACTGATATGAGACTAAGATCCGGCATATCCTTCTATGAAATTTTGTACATCGCTTTTCATTTAATTACGGTGGGATCCTAGCCGCGGGCCGGGCACAACAGGAATTTGCTTTACAAAGTCGACAAGATAAACGTGGAGAGTGGGCCACATCGACAAGACGAGCACGCTGTAGACACCGGTATGTCTTAGCTTTCCGATAGTTCGGTGAGAAACCCCACGTGGAAGTTGCCATCTACCGCTCCCACGGCCGCCCCCACAGCACAGCCAACCACCTAACAGCCAATTATTGCTAGTAGTTTACCGTGACCGCGGTTTGGTACAGTCTCAACGTACTACTGGTCTTGCTGGCGGTCTGGTGGCACGCACTTCGCTGCTTCCTGCCGGTCCTCTGCGGTTTGACCAGGCTTCTGGAAGGCAGTGTACTGTCCAGGTTCTCGTCTTCCCGAACGCCACGACCGCAGATGTATGGAGGGGGCTCCTGTGTCCAAGGCGTGCAGCTCCCACCATCCATTCCTCCCTTCCCCTCTACCACGGGAAGCGAAAGCCGAGGAATTCTCCTGGCTTATTTAAGCGGGCAACCGCGCGTCTGTTCGTCTAAGGAAATCTGACGAGAAGACGGTCGAGCGGAGCTATAAAAGTACTATTCCTTTGTGGAGACTAGAATCATGGCCACCGAAGTTATGAGAGTTGAAGCCACGCCTGTCCCGGTGCCGTTAAGGGTAGAAAGCCTGGCGGGCAGTGGCATCGTGACAATTCCAGCTGAGTATATCCGGCCAGAGGAGGAGCGCGCCACTCTTGGCGACGCACTAGACGCCGCCAAAAATCTGGACGCTGGGCCGCAGATTCCGACGGTGGATCTCGCCGGCTTCCTGTCTGGTGATGAAGAGACGAGGCGCAGGTGCGTGGAGGCCGTCCAGGAAGCGGCGTCGAACTGGGGAGTGATGCATATTGTCAACCACGGCATCCCGCTAGAGCTGATCAAGCGCATGCAGGAGGCCGGGGAGAAATTCTTCTCGCTGCCCATGGAGGAGAAGGAGCGTTACGCCAATGACCAGTCGTCGGGGAACATCCAGGGCTATGGTAGCAAGCTGGCCAACAATGCCAGCGGCCAGCTCGAGTGGCAGGACTACTTCTTCCACCTCGTCTACCCAGAGGACAAGGCCAACTACTCCATCTGGCCCAAGGAACCTGCCAACTACATGTAAGCATCAGTCCAGCCTCCTCATCTCCCGGTCTCCACCTCAATGAGCATGTGCCTGTGTGTGTGTGTGTGTGTGTGTCTCTCTCTCTCTCTCTCTCTCTCTCACCTGCTCTCTATTTCTCACTCATACGCACACAGGCGTAAACATACGGCCCAAGTTTACTCCAGCTCTCTGATTCTGACCTATTTATTTTGACGTCTGCAGTGAGGAAACGCAAGAGTTCGCACGGCAGCTTCGGGCGGTTGCAAGCAATATGTTGGCTATGCTGTCTATGGGGCTCAAGCTGGACGAAGGAAAGCTGGAGGAGGAAGTTGGTGGTCTTAGTGATCTTCTACTGCAGATGAAGATCAACTATTACCCACGGTGCCCACAGCCGGACCTGGCCGTGGGCGTGGAGGCCCACACAGACATCAGTGCCCTCAGCTTCATCTTGCACAACATGGTTCCCGGGCTGCAGGTCTACTACGAGGGCGAGTGGGTGACGGCCCGATGCGTCCCCGAGTCCATCATTATGCACGTCGGGGACGTCATCGAGATCCTCAGCAACGGGAAGTACAAGAGCATCTTGCATCGTGGCCTTGTAAACAAGGAGAAGATTCGCATTTCCTGGGCCGTCTTCTGCGAGCCACCACGCGAGAAGATTGTCCTGAAGCCCCTACCCGAGCTCGTCGGGGAGGGCTCCCCGGCCAAGTTCCCGCCTCGCACCTTTGCCCAGCACATTGAGCACAAACTCTTCCGGAAGGCCCGTGGCGATTTCTCCACCTCCAACTAGCCGGCAGGCGATCGTTAAATTGGACACCCCCGAGTCATAGATCTCTCGTTCGTGCCTCATACAGCCGTGTTGTGCCTGCTGTGAGCCTGGGGAAATTCGGTTCCTTGTTTCTTCTGTGGTAACAACATCAATAATAAGCTCCTTGTTTGCCTGAGATGTTGAGCTTGCAGTCTATAAGGGACGGTTACGTCTCATGAACTCGTTTCTCCAAGTTAAACTTTTCACATCTCCCTCTCTCTCTCTCTCTCTCTCTCTCTCGTTGAACTTGTGGTGATTGATCTGCTATTGGGCCCTGCTGGGCTTGTATGGGCTCTTAGGCAAGTATGCAGATCCAGGGGGCAGCACCTACTGGAGAGAAAATTTTGATTTTCAGAGACATTTTTCTCTTCTTTTCTCATGGAGTTTTACCTTAATCTTGTGTTTAAGAGGAGGATCACTGCCATCTCATGCAATCAAGGCATGCAAAGGCATTTTGGTGCCAGAGGGGCTGTGAGGGTAGATCTTTGGAAACTCAACCATATCCTAGTAAGAGGTTTCTCCAAACCACATACATATCTTAGTGCCAATGGTCTCTTCGATCCAAGCGTCAATGTTATACAAATGTTTGGTGAGGAGATCCAGAAGCATTTCTACCCCACATATGAACCCTTAATAACATTTTCAAAGCCTTTTTCATGAAGGCGATGGCTCTTTTATCTCAATGTATTAGGTTGTCTCTCAAATTGAGTAAATGAATATTGATCGATATGCTTGGCTGAGCTTGGGCTTTGAACAGAAGGTGAAGCCATTCTTGGTCTTCCAGTTTGAGTTCCAGTTGAGTTTTCTGCTGTCAATCAACACCAAGTAGTCAAGCGAGTACAGAATGTGGTATGGGGAAGCCCGTTCTAGGCCCATAGTGGCCTGGATCTTCTGACTGGCGCACTGGGAGATCAGGTTGGCCCGGCCCGGGCTTCAAACGGCCTAGAACAGAAGAAGGTGAAGCCACTCTCTCGATGTTCCAGCACCAAGTAGTCGAGCTAGTTCATTGTGGCCTGGATCGTTTTGACTTGGACATCGACAGAAGATAGGGTTAGCCCAGCCCAGGCTTCGGGGGCCCAGAACAGAAGGTGAAGCCCAGGTTTCCTCGTATAGATCGACAGCCTCAAAACTTACCGGTTGCAGGAAAAGCCTGACTCCAAGTGAAATCCCTCGGCCCAGCCCTTTAACCCGGAGGTGAAGTGGGAGTAGTGCTTAGATTAACTGCAACATAAGTTGGTCGATACTCAGAGAGGAAGTGAAGGGGGCACGAATGATAAGAAGAGCATGGGAGAGAGCAAAAGGGGGAAAATCTCTTCTGCATGGTGCACACCGATGAACTTACCGGATAAAACTGGTTGAGCAACAATGGTTCTCAAGACTGCTGAGCAGGCCGGCCGTCAAGCCACTGAAGTGAAGGAACCAGTCTGATCATCAGCGAAGAAAAGGGCTCGTTCAGAATGGGGTTTCCCACCACATCCAGCTGCGTAAGGTGCAGGTGCTTGAAGATGAGTATGGCGTCCCAGTAGAGCTTGACTTCCTCGGGATCAAAATCCTCAAATCCTTGGACATCTCCACAGGTTCCCGCCGGGTGGGACAAGGGCGAGGAAGCACATTGGTACCTCTTAGTGTCGATAGAATGGGCGCCGATCTCGTTGTAAGAGATATCCAGTGCTTGCAGTGAGATCATCGGTCTCAAAGGTTCCAACGCAGTCATGCTGCTGAGTTTATTGTGGCTCAAGTTCAAGTGGGAAAGGAGCTGCATTGCTTCCAGACCTGCTTACATGGTGGGTCGAAAAAACAGATTAGCAACATCAAGGGAACTTCTCCACCTTTCTGACAGAATATGCTGTTCAAGATTTCAGTCACACACTAACTTAAACATGTTCAACAAGGATTTATCAAACATTACTGTAATAGGAAAATATGAGAACTAAACCACGCAATCATACCTTCAAATGTAGTGATACTGACGGAGCTATAAAACAAATTGTGTTCTCAAAGATAAAATATTCTACAGAACTTGTTAGATGAGGGACCACTAAGGTTTTATGGGTATCAAGTGGTTGATAAGTCAAAGGGGCACCCCTGCGCTTGTATTCAGAATCCTGTATGTAGATCATCAGTATGGCTGCACTACATGAATGAGAGAACCCATGCGCAGGATCAGAGAACAAGGTGACTTGGCTTGTGCAAGTGATTCGGAAATTTCTTGAGAAACCAACTTAAGTTCAGAGAAATAGTGCCTCATAAAAACATTAATTTCTCATAGAATGATTGTTGCCGGACTTATTATGGTTACCAGTATGGTAGCCTTCCAAACTAGCTAGGGCATGCTACATCTCGTAATGCCAAACTAGATGCTAACGTGCTTGGGCCTTGCACATTGAAAACATCGGCATACCAGGCCTATTTTCTAGACCCTTGCAGTTAACGACATGAAATGCTATCAGTCGGAGGCCTATTTTCTAGACACAAGGATATGGAACAGTCATAGACTGTCATTTACCTGACCTCTGTGTAATGTTCATGTGTTTTTCTTCTCCTTCATGTCGGAGGCCTTGGATCTCCCATTCATCGACTTTATACCTTCCAGCTAATTAGGAAGGTGAACATTCAAAATACTCTACTGACATGCCCTTCAAGACAAGCAAAACAGGTTCGAGAAGACTGAGGCAAACACCTTATCATGCTAATCAAGTTGATTTTAAGATGGCGGCCCTTGTTGGACGATCATGTTTCTCAGGCAGACACTGGAAAACAGAGTTATGAAAAATTGTTATTTTCTTGACTTTTAAAATAGAGAACATCAGACGGTGCTGTGAAAAGCGTTCCCCATTCGAGACATGTCAACTGAGTTATTTTTCCCCCATTCCTCTTACACATCAATCTGCTGATTCAACCAGTGGGTATGTTACAGCCTCCTATTCAAAGACTGATTTAGATATCTCGGCATCTTATGCTGATATGTTCTAATCCCAGCTGGACGGTCCCAATTCTTCTAGAAAAATGTATGCTTTGAAACAAGTCGTTGATGAGTGAAACGCCTCCATTAATGAAAATGAATAAATGTTGTCTTAATACCTTGCAGACATTTCCAAGTGAGATTTCTCTCAACTAAATTAGTCCAGACGTGCAGATATCGATCATCAGGAATTGACATATTCAAAACACATCGCTAACAAAGACCTACCCTGCAACATTTGAATTACCGTCATCATCAACTGAGAAAAACTCCACGAAGAAACATTGACAGTGATATAAATGCATGTATCAATGCCTTCATCAAGGTTTCAAGCGTATACAAGCTTCTAGTAAGTATCTCACCATTTATATGCCTTAATACGCTTACAGTGAACAATCGGACAACGCTATCATAAAGTTGGGAGCAACAGCGTACAACAAGCCTCTAGACCTTCTTTCCCTTTGGTGCACCTTTTATCTATTATGCCACCAAAATGCAGGTTCAGTCCCTCCAACGTGATATTCAAAACCCATCTTAGTTTGCCAATGCAATGCAGCAAGATCAAATGTTCTTCCGTTCCAAAAGACGAAAAATTAGTTTCAACCTTACATGGTACACACATAGCTAACAATTCCTCAGATTCGAAAAAGCAAAAATTTAGTTTTATCTTTTACTGTTCACATTCATTTCAAATGGCAACAGCCACTCTCAAACACAGGTTAGGTAATTTAAGCAAGAAGCCAAAAGTATCCAAGACAGAACAAAAGAAAATAAATATTCAGAAATATTTAGCCTCAATGTCGTGAGACTCATACTCTTCATTGAAGAGTGCCCAAACATGTGAGTGAAGGCTTGTGAGATATACTGAAAAGCTTTTTGAAGTTCCAAGAAAAGAGCTATACGTTTTTTGAGCGGAAGAGTTAGCACATTATCAAAGCATAATCATTTATTAGAAACATCACGTGGGAAAATAATTTGCAAAAGAAAATAAAATAATATGTAAAAGGAATGTAACAGACTGTCTTTTTCCATTCAATTTCTAGAGAAAGAAGAACGGTTTGTAATAAAGAATAGAATCATCAAAAAGAATACTATTCATAACCTTCAACTGATTGAAGTTCATTGTGACTAAGGTCTAGCATGTTAACCCATAACAAACGCTCAACAAACCCTATGCGCGTCAAAGATAATTTGTTAAGCCGAAGACAGACACTCTGACCAGCACTTGTCAAGGATAATTCCTTAGGGAGCCAACAATGCTTTCGCAAAGACTCTTCATCCGAGGTCACCTGCATATTTATTTCTATGAGCTTGCTAGCTTGATTTGCCAAGATATGTGATTGGATGCAAAAATAAATATAAAGTAAAGATCAAATGTTGACAATAGATACAGTAAATGCTACAGAGAGAAAGGAAAAAGCATAAGACACGAACATGAGCATTTCTCCTAGACATAGGTGAAAGGGACAACACCAGGCCCAAATAAGAGCTTCCCATGACAAGTAGCAAAAGTCAGTAAACAAGCAACTGTTCTAAAACTCTTCAATCTGGACCACATATATCAGTTTTCCAAGAACTAGTCACATAATAAAGATAATCGACTGGAGGCAAGCATCAGCAACAAGTTTTGATGAACATTGAAACAACAAAAATAATGTAAGCACATGATAGGGGTGCAAGGGTCAACAACTTAATAGCTAAAGTCAGCAGTCCTGCAGCCCAGGAGGCACAAGTTCTCGTTTATGGTAATCTTGTGAGATGCCAATAGGCAAGCAGACAAACTCACGAGTCTTGCGAGAAACATGAAGTAATGCAATTCACAAAAGAAGTCTACAACAGAGGAAAAGAGGAAACTGAAGCAGTAGCAGCAATTGACGGTGAGGAGCATGATGGTTCTAAATCCATCTCTAAAGCTATGGTGATCAGCCCAAGGTTGTTGTTGAATCCTCCACAAAGTAGAAGTTTGCATTTGAAATGCTGGGACAAGTCATGAAAGATGAGGTTTCAGAAGCCACTCTTGTCAAACAATGTTGGATAGAGCAGCCCAATGCAACATTGAATATTTCAGATGTACATTAAGAACCGAATGAAAGACAGCAAAGAATTGTTGCCTGAAAGATGATAAAATCCTCCAGCAGAAACGAAGCTAGAGGGGCATTATCGGCAGCCAATAATGTCCATATGGTCGCTGCAATGGAGGGAGTACGAAAAAGTCGCTGAAAAAAACATACAAACGAATGACGATAGCGATGGTGATATGCACAACTTGATAAGATAGTATTACGCATGAACTTTGAAGGAGAGGAGAAAGCCATGTGCCACCCAATGGTAGAGGGAAATGGGAGGGAGCAGAAGATGCATGACCAACGGACTGAGGAGACAGGGCATGATTCTAGGGCAGAAATCTTACCCAACATCCAATGAAGTTGTCTCAACGGAGCTTACAGAACGTCGTGTAACTATTATAGCGTTTGGTAGGAAAAAGAAAGTGACTTTGCATACTACTGTGGCACACAACAAATGATGGAGATTCAAGAAAGGAAGTAGAGCTTGGCCGCCTTTCCATCTCCATGATGCAGAGAAAGGGATGACATCAGAGATAGTCAACAAAGGAAAACTTGGGGCTAAAAAAAATAATCCAATCTTCAACTTTATACTCAAAGATCATGCTAGAAAGAGAATACAAAGAAAATAATACAAGAAGATGAGTCTCACTCCGACCTAATGGAGATGGGACAGCTATAGTAGGCTTCTAAGTCCAATGGCATAAAATAGCAAACATTTTACTGTTATAATAATAAACACTAAACAGATTAAAATTAAAACCTAGTATACAGGAAAGTCAAATTACCCTAAATTTTATGAAATCCTAAAATCATGTTTCCTTGCTGAACCTTACACGGTTATTAAAATTTATTCTCTATTGATTTTTAAAATTTATGTCATATCATTGCTATTGGTCAGGCGTCATGGGCTTGACGATGATAAATCCCAACGCATGTCATCAAACAACTTGGTACAGAAGATAATCATTATCACCTCTGGTGAAAAAAATGAGCATTTAAAAGAAATTTTAACTGAGCACGGGAGTGATCATGAACGGTTATTATGCCTGCGTACGATTCTTTGGTCCATCAAGAACTCCAACCACACATTAAAGTGCAGCTTTTACAGCATTGTACACCAGACACTGTTCCTCATCATGGCTTTTTGTTTGTCCCTCTGGCGCTGAGATGCGGATTCATGTTCCTAGATATAGACACACAATACAAAGATGGCAAGCAACCGTTTTTGGTTTTAAAAAACCGTACTGGACAAAGGATAATCTCCAACTTGCATAAGAAAAACTGAACGTACTAACCGACCAAGATTATCAGCAAAAACATCAAAACGAAAATGCAGAGGAACTAGAATGGTCTATCGGATAATATATTAAAAAACCACGTGACATAAACATTCAAAACATCGACTATTGATGTGTTACATGTTATAGTTTGCTTGAACCGTCTACGTAACGAAATGGCAGGATGATAGGAAAAAGTGGTCCTTTAACTGATGATGCAAGATGGTTAAGCTAAGCAATTTCATACTTGTTCTTCTATGAATAACCCAGAACAGTGCCAAACCAATCAAATTCACAAAAACAATATGCACTTTTTCAGAAGGAAGCTTAATGTTTTAATGAAACGAATGTAGTGCTCTAAGGAGATGCTTCATGCTCTGCAGGATTGTTTTTTAGAAGATGGTTCATTCTACGACTGTACTATATCAATAAAAACGTGCAAAATAAGGTACAAGAAAAACACAAGCAAAAATGATATGGAACAGTAAATACAACCTCAACAAGGAAAAAAGAGGGAAATTTTTCCTTCTCTATGAACGAGAAAGAGGAAGCAAAGGAAAAAAATAGAAAAGCAAGTGGAACTCTTTCTGACTGTGTCCACACGCCAAACACGACAGTGACCTCATATTCTCATTGCCCTAGACTAGCTGATGATATTAACGACATGCAAGACAGCTACATTAGTCATGCCTTTTATTCTCTGAATTTCTGTTCAAACTTCCTGTGATTTCCCTCAGCACATACTGTCAACCAGGTAGCTGGTAAGAAAATCTCAACCAATGAAGGTCAATAGCCAATTTTGGCAATGATTCGCTATAAAGAACATTTCCACATTACTTTTGTAATCCAACATTTTACAAAGATAATCAATCGTCTCCTTTTGCAAGACTCAGGCCTTATACTTTGAATATTGGGTTTGACGATTGAACTCTATCTCAAGTGAGCCACCTCTTATAAACCAATTATCATCGAAATATTAATACTTATAAAAATATACACTCTAAAGCCACTCTTCACCACCAAACCTGGCATTCACCATCACAGTAATTTGTATCATCCCTAGCTACTGAACAAACCTTTTGCATTCGACCTTCAATTAATGATGCCATCTTTCTCTACAATGAAATGTGTTGACGTATTAGAAATAAGTCAATACATTCATCACCACAGCCCTTTGTAAGGTTCCTTAGAAAATTGTATACCCCATCCATTAGCGGGTGTGTTTATTCCTTAAAAAATGAAACGCATCATGGTTCCTGAAATGTTCTAGCAATAGCAATGATATTCAGTTGTGGCCCTCGAAAATTTTAGTTTCCATCCATTACCCAGCAGAAAGTCGGAAGCTATTGTCAATAAATCGATTGAAAGAAGACCATTGCTCCCAATCAGAGATGCTCTACAACAGTTTTTTGAAACAAATCTTGACACATTGCAATTAGTAAAGTAAGTATCTCAAACAATAGAAGGCACAAGAAACTACTCTTTCCTAGTCCGCATAGCCATTTGTTATGAAAAGTTATGATAAAAGTTATGATTAAAATAAACCTGTAGAAATTACTTCATGATTAGCATATTAGCAAGGTTAGATTCATGGTTGTCACTTGATGAAGAACGTGATCTTGATGTGTTCAGGACGTGTTGCATTCTCTTTTCTCCTATACTACAAAAAGAGAGGAAGGGAAAGTCACTGGCATTTTCTTGATGCAAACTTTAATTAGTGAACACGACCCATGAAAATGTCATACTGCCAATCTCTGAATACTCAAGAAATCCTTTAGTAATCAAGCAAAGATAGATGGTCAGATCCAAGAAGAAGACAAAATTATAATCAAATTCTATCTAGTTCCTTCAAAAGTCCATTAAAACCCAAAGCAGAAGTCCAACCAATCTGGCATGTTGCTCAAAACTTACGAATATAAAACAGTATATATTTGCTTAGTATTTATTAATTTACGAGCCTCTTTGAACATAGTTTCCGTTCACAAGATGGACATTCCACCGAATTTCAAAATCATAGTCTCAGCTGGGAGAAATAATTTCCATCAACTTCTGTAAAAAAAATCCTCAAATAAATTTTACATCAACATTCATTCTGCATGAAAATATGCTTTCCATAGTAAAACATAGCATGTGCTCTTTCAGCTCACTTTTCGGTGAAGATAAATTATTTCCAATAAGATTTTCCAGGATTTCAATTTTTTAATTATATGGATAAATGATAGAAGAATGAAATAAACCCCATGATGCATGAACCAGCAATTAACTGAGGGCTCCTCTTCAAGGGATTATAATTGATAACACTTCCTGGCGAATGGTAACAGGCAAGCAAACAAGGTTTGAACTCCTTTTCTCCATAGTCCTTATCACTGACTTGAAATTCAAAGGAAATGGGGGACAAATACTCAAAAAATGTGAAAGAAGCGTTTTAGTATTCAACAGAGTCATGAAATAAGAAAAACTCACACTTTGCCTTGCGTAATGTTTACATCTTATCTCAATAAATGTGACGCATCGGAAATTTGAAGAATTGATGACTTAATCATGTTTCAGCTTTGGCTGTGTATTCTGGAAGCAAAATGACAACTTGAATCCAAAAAGGAACATGCCTTGGTTGAAAGCACTTTACTCTGAATCCACAGAATGAAGAGATTTCACCCATTGAGTCCACAAGGGGTTGATAGTGAGTCCACAAGATCAAAAATGGCTCCCTAAGCCCACAGGGACCCTCCAGAAAGGAAGGGAACTTGAAATTTGATTGATAAAACCGTGGATTGCCTTTAGGGCTATAAGGGGGGGTTCCTATTTATAGGCTGAAAATTAATTATAACTAACTTATAAAAAGGAAAATCTGTTATGATCCAAGAAAATAGGAAAAAAAATAAATTAAACTTTCCTATGAAAAAGGAAGATTCTGTTAGAACGCCCCTAAGAAATAAGAATGTCCTAAACAAAACAGGGGGAATATTTGACATGAATAAAATGTGTGAGTTAAGATTTAGGCACATTGAACATGTGACCAAATCTCTTATTGGCCCATTTCAAACTGAATTTGGGCCAAATAGAGTCTCTTGAGTCTCTGATTCACTTGAATTGCTCTAAAACTTTGGTGTACTCCATTCTAGTATAAAATTAAATACTTTTTAGCAGTTTCGATGCAGATCCTACTAGTTTTCTTCACCTGGGTTAAAAACTTTTCATCCCTCATTTCACAGCAATTTTTGGGCTACATCAGGACGACAAACAAATAAACATATGCAATTGCAGCAATGCAATTCAAGTGCATGCACATAAACTCACAAAGGTGCTTGCTTCATCTTCTTGTTGCATAATTTTAACGTGGCTCTTCACAACAGTAACATTTATTTCATCAATGCAGACAATGTGGAATAAAACCAAAACTCCACCTTGGGATAATTCATAGCATACCATCACAAATGGACCAAACCATCCAATTAAGATTTGAATCAAAATGTGAACAGAAAAAGAACCAACCTGATCCATCAGGACTAAGCTGCGTTGGTCCTTGTAATAACCAATATGTGATGGATCCAGTCTGATTAGGTCATCATACAGCTGTAAAGTTTCCTCAAAATGTGTTCTATTTTTGGTCAATTGGATCCCACGAGATAGAATGAAATTACGAGCTATGAGTAATCGGCCCAAAGTGAGCTTTGCGATTTTACTACAAAGAAAAGGTAGATAATAAATAATATACGCATAAGCCAAGCAGACAAGTAAAGTTGTCCATCAAGAAAGACGTTATAAGACACTGAAGAACTAACCAGTTTATTTCAGATATCAGCTTCCGGAAAAGCATTATTTCACGAGATAAGGTCTCTGAACACCATTCTGAAATCAGGAGTTCACTGTTCGCAATGATCTTTTGTCGTTGATAAGACATCAAGAAAGGTCTAATCTGAAGAAACTCACTTCTAGAAAAGTTTTCATTATCCCAGTGAACCATATTAACATTAGATTCTTTGCTGCAACTTCCTGGAGAATAGGGACTTATCTTTAGAGAAAACTCACACTGACAAGCATAACTCAAGGGGCAACCATCTGAGGAAACAAGACCTTGTGTGTTACCAAAGCTAACATTGATTGAATAAGGTTCCAGGGAATTACAATCCCTCTCAGAAATATTCAGATATGTAACCCAACAATGAGCCTCTACAGAGTTACTTGCTGAGAGAGGCTTCCAAATGAGGTCAACATTTTCAGTAAATATAGATTCTACTGTGACTGTGGTTGAATTAACACCTTTAACTGCTTGATTAAAATACAAAACAATTGGGAGAGCTCTGATGTATTGAGCATACTCAGTTGATTCAAAATGCTGGAAATCTTTCACGCTTGTGTTACTTGACAGAATAACCTCTGTTCCATGAGCAGGCCATGAAGAAATTAGAAAAGGAGAATCCCGAGCTATAATCTGATCAAGAAGCCAAAGATGGTAGAACCATCCACTTTGATCATCTGGATCTGTAAAAAGAGCTTGATGTATAAATTCCAATTCCTCTGTTAAAACTTTTTCTCTAGGATCAAACCCCGGGGCATTCTGCTTCATCAAGTGGGAAAGAATAACACTACAGTCCAGTTCAAATACATTGATCAATCCACTGAACAGATGCGAGTAAGAAAATGACAAATGCATCTAAAATCAATTCTACAAGACAGATGAATAAGCTTAGAAATTTTTTAATAGCTCAGATGTTGAATGAGATGCTAAAAAAAAACCTCGATTCAATGGTGCAGGTAACAAAAGAAATTTAATAGATGTTCACTTTGTTCACTTAGGTACCAAAGTGTCGCCAGTAAATTTGAAATCCAAACAGAAATTATGTCTTGGAGTTGATAACAGAGAAAAGTCAAACGACATGTGCTTTCTGAACTCAACCAGTAAATGCCTCTAAAAAACAGTATTATCACCACCTTTATCCTTCCACCAGTTGGTACCACAAACTAAACCAACCAAGTAGATAGTCTATCATCTATTCTTTCACCCTTCACTGCTCAACAGAAACTGTAATTTAAACTCAAGGCCAATGTCTGGACGCATAGCTATAAAAAGCAGATTCCTTTCCCAGGTGGCCATTCCACTTTTCAACTACTGCACAATCTTCAACTGACCCCTTCACCACAAGGTTTCTGTGCTGAGTGGCATCTATAAGTTGGACGAAGCAAGTTCTCCCACCCCACAAACTAGGGAACACCCTTATAAATACATGTATTTGTTGGTTGTTTCAAATAACATGTTTATTTACTGAAAGGGCTTTGAAATTTTCAACAGATAGTAACTTCTAATATTAAATTTGAGAAATAGGAAAATGAAAATCCTTACATATTCAGAAAAATTCCTTTTTTGAAATTCCAAGGTAAGAAATTTTAAGGGTAAAATAAAATAGTAAGGGTTTTAGAATAAAATGAAGAGTCTAGAGAATGACTAAGCAGAACTACTAGGAATTTTATTTTTTCTCTATAATGTGGTTTATTTAATTCTGAAAATAAGATAGCTTGTCCGTTAGACATCATCCATCTAACATATTTTCGTTATAGTGATTCTATTGCTCGTCATGTATTACTTTCAGCGAATATTTCTTCTTTCTGAGGATATAACTATGTTCAACTTGAAGACACCTTGCAATTGGGACAATGAATCAACATGACTAGTGAACATTTTTTTAACATAAGGGCCTGTGTTGCCCTCAAAAAAATTTCTAACATTTTTTAACATAAGAATTTTTTTATCTTGGAAGATATGTGAAAGAATTTCTCCACGTCGTTGATGAGAGTCAAATTTAGATAACTGACTGAGAAACGAAAGAAAAAGAATGCATACAACGATCACATACCTCCGATTATGCCATGCAGAATAGTTACTGAAGTTTGTATTTATTTTCTCTGTAGTGAAATTCAGCTCCTCCTCCTCCTTCACATTCTTCAGGGCCACAACAAATCTGAAGTTCAAAGAAAAATTAAATCATAGCAAGGAAAAGAAAACTAGAAACAGAAGCTGATAGACGATGAATATGCATTGGAAATAAGAATCTTGCCTCCGATGATTCCATCCGTGAAAATTCCGAGAGTCGGCCTTCAACAACTGATCTAGAAGCCGGAACTCCTGGTCGAAATCCGCTTTATCGGATCCCAAGTTCAAGATCCATTTCCGGTGCTGCCAGGCGCCATAACACTTGGGGTTCCGCCTCAAAGCGATCTCCGCCTTTTGAAAAAGTTAACAATTACAATTAGACGCAAAGACGAACAGACAATTGAGCCAGAAACTTTGACGGAAATTTCTTGCCCGGTTCCATTTCCTTGGTTGGTGAGAGAGAGAAAGGAAAGGATGGATGATCGAAGAACCTACGATCTTTAGCTCCTGGTTGACAATAGACTGGACGACCTCGTGATCACCGCAGGACTCAAGGTTACTCTGGACGGCAAGTTTCCGGTAGTTCCAAGCGGTGTACACCTCGGGGTTGACTTCTAGCAGCTTCGAACAGATCTCCAATGCCTCCTTGTTGTATCTGTCAAAAGAAAACATAAAACACGATAGATCTTAAGAGTACAAAATTGAACCAAACAGTCCAAGAGAAAAATCCTCGCATTGATGAAGATATCTCCTCCATACATGCGGTCGTTGTGGTTGCGGAGGAGTTGGCTCTGAAGTTGTCGCAGCTTCTCTGCCTTGGCAGCGGAGGCCACCAGATCCTCTGCCTTGGCAGTCTTGCGAGGGCGGCCGTGCATGATATCTCCACCACAGTGATAATAATCCTCTGCACCCAATTCCCCAGATCTCTCCCCCTCTCTCCCCACCCCCTCTGAATTTCCAAGGGGAACGGGAACTGTATATATGCTCTTATGGAATCGAGCGGCGGAGATCACGGCCGAACATCTGGAATGACTCCATAGCCATTCATTGACCGCCGCCTGTCTACGCCTGGAGAGGAAGGTGCAGGGAAGCCCTAGAGGTGACCTGGACGTCTGCAGCGGGTTTTGTCAGCCCACGGTCATGGCGTCGCCCCGGCGTACCTCTCCCTCCCCCTTTAGCGGATCCCTGATTTAGCCGGGAAAAAGGACACTTGCCAATTCAGTGCATCTCTGGCCTTCACCAACTTACCATATATTCGCTTGTTGTCACACACCTGCACTTGGCGTCGCATTGTGTCACACCATATCACTTGTTGTCGCATGCCTCCCTCCGTGTACACATCACGTGCTGCTCCATGCCATGCTAACCTTGTGCCATTGTGTGATGCCTTGTGCCTACTGCCTTTAAGGTTGACCGGGATGCCTTACTCAGATCGCATGCCATTGTGTAATGCTCGAGCACCTTGTACTTTGTGTGATGTGCCTTCTTTAAAGCTTACTAGGGGACTATTGGTTAAACTTTATAGACGATGTAACAAATTTAAAGATTTAAATTTCATATAAATTTATAAGATCAATTAATATTTTAAGTCCAAGTTTAAGCATTGATGTGATAATAAATGACATAACTTCCAGCAATATTAAACGACCATTTGATGGCCCAAAACTCAAACTCTAAAACCATACTTCACCCCACGTCAAAAGAGGAGATAGAAAGCCACAACGTGTCTAAATGCACCATCCAAGAAATCCTTGTGTGCTTATAAGTGATTTGAAAACTTGAATGAAAAGATAATTATCAATTGCTTAAGCATTGAAAGTCTTCCTTCCACAAAGAAAACCAGCACTTTTGGATTTTTGATTGGAGGAAATCATGCCATGAAAGCTACATAATAAATATGGAAGAGCATTTATTATTCTTAAATTATAGTCAAGTACTTCTATTTGGGCTAAAGTAGAAGTAGAGGCTACAACATGTGAACTATCCTACCATCTTCCTTCTTGTCTAGTCTAGGGTCTATAGTGTAGGGTATGGCATATCATGTACCTCACATAGTGGGCACTATAACAACCTTCTTACATAGCACAGTATCTTGTCCTCCACCCATAGCTATCATGTCACACCCACAATGCCAGCTATATTAAGCATGATGCCTCCTAGTTGCTGGAAAATTTTACATGAATCTCCTCCAAAAATACACTATCAATGATACCTTGTGTTCTTTGTAACTAAGGATGTATGCCATCACATTGATTTACCCTGACTTGTGCATGAACTCAACATATTATTTCATCAAGAAGTATTGCCACCTCATTTACTTTTGTTGTGAACTTCTAATGTATCTCAAAGTAGCTTGTTGATATGTTGCTTATGTACACCATAAATTAATTACCAAGTAGAGCGTAACATAACAACCTTAAATAGTGGACCACGTATGTTATCTCCTTCTATGTATTGAGTATTGTCACTCTATGTCATTGAGCTTCTTGCTCTCATGTATCAATAGATGTCTCTCTTGCATCAAAACATCACTTATGGTCATGTTTGATGTATTGGCATGCACCTCAAGTTGCTGACCAAATTTTGATAACTGTAGTAATAAGTCATTTGTCGCTTCATGCTTAATGATGTTGAAGATGTAATGGCACACCTTTTTTAATCCAATCTAATGGCACATATCTATGCAACGTAATTTCATGCCCTTCTTGAGGTCTATTAATAGGGCTGCCAACTAGGAGTAAATCTAAATACACCTCTCATAATAGTTGGCCACGCTGAAAAAGAATTGTAGTTCTAGGATTTATCTAGGCTCCAACCATTAATTGATGGTATGAACTTTAATCTATCTATGCACCATTGTGTCTCACAACATACCAAAGAAAACTTCCTCTAACACAAAGTCACACTTTATAGGATCAAAGAAAATCTTGTGGTTACCAACATAGGCAATACCTCTTGAAGATGCTCCATAAGCTCATCCAACCTCTTGCTACACAACAAGAAATCATCTAAATAAACAACAATAAACTTAATGATGCCTCAAAGTTTGTGACCTTGATTTTGGCATCTTCTTTTTTCAGCATTAAGCTTACTGAATATTTCTTTCTCTTTGAAAAAATTGTCAATCACTACATTGTTGAACACTATTGTTGTTACCTAGTCATTGATGGTGGCTTCAAAGTAGATGAGCTCTCTTTTACCTTCATTATTGATCTCCATTAATCAACACAACATGCATATCAATTGAAGGGGATTTAGCATTGGGTTGTTGTTCCTAATTAGTGTCATGCACAGCCATATCTCTTAGTGCACTCTTGTTAGCATGATAAAGGCAATCCTTTTGCATACTAGGGTTTTACATGGATGACGTTGTCTCCCTCAGTGAGGTGCTCTATTAAGGAACTCCATATTGCATTGTACCTAGCCCTAGTCTTATAACTTCCTAAATTTCCTCTATGGTAGCCATTGATGTCTCCATTGTAAGTATTGGTACGATTACCTTACTCATGGTCATGTTCTTGTCACCTATATCACACTTGGTCATCTAGATGCTTTTGTACTGCAATATGATGTCGATCATTGCCATGGTTGACTACACATCATTAAGTCCTTAGCATAATAGATCCATCAAATGAGATTTTGTGATATAGCCAACAAAGCTCTTGTTGAGTTATTCATACATAGTAGGAATTTCTCCTTTACCTCCACTAATGCCTCCAACATGTTGATGGTGGACATGCCCCCCATTTCTGTCACCACATCACTATGTTGTAGAAGAGGTAAATGCTCACACGTGTTACTTCAGAAGTAATGGTTAAGGTCCAATTGAATATTTTCTATTTCCTAGCTAGGCATTGCACACTAGCAAATGCCTTTGCTCAAGGACCTTCAGACACATTGCTCTACCCACCATTTGTGCATCTAGTAATGAGCCCTTAATGGTTTAACATTTTCTAGAAAGACTTTTGCTGCATACCACAACTCTTAAGCATTTACATATCTACCCACAAATCATTAATGCAAGGAATACCTTGTCACCAATTGCTATCATAATTTCCAATTGTTCATCCACAATTTGGAAGCAGGCCTTATGACCTCCAAAGAGGTGACAACTAGAGCAATTTATGCCTTCAAGTAGTCAATTTAGGAAAGAGCAAGTCTTATCACTCTCAATCTTCTTTCCTAAATTCCAATACCAAATTGTCTTAGATAGTCATTTTAAACTTAGCTCACTTGACTAGGTTCAACTTTGGTCATCCTTATCAACATCCAAAAACTCTCTTAATGTAGAAGTTCCTTGCTTATAGAATCATGGATTCTTCTAGCAAAGGATTACACTTATGAAGGAGAGAAAAATCTGTTCATAAAGGCTGCAAGCATAGTAATTTTATGGGAGAACCTCTCATAGTTTTTCCAATTTTACCTCTATGATTGGCTCAGCCTAACCTTTGTTGTGACAGATTGACATTGTGGAGCACAATGGTTGGTGATGCAGTTATAACTAGAATAGGGCAGTCCAACCATTCCTTTAGTGAGATTGGTTAGATGGTGAGAGTTTCTAAGTTGTGACTTACTAGTGAGGTTGTAATTATTGTATGTGGCACTACAATAGATTAAGAAGGGGAGAAAGGAGGGAAGGGAGATGAATTGGACTTCACTTTAAATCATTGGGTGTTTGTACTTAGAAGATGTTTTAGAATCTTACTTCCAAAATTTATAGTGCTTTGATCTGCTTGACCTAGGCCACTTTTGAATAATGGCATCATTATGTTCCACTAAATCTGTAGTAAAATTACACTGAATTAGAGGCTTCAATCCTCTCTTTTAGGTTCATAGCTCTAGGGGGCAATGAGATTGGTACCAATTAATCTCCTCTAGATAAAGTTTGTGGATTAACTAGAGTTAACCTCCTCTATATTAAGGTTCTAGTGATACCCAATACTTCACAACTTAATGACTTTGATTTCTTATTTAGGAAGCTCATTTTTGGGGTTGTACCTTTTTGCTCTTTTGTTGCTCTTTGATTTTTGAATTTGATCCTTATTAATTCATTGTTCCTCATTGTTTATACAAAAAGAAGGCACTCTCTTTATATCAAATTGATTTCTTTTATTTTCCAATAGTTTTTTAACAGTCCAAAATTGGTCTTTCATGGAAGTGGTGCATCCCAATGGTTATTTGCAATCTTTTTCATTTAATGCCTCACCCAAGTATTAGAATCTCTCTTGTGTGTAAACACAAATCAACACTTGAATTAAGACATAAATAATTTGTATAAAATTTATCATTTAATATTTAATAATATAAATCATAATATATTCTATGAAGCAATTTGAGTATTTTCAAGGGCCATGAATATTTATTTCAACTAATTATATAAAATGACAATTTTACCCTTAAGTTGACTCTTCTTAATTTTAAGACTTTTCTTAACTATAACAATTAATATGGTCCAAATAAGTCGTCATACAATGATAGACTTCATGAAAGTATTCTTAGATATATTTTACCCTTTTTTGCCCTTGTAACATGCTAGAATAGAATGCCTCCATACATGCACTACACACATGTGCAGCTCCCTCATGCCAACTTTCTACAAGGTCCAAAGGAAACCTCATTGTGTCCTAAAAGAGTCATTGACACAAGTTACCCCAGCTTTGTGCTTTCAACATGTAGTGCATGCTGATATGTGCTATCTATACTTGTTTATGCCTATAACATCTTCAAGGTTCAGATAACACATCTTGTGAACCTCACTCCATCTTGCCAGTGTCATCCACCTGGATTGCATTTGAGCTCGTTGTGCTCTACATCTGCCATGTCATGCCAATGCATGCTTGCATCTACACCCACATGGCCTCATACTAGTTTGGCAAGGTTCTCCACCCACAACCTAGTTCATCCATGTGAGAGGCATCACACCTCCCTCTAAGGAGATCTCTTGTGTATAAATAGTTGTTAGATGTTCACACTAATTGATGAGGACCAATCTATAAAACCTATTGTATAGAACAAGTCAAAAAGGGTGCCCAAGTGAGAGGATGGTCAATGAATCTCAACCGACTTACAATTTCTCAAACATTGGGGGTTTTGCCTTCTTATAAATTACTAGGAAGCACTAACTCCCATCAGCATCTTTGAAAGCTAACAAATCTCCTAATAAATCATTATCTTATCTTACCATAAACACTCTTCAACCATCATTCGTTGTTATTTTAACTTGTCAATAGATGTTAATAAAATTACAAATTAAACTTTGTTTTCATATTTTTATTTGAGAACATCTACTATACATCAAAGAAATATCGACATAATTGTATTCTTGATGTTGATATCTCCTACAAAAACAAGAATATCAATGATCAAAATATTGTCATTGACATTTCAAAATGTTGATAGCCATCAATGTGTCAAAACAAGATTGGCATTTTGAAGTGAGACATCACTCAAAAAGTATGAATTATAATAAAAAAGACAAGCCAATGTCAACTATCATAAATATAACTTCAACACAATCAATGTGGATCTTAAAATTAGAGTTAAAGTAGAAATAAGAATAGGTAATGTCAAGTGTGGAGTGATCTAATAGCACTTTATTTTTATATAATAACTCAAGTAAATTAATCTAATTTTCACTAAAATTCATGAAAATTAAAATTATTAAAGTCAAACATGTTAGTAATGGTATGGGAATTATGTGATGAATTTAATTTTAATTTTATTTTATTTATTATTGATGCCATACGAATATATTTCTGACTTTGAACATGTATAGTATGATTATCTAAGGTTTATAACCTTGAGGAAAAAATTAAAATTGAGAAGAAATCAATTGCAAAGTGAGAATTGTGAAAGAAAAAATATTTCTTAGATTTTTCATTGAATTTATGAGGTATCTCGAAAGATTTTTCAGCAAAGTGGATATAAAAGGAATTCTCACAACAAGATAAAAGTAATTCATTCTTCATGATTTTACAAGTCTACCCTAGATGACCCACTCCCCTTCATAGCTGCCAGAATTATGATTTTAAGGGTGCTTCTAGCTTCTCTTCTCTCTTGATCTTTTCCTATGTTATAGGTAGGAAACCATTCTCCACCTCTTCTTCAACATTCTAGATTTTTTGTTTCTAGGTTTTTACTTAGCTTTCAAGTTTTTCAGGCCTAGTTCTTTCTTGATAGGTGGACACAAGTGAAGCAACATTTGGCACTTAGGAGTTTGATTTCTCTTTTGAGTGTGTTTAGCTTTGTTCTGCATTAATCTACATCTAGGTGACAAGCAGATAATGAGATTAAGTCTTTCAATTCATTTTGTACCACTTCTTAAACTGATTTCACATTCATTTTCTGGTATTCTATTTTTGAGTAACATATGAGCAGAGCTACAGGGGATGTTTGTGAATTAAATTTATGTTTCTTTGCATTATTTTAAATTCTCTTATAACATCATTTGTGTAATAGGAAGACAATGAACTTAAAAAAAAAATAATCCTCATTTTTATCATTTTTCTATTCCATTTTATTACCACAACGATTCTTAGTTCCTAGGTGACATCCAAGGATGACTCTATGCATTCAATTTTAATCCTCATTTCTTATGGTTTTTCTTCTTGTAATTTTAATTTTTTTGATGAAATTTAACTTGATGATTTTTCGAACAATTTGATTTTATAGATTACTCAACTTTTATATAGATTCAAATTGAAATCATTTTCACATTGTTTCATCGGTGAAGTTTGTATGTCAATTGATGATTTTAGGTTTACTTTTATTTTTAGTAGTTTGTTTTGTGAGAGTTTAAGTTTTCTGGTCAAAAATTTTACTTTCCTAAGATCATTTGAATCATTTTATTTCAAAATATTATGAAGCTTTTATTAGAATCCAACCAAAAATCATCTTCATGTTTCACTAACGATATGGAGAGACCCTGCTTGTGGCTGTATTTTCTCTCTCCTACAAGTTTTTTTCCAATTTCAGGTTTTCTCTTTTTCATTTATTTCTTTTATTTTTTGATTTTTATGTGATTCTATATGGAATAATTTGTAGGTCTTGAGTTATTTATCAATGTTGAACATGGTCATACTTTAAATTTGAAATATTTAGAGCACAATCACTTTGTAGAAGATTTAAAGCATGAAGAATATTATTTTATTTCTTATTACTATTTTTATTTTAATAAAATATTTTTAAATAAAAATTGATTTTGAGATTGACTATCATCCTTGTGGACAACTTAAATTCACAAAATTTAAATTTTATTATTGATTTATATTTGATTTATAAACATTTAAAATTTGATCTTTTTATTTACAACGACCAAAGTGATATCACCATCCGAGCTTAGTTATTAAATAATGTGTTCAAATCTCACCATTAAGTGCAAACACTTGCAAAAAAATATAAAAAAATTAAAGAAAATAAAAATTCATGTTTTTTGACTCATCAAGATTTTTCATAGGTCATATGATCACATTTCAGTCCTAGGGTTATGAACAAGCAACTATAATGAGAAGAGTTGAGAAAATTTTCAAGGCTCAAAGACTCTAGGTTATCAAGAGTCTCCTCTCTCCAAAGTGTAAGGGTAAATCAACACTATTGATTGCATGCACATACACTATAGAAAATACTTGTTCCTCTAATAACTATAACATTTCTAATTCCTCAAACAAAAAGGTCTAAGAGTGTTGTTGCATCAACTTAATGAATATTCTAGGTCTTGTTAACATTATGCTTGTTTCTACTTTGCTGGTTTCTAACATTATAGTGGTTTCAACCTTCCTTTTCAACAATTGTGAATCAACGCACTTTACGTGATGACACTTTTAAAACCAGATCATTGCTAACACACTAATGTTTTTCTTTAATCATAATTGATAAATGGTACTAAGGTAGTTATCATTTAAATTATTATTCTGAAGTTAAATTAGGCTTTCTATTCAATAGGGTTTGACTCATGATGTGAAAGTTTTGTTCATATCACAAAGAAGCTAAATTATAGGTCATGTAGCCTAGTTGACTTCTTGGATGTAGATTAAGTGTATCAACATGTTTATACATTGATATTAGGGTTCAGCCACTCTGCTCTCTATATTGAATATTAGTCAAAATAATTTCCGTAGAGTTCTCTCATAATATTAGAATACTAATTTTTATATTCACGATGAGGTTATGGACAGTGAGTACGAAAAAAATGTAACTTATAATATTCACTTTGAAGGAAAATAATCACTAGTTATGTAAGTTGATTAGTGAATTATAACGGAAAAACACATTTTATTTAATACATTTCAAGATAATGTCCCATGATTTCAAGATAACTATATTTACTGATTTAGTGTAGAATATTTTATTTTAAAATTTTAAGGAGCATAGATTTCATTATCTTTTTTTCCCAGTATGTGAAATATTCCATGGAGTCTATCTGCACAAGAAATATTAACGTAGTTCGGTACACGGACAACAACTTACTAATCTCCGATGGCCATGCTGATAATGGGTACGAGCTCATCTACCCAATAAAGACAATCAATAGCGGGATGTTGGAGTTATGAAGAGGTGCCGTCATCCCGGGAGAGAAATTAGTGCTGTGTACTGAGAGAGAGAGAGAGAGAGAGAGAGAGAGGAGAGGTGGTTCCAAGTCCATGCCGATCATCGTCATGCTGTGGTCCTCGACCACATTTATGGGATCACTGTTCTTGATTTTTGGTCGAGATCTGAGACAGTGCAGACGCCGGCGGAGGAGTCGAGTTAGACGTGCCCAACAAAGACGACGAAGGTGGTGGAGTATACCTCAAATCGCCACGAGATGCCGCCGCAGGGAGGAGCCGACACCTATCAGCTATCTGTCTGGTCGACGAACAGGCGCGCGCCCACATCCCCGAGCTTCATCCTGGTTTTCCTCTGATCCATCCCGAATTCCTCGGCTCAGACAACTTCCCCCGCTAAGAGCATTTACAGGGGTTTTGGGGGAGGAAAAGGAGGGGATTGGAGTACTTCTCTCTTTCTCTGTCTCGGGGAGGGGAGGAGAGTTATCGACACTGGAACAGGGTGCGGTGAGGTTAACTCCGGATAAAGAGAGGACCGGAAATCACATTCGAGGGAGAGAAATGAGGGAGGCAGGCGAAGAGCTGGATCCTGAGTTAAAGGCGAGGTTTACAGTCACTCCCCGACGAGCCACCAGTAGAAGGAACTGAAGAACGCGCCGACGGCCGCCTCGTCCTCCGCCTGCCGCCGGTGGCTCCACTCTAGATCAACGCCGCCTCCGACGCTAGCGGCGTCCCCTTCGTGGCGGCGGCTGCTCCTCCTGGAGAATCTGATCGAGGAGAAGGACGAGGAAGCGGAGGACACCATCCGATCCAGATGGTCCCTGAGCCAGTTCCTGCTCCCTCCGCTGCCGCCACCGCGGGCGGCCTCCGCCGGTTCTTCCTCCCGCCGGGCCGGAGCACCGTCGCGCAGGTTCTTCTTCTCTTCTTTGTGATTCTGCTGCCGGCTCTCCTCCCCCAGGGCGGCGAGTATTGCCTCCATCTCCTCCTCCGTCACGCGCTCGAAGGATGATCCCACGGAGGAGAGGGAGAGAGTGCGCCACTGGAGCGGTGGCGCGTCGCCGTCGACGGTTATCCTGCGGCTGAGGCTGCCGATCTCGATCTGGATGCTTCCAGAAGCGTCGGATCTCGCTGTCGTCGCCAAGGCCGCCGATGTTGCCGCCGCTGTCTCCGGCGCCGGCAGCGGCAGAGGAGGAGGAGGCGCTGGAGGCGGCGGCGGAAGAGGTCCCTGCAGGATGGAGGTGCGGCAGAGGGGGCAGGAGAGGCTGGATCCAAGCCAGGTGTCAATGCAGGAGGAGTGGAAGGCGTGGCAGCAGTAAGGGAGGATCCGGAGCTGGTCGTCGGAACGGAAGCCGGAGAGGCAGACGGCGCAGTCCTGCGAGAGCTTCGGGAGGACGGTGATGGAGGATCTGTGAGTGAAGAGGGGCAGAGATTCGATGAGTATCTTCTGATCGTCGTCGTCGCGGCCGCGGCGGTGGCTTCGCCCCGTCGGCGACGATGGCGCCGGCGGCGTTTCCGCCGCCGCTACCGCGGAGGAGGAGGAACCGCGGTGGACGAGGATCATCTGCCGGGAAGCGCCTGGCGATGGCGACGACGACGAGGCCCCCCGGGAGAGGCATCGGAGGAGGAAGTGGATGGCGACGGAGGCGAGGAAGACGACGAAAACGATGCCGGAGATGACGAGCAGGCTGAGTTTCATGGCGTGGCCGCCGTGAGGTGGTGGCGGCGGCATGGCGGAGCGCATCTGCTCCACGCTTCTCTCTGCTCCCTCTGCTCGTCGTTCGTTGCGGCTCAGCAAGGAGAAGCAGTCTCTTTCTCTCCTCTCTGTTTTCTTTTCTTAGCGGGAGAAACAGGCCTTCCCAGCGCGGTATTTATCGTGCCCCTGCGAGACTTACTCTATCACTCCCCATTAAAAAAATTTATTTAGTTTAAACCTTACAAATCTCATTATCATCTTCCCCTTGTTTTATGCTTACATGCTGAACTTTTATTCGTTTGATCCCTCCGACGCTCCCTCTGGGAGCTTCCCTGACTCTACCGCAACTCGTGCCCAGTCAAGCGAGCTCATCAGGAGTTGGTGAACGAGCGCCCCGTCGTAAACGATAAACTCGGCGGCGCCATAAAAATCGCGTCTTTAGCCGGGATTTTTGCCGGGCCGCAAAGTCACTAAACGACATGCAGATGGTTACTGACTGAAGTTGATATTTGACTCGATCATGTCAAGTTGACCCTTTATGGAGTGGAGTGGAAGAAGCACGAACATATGAGAAACTCGGAGGCTTTCGCCCAAAAGGCTGGACCGTTGACTCCCGTCGAGGCCGTTGTTTTATAGTAGGATAATTTTTGAGACCTATTTATAATCTGAACGGTCATAACCTTCTCGAGCGTCGTTTCTTCCCGATCGACTGATCACAACCGTCCATCCAGTGTCCCTTATTTCCGTAGACCTAATGATTACCGCTCGCGTAACTCGGCAGTAGCGAGTTGCCCCCGTCAGCCTCCGCCGTGTGCCGCCTAGTTCTCGCCACGTTATTTATTGCTAGAATAAAAGTATACGCAGAAGGAGCACGGTGACGCTGCGATGGGCCCGCGGTTGGCGGAAGCGGGCAGTCTGGGCCCCGGTGAGCCCGGGCGGCAGCAACTGCGGAGAAGATTCCCGTGGGCTAGGAGGCCGACTCCAGTGAAGGGTGCCTACGACCAGAAATGTCCGTTGACCAAATCATCTTCCAGTGCAAGTATTGCCTGGGGATTTATTGCTTTTATTTAGTCACAGTGAGAGAGGGTTGTTGACTTCGGAGTCTCTAGAGTGAAGAAGCGGAGCTCTCATGGTGTTACAAGATTAGGCTGGTAGGGTCTTATCTTGCGGATATCTGAAGGAAGTCAAATGAAACACAAAAGTCAATCAAGTCCTGGATGGAAGCAGGAACACATTGGAGCTCAGGAATACCATAAATAGGGCCCTTAGAGCCGGCAGATCAAGCCCTATTTTATAGATACCTTCCTTGGGCGGCAAGGCTTGGACTAACAAAACCGCGTCGATAAAGAAAGACTAGAAATCTCACTTGATGCTTTCACGGATGGCGATTTATTCCCGTTATGCGTGGAAAATTAGGGCCGTCGATCTCCTATTTTAAAGAAGAGGTCCTTTTCTGGTGATGCAAATGGTTTGGATATGGCCCCGGACGGGTGGAGAGAGGATTAAACTGGATATCTGGTTTTCACGTGAAGCATCGACGAAGTGGAGGAGAACTGGTGGGCCGGCCCCGCATCGTCTTGTTACGGCTTTTTTTATAGACGTGTTCGATGTACACGCGTCTCTTGTGTTTCGGCAGCCCAAGAAGTTCCGGAGGCGCCGCCATCAATGGCCGGGGGGTCCTCTTCCTCTTCATTGCTTCCCGGCCGCTGGGCAACGGGCACTCCCGCGTGACGGGAGGCTGCAGGAGGGGTGGGTAGAAGGAGAGAGACTGACAGACCGCGACAGAGACAGAGAGAGCTTGAGAGAGATAAAGAGAGAGAGGTAGGAACGGCACTAATGAAAGGATGGGAGGAGAGAGAAGTTTGGGGGGATGGCAGGTTGCACCAGGCGGGCACTTGCGCCAGGTCAGCAAATATCCGCCAGTTGGCGCGCCAGCTAGGTCGACATGTCTGCCCTAATTGCACCGATCGGACTAAAACCTGCCGTCGACACTTCCCAATAAAAACCTTAAAGCGGAGGAGCTCTACAGCACTGCCCCGAGTTGGAATCCCGATCCATACCAAGCGAGGAAGCGTGTCTTTTATCTTCGTATCTTCGGCCATAAGCATCACCCACCGAGGAAGGGGGCGACTCGCTGTAGTTAACTCGCCCCGACGAGCCCATCGGGAAAGGAAATGCGTGGCTGGGAAGCAGCCTTTTACGGAAAGTCGCCACCGCCGGAGTTGTCTGCTGAAGGAAGCGTTGCATGTAGATGAATCGACTCCGATTTCGTCGCCGCTCTCAGGCTTTCCGGGGTGAAATAGTGAACTTTTTGAAGCGCGGGAAGTGAAATCGTTCAGACCCGACGAAGCCTCGGCCTGTATCAATGATGGAACTTCAATGGCGACGCCAGCGTTACCTGGAGCTCGGCTCGATCTGCTCCGAGTGTTATCTAATCTGAAACTCGGAATCAAATACGGAAAGAAGAAGAAACCCGAGTTAGTCATTATTCATCTAGAAGTCTGCTTCGTTAGGTTTCCTCGTGAACTCTCCCTCTCTCTCTCTCTCTCTGAGGAAGGTATCTCTTGTTCCTCAAGGCCAGCCCACTGATATCCCTTTTCTTCAGTACTTGCATAAATATTGTGGTTTAACACGAACCTTTCCTGAACCTTTCCTGGTGCAGATTCCACGAGAGTTAAACTGAACTCGGTTTCTCACCTTCCATTCGAACTCAGAACAAGTATTCCTATTCCTTGGATAAGACGCTTGCAGGGTAGTTGGGGTCCCCAACGCCCAAAACGGGCCGATTTTTACCTCGTTATTATTCGTAGCCCTCCCTCCTCAGCACGTTACAAGTGAATAAATTGTACTAATTAAATCGTTGGAAAGGAATTAAATAAATTCACTTCGTAGCACATTAATTTCATGTGCTTCTATACTATATATAATGAAGTAAACATTCTAAATCGATCAATTAAATATTCTAATCAAATTTTGAAAACTTCTCTAACGATTAGAAAAATTGATTAAAATCTAGTACAAACATTCCGAATTTGATGTTAGAATCAAGATTCGAATTATTGTCCATGGTAAACCGGCAATTCTAAAATATGAGGATAAAAATATTTAATCAAAAGTCAGTAAGGCATTTAGAGATGAATTAATATGGTAAAATTATATTTTACACTATTTTCAATAGAAAAATAAATATTTAAAAAATAAGATGATGATGTTAGGATATAAGAAAACCATGAACTTTTTGGGTGTTGACTAAAGATAGTATGTGATAGATAAGATTTTGAAATGAATAAAATCCCATTTGCATTTAAACAAGATGGAACACGAAAAAAAATAACAACTCCTACAGTTTACTTATTTTAAAAATATTGGAAATATATTTTCCTGACCATTAAGATACTTCCAGTTGATGTTGGGATTGATTGCATCACTAGAGTCTCTCTTACTATTTTTCAAGAAGAGAGACTATGCACCTAACTAAATGAATCTTACACAAGTTGTTAGAAGAACTCTAGAAGGGTAATATGATAATTAAAAATATTAGAAATACATTACCCATTATATAACAAAAACAAAAAAAATGATGAAAATTTATTCAAATGTAAATATGAAACTTTCATTTTAAAAAAATATTTGAACATCTTTGTCACTCTTTAAAATGTTTGATTATGTTATAAATGATCTAGTAAAGGCAAGTTAAAGACTTTGTATTCAACATTTTTACCATTTCATTTTGGTGGAACTTATCCACTATTCCTTTGAGAGTGGAGTAGGCTAGGTTAGGCCCAACTACTTTAAATTACAATTTACATAAGTCATGCAGGAAACTTTAAGTGTGAAACAATCCTCATGATAATGCTAGCACGATATGTGTGGAACACAAAAGGCTAAGGGTTTTAAGTACTTTGAAAATCAAAAGCTTAACTAATGATAAATAAATGATAAGTTTATGAAATAATAAATGTGAGAAATGTGATATTTAAATCAAGTAAAATTTCTAGAAGGACACAACTATCATTTCTTCTGATAGAAGTTAAATGAAATAATTTTTATCTCAAAAAAGGTGTCTCACATATAGGCTTAAAACCATTATGATAAATCAAAATTTCAAATTGAAATATTCTCTTTTTTACGTTTTTAAAACATTACTAAATTTATAATTTTTCCCAAAGGCAATATGATCCAGATTTGTAACCTAGCTAATTAAAATAATTTGTCTTTGAAAAATTATCATAGATATAATCTTTCAACAAGTTATTGGAAATTTTACTTGGAGAGAAATCCAATCCAATGAGGCCCACATCAAGATTCGGAATATGAAAATGGTTATGAATTTTGCATTGTTTACATATATATTTTTATGTTTTTAAGAACCCACATGAGGTCCATTATGGCTCACTCAACTAGTTTAACTAACTATTTGACCCCAAAAGCCAAAGATATAAAGAGGGCTTTCGCCCAAATTATGCGATGATGAGAGAGATCAAATAAGGAGTGTTCAAAATTAAGTGAAGGCCTGAAAATCTATCTTTTTCATCATCCTCCTAGTGTCTCTAAGTAATATAATATGTCCAACATGAAGCATTGTGGCATCCCCTCTTCCACAACAGATGAATATCTCTCATTGCTCAAACATTAAGGAGCTTCATCATGTCCACCCTCTTTCACAACAAGCCTCCTCACCTCACAAGAGAATGGCAGTACATTTGAGCTAAATACTTTCTACTCTTGATTTTATGCTTGAATAGAAAGTGAAGGACCTTTTGGAGTGCTTATTAGGCAATGTATAATAAGTGGGTAGAGTTTTAAGTTTAGTAGATAAATAGAATCATAAAATCTATGCTAATTGAAGTTGTCATAAAGCCAAGAAATCTAGGAGCTGATATAGACTCACAAAGTCTATATTATAAGGGATGTTAATCACATGAAATCATCTATATTCTTAGGATGAGAGTAGTGGAACTAAAATTATGATTTAAAAAATAAACATGTCAAAGGGGTTCAGTCAAACCACAATAAAACCCAATGTCTTTCTCTTTCTGTATCCTCACTAAATTTAATTTAAGAAAATAACTTGAAAACTCAAAAATAATATAAAGGATAATTAATATATGAACAATCACTTGATCCCCCTCTTGATTCGTGTAACTAGTCATTTAGGGGCTAATAATGTACAAACTTCAAACAAACATCATTATTGGAGTATAGCAAGCTTCACAAGAGTTTTTTTGTGAACCTTAGAGGCACTATAGGTGCAAATACACATAAGAGTGTGTCAGCATGACATAACATGCATCAACACAAGCATGGTATTTGTAGAGCAAAAGAGGCTTCTGTAGGCACTTGAAGGCCAAATGAGCAATCTTGCCATGATGAAGTAAGGTTCAAGGAGCTGTCCTATAAACACCAGATGCAATGCAACATTGTACAATCAAACAAAACATCAAATCATGTAGCATGGCTTGGGAAGATAGTGCATGAGCTAGTTGTCATAACAAAGAGGCGTGCAATGAAGACATGTAATGTGAAGAGGTGCACAATGAAGACATGTCATGGGAAGCCATTGTTCTAGCTGTAGGTGTGACCTTGTCATGAGTATAACCAACTACACTAATTGTTGGTGTAGCCAATACCAGTCCATAACTTTCCTAGACAGTTTTAGGGAAGTTATAGGGAAGTTATGAGGGTGAGTCTGTCTATAACTCTCAAGATGGGCTAGATAACATACCAAGAGATGTGTGAATCAGCCTTTTAAAATAGTTTTCTACCTTTTTATGCCTTTAGCCTAGTTTTCTTGGTTCTGGATGAAGTGGATTGACACATACAGGTTGGGATGACATAATTTGAAATAAATTAATATCCACTAAGTTGGGCATTATATGCTGATTAGCACTGGTCATCGTAGCTTAAATGATGCACTCAATTTTAAATTTATAATTGAACTCCTAATATATAGTTATTAATATAAGGTGAGTCCAAGTTGAATCGATAAGAATGATTCGATTTATTTTTAATGCAAATCTCATACTCTACAAAGATATATTTTTGAAAAATTAAATGTCAATATCTAAGAAACTTTATTTTTCTAAGAAATAAAAAAATACACGAAAATAAAAATACAAACTAGCCTAAAGATGATTCTTCACTATCCCCACTATGTTGATGATGCCAGTCGAATACCCACGATGAAGAAAATACTCCTTTGTGTAGGAGATAGAGAGAGAAGAAAGAGAGAAAAGAGAGGAGAGAGGTAATAGGAGAGGTGGAAGAGAGGGGCGATATGAGAGAGAGGAGAGAGGGACAGATAAAGGAATAAAAAAGGAAAAATCATGGATGAGAGAGATAGTTCTCGTTCATGGAAAGGAGGTTTCACCTACGGGAGAGATTTCTGGCAAAAGGGGAGGAGAAATCAATGAAAAACTTATAAAAACAATTAAACGAGGAAGACAAAGAAGAAAAGAAGATGTGAAAATACTTGAAAAAGAAAGGGAAAAGGCCAGAGGAGAGAGAAACTCGGAGATAGGAGGGTTTCTGCCAATGAGAGAGAAATACCTAAAAATCAATATTTTTGGTGAATGAAACAAAAAATGGAATAAAACTAGATTAAAAACAAAAGTAAAGGAGTGAGGAAGAGATTGGATGGAAGATTGAGAGGGGGAACGATTTAAAAAAATGAGACAACTCACCAAAAAAGGAAGAACTCGTGCTACAAAGAAATCTCCACCACTATACAGAGAATGCCTACGCAAGAGAGAACAAAAAGTTGATAATGGAACAAGGGATTGGAGAACATCAAAATAACTACATGAAAGATTATGAATGTGAAAAAAGTAATAGAGAATATAGAGGAAGTGGGAGGAAGAGACAAACATGCTGAAAACATAAGAAAAACAAAGAACCCTTCTCATCTGTCACTTAGGAAGAAAGGGCTAAAGGGAGAGTGAGAAGGCTGCAAAAACTAACTAAAAACTTAGAAACTAAAGATCTAAAATGTTAAGGAAGAAGCAGAGAATGATTTCCTACCTGTCATATATGAAAGAGAGAAGAGATGACTGTCAAGAGAGAGAGAGAGAGAGAGAGAGAGACATTGCAAGAAAGAGAAGAGAGAAGAGAGAAGAGAAGAAGAGAAAGAAGGAGAGGAGTGACTTGGAGAAGAGGTGCACGAAATATTTTTATCTAATAAAAGTTGATGGCTAGCTCATGAATGTATAGAGATTAAATTGTCCTTGTATTTAGCCAAAGTTTCTTTTTTTTTTAGTAAAATAAAATAACTAATTAAACACAAATTCTTATTATAAATAGAAATATATATATGAAATTTGAAAATAAATTGATATTAAGGTAAAATTTTAATTTTATATTTTATATTCATAAAAGAATGGACACTTTAATCTTATTTTCACTTAAAATTATCATGTTATCAATGCACATGCACAAGTTAAGAAACCTAGTTGAGATTCTTGAGAATGTTGAGTGGACAAGGTTGATGGTGCAGATGTCATAGGTATTGTGATGGCAGTCACAACATATGAGGGTATATCAGCCATTACTTTACGAATTGATATGAATAATTTGTTGACATGAAGATAATAAATATTTTAAATTAGGTTCACGATCATATAATAATTTTGGCATCTAGACTTGAATCTTTCCCATTGAATGGTAGTGTGGAATACTTGTGTATTTTCCTTGATTTACTTTTGTTTAAAATAAGTGTGTTTGATATGCATATTGGGCCTGAATTTAAGCTGAAATTGATTTAATTATTTGGCCCAATTTAGAAGTCCTAAAGGATCCGGTTAATGGGCCAAATATTTAATGTATTGGATCCAAGAGTGATCGTCTTGCTAAAACCGTATCTGGGTAAACTAAATAGATGAATAGTCCAAAAATAACATCTGAAACTGAAACGAAATGAGCATTCATTATGATTCGGTCCATTCCTCAGCCCACCAAGGATCAAGAAAAAATTATATTGTCATTTTGCCAAATTGTTCTATGTGATTTTATTACGGATTATCGTGGTAACACTTATCTCACAATTCTCGCCTAGAATACAAAAATTTCAACAAACCCATCAGATAATCTCCTCCCACTCTTTGCCGCTCAAAAAATCACAGGAGAAACGACAAAGTTAGATGTCAAAGAATCATCTGAATCTTCACTAGAGAAACTAGGAGATCAATGATGGGAGGCTATTGTTTTTCGCTAGAAACAGAAGGTGTTTTGATAGGTACCCCTATCTACCAGATTATCATTGGTACGATACTAGTTAGATGGTGATAGCCTCTCGTCGTATGTGAAAGAGAACATAGAGAGAGAGAGGGAACGAGAGGGAGAGAATGAGAGGTAGGAAGACTAGTCAACTAAAAGGAAAGGATAAGAGAGGATAATTGATGTGACTTAGTCATTATATAATAAATCACGTAAATTTAAAATTTATAAAACTAGAAAATACTAAATTTAAAAGTATTTCAGAACAAATATATTAATTATAATTCAATAAAACTTTCAAAAATAGTGATAATTTTCCAAATCAATCATAGAGATGTAATATAATATCAAATAATTTTTCAAAATTTCCTCAAAGAATATATATTTTTTAAAAATTTATATTAAAAATAAAAATGAAATATATTTAAAATTCACAAAGAAGAGAAATAAGGATGTGGACGTTATGATGATATTAATGCCTGACAAACACAAATTGGGTGAAAATAGAGTTTTGTCTGGTGATTCTTATGTAAATAATTATGAATAATTTAATTGATTAAATTAAGATCTATAAAAGCCAAAAGAATCATAATTGAATGAAGTGTAGCTTGGTAAATGTAAATCACACACATTATCACTAAATGAAGTGAAAATTAAGTTAAAAGTAAGAAAATAGAGTTTCAACGTCATGACAACAATACGTTGGTAATACACTAGAATCTTGAGCGTTCGAGTAAATCGTTGTGTAGTGTCCATGGTTTTGAAGATTTTTTTTGGATAAGGACGACATGAGTAATCTCTAGATCTCTTTGTAAAGTCTAGAGATCAATAAAATAGATTGTCAAATCATCTTTGGCAGTTGTCACCTGATAAAGTAGAAAAATAACGACTTTGTAGTTCTCTGATAGTTGTCACTCAACAAAGAAGAGCTAGATAGAGAAGTTGTCTGCTTATATAAAAGAGATTGAAATACGTATTTTAATATCTTTATCAAGTGAGGTCATCATAGTATATCTTTGTTATAACTAAGGAATAGTTTAGGTATTAAAATTTTTAAAGCCTTTCAAGAGAAGGTATGACACAGATCTAGTCTCACATTGCTTATACGTTAAAGTTTTAGGTGAATATATACTAATATTACATTAGTAAGTAATGAGTTATTTTCTCTTGTGTGTACGACCACTCCTTGTCCCACAACAGGTTGGCCACCGATGACATAGAAGGGGAGTGGTGCACACGTGTCCCCATCGGTTTTTAGCTGCTCAATCCCTTGCTTACAACTCCCCCCGACTATACTTTCGACCTGCTTACGGGTCCCCCCCTTTTACTATATTTTTATTTAAATTTATTTATTTTTTTATCTTAAAAATAGAACTATAAAAATTATATAAATTCATAAAAAATTATATAATTAGGTAAAAATTTACATTAATCAACTAAAAACTATTTTTCATAATTTAATATAAATATAAGTCTATTTATCATAAGTTAAGATTAAAACTATATTATTTACTAATTATTAACTTATAATAATAAAGACTTATCAGCTAACCGTATACCAAGATGACAAATAGAAATAAAAGAGAAGAGTGGGGATAACAATCTGTAGAGGGGATTAGGCTCTAGGGACCCTTTGAGTGGGTGAGACTCTATCCTTCTTGCTGTCCCTTTTAATGTATTCTGCTGATTCTTATATAGACCTTGCTTGGTTGCTTGGTCTTCCACCTCCCTCGTCTTCTATGGTGGCATTTCTACTTTCAAGTCGGGTTGACGTTCAAGATTGCCGTTGCTTCGGAAGTGGTGTTGATGAGAGTAGCTCATCAATACTCTCACCTTGTCCACAAGGGAGAACTCTGGAAAAAACATGGAGGATACTCTTGGCTAGTTCCCAAGTTGACTCCGTTGTGGGAAGGTCACGCCATTCTACCAGTACCTCGAGTCCTTGGGTTGTGTGGTGTGTGGCGGTGACCTCTTCTGGATCGACCTTCCATTGGTTCTCACTGTTGAGTAAGAGAGGCTGCGGCTGTATGTGCTGGTCGCCCTTGGCGGGTTTGAGCTGTGAGACATGGAAGACGCGGTGTTTGCGGGACTCTAGGGGTAGCTTGAGGCAGTAGGCCACAGCACCAATACGGTCCAGTATGCGGCAGGGTCTGAGATACCGTGCTGCTAACTTCTCGAAGGGTCGCCGTGCGAGTGACTTGAGGGTCGGGGGGTCTCGGCCATAGATGGCTTGGAATGGTGCGGTTCCCGTGGAGGAGTTGAAGGTGGTGTTATACCACAACTCCGCCCACGGTAACCATTTGGGCCACTGCCGTGGGTGATCTCCTGCGACACATCATAGGTAGGTTTCAAGACCGCGATTGACCACTTCCGTTTTGCTGTCGGTCTGCGAATGGTAAGCGCTGGTGCAGTGTAACAAGGCACCCTGAAGCCGAAAAAGCTCCCGCCAAAAGGTGCTGAGGAAGATCCGGTCACAACCTGATAAGAGTGTCTTTGTATTCCGTGGAGCTTGACCACGTCTCGGATGAAGATCTGGGCAACATCTCCAACAGTGAAGGGATGCTTCAAGGCGGAGAATTGGGCGTGCTTACTCAGGCGGTTGACCACTACTAGGATGGTGTTGAATCCACTAGCGAGTGGTAAGCCTTCGATGAAGTCCATCGAGAGCTCCTCCCATATCTTTTCCAGAATGGGAAGGGACTGGAGTAAGTCAGGGCAGCTCATCATGTTTGCTGACAAAAAATATTGCGGATCTTCGCCGCCGGAAACAAGAGGGGTTTGTGGACGAAAAAATATCACATATCTTGATGGAAAAAAATGAGAATTATGACGACGGAAGATCACCCTGATACTCACCGGAAAAATGAGGAAAATGACGTCCGAAGATCACCTAAATCTGCGCCAGAAACAGGAGGAGAAAGACGAGAAAAAAAGCTCTCATATTTGCGTTAGAAATACGAGAAGGACGGGGATAGAGGAACGCACAAACAAAGATCAATCAACGGAAGAAGAGGAGGACAACGACTGATTGCACGAGAAGAGAAAGCTCGAAGAGAAGAGAAGTAGAAGGCAGATGAAGAGAAGATCATACACGCCACTCACCTTCGATCTCAAGGGATCAAAGGAGAACGAGAACGAGAATGAGAGGAAAGAGAAAGAAGAAGGAGAAGAAGAAAGAGATCATCCACGCCACAACTCCTGATCCTCTCAACAAGGAGAACGTGAAGAAAAAGGAGAATTAGATCCACCACACCGCAACGAAATAAATATTCATGATTGAGTAATCCCCTTACGTCTCACCACATTAAATTGTGGGAGAAAAGGTTTCCTTAGAATCTGAAATCTAAGAAGAGAGAAGCATACAACTTCATAGGTTTGACCTCCTAGATCTGTGAAATCTGGAACAGAGGAGCGTGAACTTTTTATAGTCTTGGTCGCCTAGAATTGTGCAATTTATAAGATGATTTGAAAAATCTCAAATCAACTACAGTTGTGAAATCCAGTAGGTTGTTAAGCCTAGAATTGAATGTGTTCCTACTACGAATTTAATAGAACCAAAAGGCATAGTCTTAGGACAGTAGATGTAGGTCAAGAATACTAAACTGGTATAAAGTTTGATATCATGCTTCCACTTAGAAGTCAACAAATGTTACTCATGTAATATAATTTTGAAGATAGATAGATTTCATAATGAGTAGAAGGATTTGATCTTTCCTTGAGGCATTATTTGAAAGATCTGGTAATTGATTATTATATAGCCCAAATCTTCAGTACTACATTTTAAATATTTGATATCTGATCGGCCAAAGATTGACTAGGTTGACACCTAAGTTCACCCATTGAATAGTCTACATAGTCATGTCATCAATTTGGTTAGTTTTTAACTAAGTCCCTATAAAACATAGTAGTATAAGATTTTCCTCTTTTTATTTGATCCTTTAAAGTGTCAAGATAGACCACACTTTGTCAACTATTTGACACAGCAGAAATGTTAACTTGATGATGTCTTGATTGAGTTGGCACAACTTGTGTTACAAAGTGTTGAAATCTCATATTTGAATTCACAAAAAAGACAATTTTTATGAAGATCCTTCACCTTGGGTCTATTGAATGAAGAGAATTCGTCCTTTTGACTCCAAAAGGCTATGATCTTGTGCCCAAAAGGATCAAAATAGTTCTTTTGAATCCACAAATGATGTTGGAATCCACTAGCAAAGAATAAAACCTCAAAAGAGGTAAATATCATGGGATTCATAATACTAAAGTTGGAATGCCTCAAGGGCTACAAAAGGGCCTTTAAATAGGCTAAAAATCTAATTATAATAAACCTAGAAAATAGAGTTATGTTAGAATGCCCCTAAGGAAAAATAACACCCTTAAGAGAATGAGAGGATTATTTGAAATAAATAAAATGTGATAATTGCGATTTGACACATTTAATATGTGTCCTCTTACTCAGCCATCTAAAATTAAATTTGGGTTGAATTGTGTCTTTATACATCCTAAGCCTCTGGTCCATTTGAGTTGGGCTCAAACTAAGCTTCTACTTTATTTGACAAGAAAAGTAGTGTATTTCAACTCCTTGGACTCATATTATAGTTTTCTTCACTTGAATCAGAGAGTGTTTGTTCTTCTTTTGATAGGCTTTGATGAGATGCCTCAAGTATCTCATTTTTCTCTTTCTTATGATTTGCTTCAACTTTATATCTTGACTGACATTACTTTGTAGACACTATGTAGGCACTTTGTCTCTTCTCTACTATGGAAGTAATTTCTCTCTCTTCTATTTTATTTAGGTCAACACATTTCTCTTGCCTCTATTTTTGTTGAATAGACACACTCTACTCTCATCAAATTTTTGTTTTTAAAACCTGTTTCTTTGCTCTAAATGTGACGTTTTGATAACATACATCTTCATCAATGGTTCTTTTTAGGGAATAATCTCTAACAAATGGAATCCAACAATGAATGTGTTAGATCTAATGATTTAGATCTCCATCTGAATATTGGAGAAAATAATATGTATATAAAAAAATTCTTTTATTTTTTTATGATTATTGATCATTAAAACTTTTAAACTAACATTCTTGTAGTATATTGTTCTAAAATAGTGAGAATTACACATCTCTTTGAATCATAGTCTGTTTCCATGCTGCATTGAGGTTGCTGGACATTGACTAAGTGACAGGTTAAGCTACACAACAGAGCAAAACCTTGCAGGTTTAGTAGGATCTCAAGACGACTACCACTATATTAAGGTGCTGGGATAGTAATTAAGTTTTGCAAAGATGATAAAGATTATAGAGAGCAAGCATTTGCTTAATTAGAGAAAAATAAAAACTATTTAACCTACAATAAGATAAGTTGAAACATATAACTAAGCTCAATTGATGACATGACATTGGCATCAATATGCTGTGGTGGTAAATGTTAAAGACATGGTGGGTTATTCCCCAACTGGCGTATCTATAATGCAACTAGGATTCTAATTGTTGACAAATTGTGTAAAGTCAACCTAATTATTCTCTCTTCACAAGCTAGAGAAGGGGCGTTAAAATGGAAAATCCTCTAGGTCAGGTGAGCAGCACAAAAGTTATATTAGATATTCTAATTCTGATTTGAGTAAAAAAATTACAGATTAAGCAAAGTTAGATAAATTTAATATTTTCCCAGTTATTTTCAGAATTAAATTGTTGCAGAATGAGATGGGTCTATCTCACGTCCATCAAGACCTGGACGAACGAGTCAGCCCAAACCGCGGTGGGCCCCAGAGAGTCTGATCCCAGCTTTGAAAAGCTTGTCGCTCTCCCTCCTCCTGTAACAACTATGCAGTACAAGTGTACGTCAGAACGGGGTTCCTCGGCTCCAGGAATTCCTGTAAAGAGAGAGAGAGAGAGAGAGAGAGGGAGGGAGGGAGAGCGAGAGAGAGACGATGATCGTACAGACGTACCTCCTTAGCCGGAGTACATTCAGTGGTGTACTCTCAATTTACGGCCGCAGCGCCTCAAAAGGGGGGGAGGGCGGGGCGGGAGGAGGAGAGAAGGCGGACGGAGCTCTCTGAGGCGGCCGCAGCAGTGGAAGGGGCATGCAGAGGAGAACGCCACCGGCGGCGCCGTCAACCAGCGGCGGTGCTCCGCCCACTGCCGGCTTCCTCCTCCTCTGCCCTCCCCATCCACGGCTGCAGCCGCCGCTGTGCGATACCCACCGGTCAAGTCGCCGGCGGTCTTTGCTGCTCCACTTGTCGGCGGTGGGAAGGTATCATTATCATCTCGACCTTTCCTTTTTGCAATCTAAGCCCCGATAAATAGATATTGTAAAAGCGTCCCGGTCAACCTAGTGCACACCCAGGACTACGGACGCTTCTACAGTATAACTATTTTTCGGATAGGACTGCCGCTTGTTCTTATGTCGGTGCCCCGCCCAAGACCAGCAAGGGTTGACTCGAGCTGTTACAAATCTTTCATTTACCTCGTAAGAGACGAAACCGGTTGACTCAAAATCCAAAGATCTCACAGGACCCAACAAGGAGAAGATCTCAAAAGCCTTGGGCTTTAGATCAAAAGAGTTGACTCGGGCTTGGAAGTGCCCAAGTCAACCCAGCACTTCCGTCAGACTTCCTCCACCGTGGAACCATCAATGGTGGCCAACTACAGGTACTACTAGATCAAGTGCATACATACTTGAAGGTGTTTCATACCTTGATTGCGCAACGCCATTAACGCCGAGATTTTCTCTGCAGGAGCTGAAGCAAAACTCTCAGAGGCCCTGTGGTTGAAAGCGAAAGTCATCAAGGCTTCACAGATGGCGAACGTTGTATAGAGAGAGAAGGCCGAAGAGATCATACATGAAGCTGGCACGTTGTGAAGTCGTGGAAATCTGATGGGTTCACCCCCGGGCGACCAACTGTGATTTCAGCTCCTGTGATTTTCAAAATCCAGAGAAGAGCCACTTACTGCATAGAAACATTCGATTCTAGTTCACCGTCCTGATTAGGCGGCGCAGTGATATGAGGACACTAGCTGAATAGAATCTGCCAAAGGCAGCAGCTGTTACAGAGCAAGAGATCGAACAGAGTTAGAGCTATTCAACTCGCGTGAGAACTGATAGTGGGTGAGTAAGAGGAGGTATTTCTTTGAGTGCTGGAAAATGTGTAATTGCTCCACAATTTTGAAGAACAAACCGTAAAAAAATAAAAATAGGGTCCTATACATGATGAAGAACAAGACTCAGAGCGGGCACGCAGGGTTAATCGGTCTCTTGTAACTGAGAGAGGAAATCATGAAAGCAGCAGATTTTATAATGAGCATGTTGCGACACTTCTTCTCCATTGCTCTGAGCAGAGAGGCAGGCCGACCATTGTGTATGTAGGCTCTTTGGGAAAAGATGAGCAGCAAAGTATTTTTGCTAAAGCTAGGACTGATCATAGGATCTCATTGCGCAAATGATTATCGGTAAATAAAAAGCTGATCTCATTAAATTCCTAAATAAGATTGATATTGTCTGTGTTCATGAGCCTCAAAAGTGCATGCTAGCACTTGACATGCATTTATTACAAGAACAGGCACCAATGTCTTAACAGAGCCTTGCCACAATTCCTTCGCTATTATTTCATCGGGAGGCAGATGGGTTCGATGGATAAAAACGATGTAAAACACGCGGAGGAATTGAGACACAGGACAGCGAAATAAGTTCATTCTTTTGACAACGAGTGACAGAAAGCGCCCCCCCCCCCCCCCCACCCCACCCCACTCCTTCCAGTTTCCCAGAGTTGACTGGCTAGCCTGGAGGAACAGACAACAGTCTGAAATGGACAGAGAAATGAAACTGAAGATTCATACAAACTCCCAAGTAGCGATGATCACAACCGAATCGAATAAAAGCATACATTCCGGAACAAGGAGGATCATAAATGTATAATAAATAACTCACGTCAGCGTCCTTCATCCTGGTAACTAATGAATAGTTGAAGCATTTAGATGCAAAAAGGCCCAATCATAATTTCCTAATTTCATGAAAAAGAAGAATAGCAGTAAATATCAAAAACAAACATAGAAAGCTACTGATGGACATGCCTCAGGTATGATCCTGAAAGCCTGTAACCATGACACTGTCAAATGGAAAATCCATGGGAATCCGTATTCCCTTCCTTTGATTTCTCCCTCGAGGGGTGCCTTGATTTCTCCCTCGAGGGGTGCCTTGATTTCTCCCTCAAGGGGTGCCTTCATTCTATTCTTGCATAGAGATCAGCTAGAACCTGTTTCAATTGTACCTCTGTCGCTGAGGGCAATGAGCAGAGAATGCCAATCCGATTCCTAGGAAATATAATGAACAAATATACCCATGTTCTTGTTGCCAAAGCAGACAGTTTATCTTTTTAACACTCTAAGAAGGGTATCGACAAAGAAGATGATTAGAGAAAAGATTATCCAATTTTTTGAAGCAGATAGTTCACAAAGATTTAATAGACTAGGCATACGTTCCAATCCAGCAAGGAAATGAACATTTAATCAGAAACGAGAAAGGTGTAAAACCATCTCTTGCTAATTCCCATGAAGTCAATGGACGGTAGGCTTAATTTAGCCCCATTTCTTCCACCGTAATCAATGCTACTCACTGTTCCTGGGTCTGATATCTCTCTTCGGGAACACAAGTGTAGAAGTAAAAAGCATGTTGATGAGCAAATGGCCACACAGTGTCGGAGCACTTCTAACTCTATATCTATATCAGCATCAAGTATACACAATGGCGAAAAGTGTCAGAGAATGATGACGAGGGTGAGGAATAGATTAAGACTCAGATTGTAATTCATGTGAAAGTGTCAATAATGAGACACAACCTCACTTAAGCAAGAGAGGGAGAGGTCCAGCTGATTAGGAAACCCAAAGAATAGTTTCTCAAAACAAGGTCAAAGGGCAACAGAAAGTTGACCTTTCAGTTAGGGTTCAATCAACTGAAACGGAAGGTCCCAAGGTAATAGCAAATCGTCCGTCCTTGTACACGAATGGGAATGGATTAAAGACGAAACTTCAAAAAGAAAGGAGGATTAAAATTTTCGCGCCATTTAATGAAACCCCTCATTGTGACAGCGTTAGTGCAAAATACGTGGCAATGTCCAACAATAGGATATCAGTCATAGCGATATACCTGTTTACTCAGCCTTATAGCATGCATGGATATTAAGGATCATTTAAACCATAGGATCCCTTCGGATCCAAGTAATGCATTTGTCCATAATTCTTGCTGAACTTTCAATTTTTGATATTGCTTGGCTTCAACTGTCTAGATTCCACTGACGGTCGTTGCTCAGTATCTCTAAAGAACACACGTCGGCATAAATGATTTTGCTATTATCTTAATCAGCTGAACATGATAATAGCCTTTTTACGGTTAAATTTTGAAGGTAGAAGACTAGCCAAAAGAGAAGAAACTATTAGGCAAATTGAAGCTAGTAACGATAGAATTAGAATATGAGTTATCTGTTCCAACACAACAAATCAATTTTACATCTTAGAGTAGAAGAAAGGTTTTTGCGTCACCAATAATGCATTCCATAGTATGGCAGTTCAGCTTCTTCCATTATCTCTGGTCATGTTGGTGCCACAAAAAATCCTTTTAAAAAGCCTCCAAAGAGAAGCAGAATTTGGGGCTCAACTGGTTACCTTAGAAAGAACTTGAGAAAATCATAGCTTACACAAATCACTAGGTGTAAGTCAAAAGGTAGCCCTCAAGATACCCCACTAGTTAACTGCTTGTGGTACTCAGCACAAGAAGATTCAAGGAAACTCCAGTAAAAAGATAATATTTTATCATTTTTTTACACCCACTGGAATCACTTTCCTTCCATCCGTCTCTTCAATGTCACTCTTCAAGCCTCCACCAGCCAGTTCCAACAACAAATCTTTGGCTTTCTGAGTGTCACTACCATCTCCAGCAGGCAACAAATTTGTATTCTTCTTGTAGTTCCAAACAAGCAACGAAATATAATCTTGTGGTGTTAGAAGACCCTGTTCCCGGAGGGCATTCAGCTGCTCTTCCAGAGCTCTAGGGTTCTGAAGCTTTATGTACTCCAACAAGATCTTCTCATGATCTGGCCTCCAGCCACTTGGAAAAGGAGTATAATCCGTATCTGGAACCAGAGACATACGGGTGTAATGCAGCCCATCAATGGAGTCCACTAGACCCATTCTCAGCAAGTTGTGATACTCTGGTGACTGCCCCTTCTTGTCTTTTAATGGCCGGCTGAGGTTCCTTGAAGCAATTTTATAAACCTTTGCTCTTGACCGCAGTTTATATTTGGCAGCATAAAGCTTAGCCAGAGACCCTCTAATGATGTAAGAACAAAAGTTCACGACCTTCTTACGATTATCTGCATATCTGTACCATTCGGCCATGGTGCACAGAAACTTGTTCATCTGAGCATTAGTGTGGGCCTGAGTAGCATGGAACATTCGGAAACATGGTTGTGGGTCAGGATCCCTGTCACCCTTCAAAAACTCCAACTTCCGAAACTGCTTGATGCACTGCCTCAAGCTAGCCGAAACTGATAAAAGCGTACCTACACCCTTCTCACTGATGATCTTGCCTCCTGTTGCAGTGTACCTCAGTGTCGGGTACACCACACGACGGCAGAGCACATGGTCCAGGAACATTATACCCTTGGTGATGTGTTCAATGGGAAGGCTCTCATTGTCCATCTTGAGAGAATACTTCTGGTCACAGAAGTCAATCAGCTGCTTCCTTAGCGTGGCAGCATCAGCCCTCGGCCCCCTCACACCAATTAAAATATGCCCACCATAGCGTACGAAATCCACCTTCCGAGTCTTGTCAGGCCCACTCGTGGGGACAAACTCTGGCCATGAGGTGTTTCCATGCTCTCGCTCCCCTCCTTCTGGGTCCTCACTGTTCCATATAACATCCGTCTTAGATGGATGGTAGAACTCCTTAATCTTCTCTTCCATCCATTGGTCCAGTTCATCGAGCACAACATTCACCAGCAAAGGGCTGAGTACTCCACAGTGCCCCCAATTGGGCAGCTTCTCTGCCTCCTCTGGTGCGAACCCGAAGAACGACTGTAACCAGTAGGGATCCGGCTTTGGCTCGTCCTCCGCCAGCACCTTCTTCTTCTGGTATTTTCTCTTCTTCCTCTTCTTCCTAAGAGCTTCCTCATCATCTGGGCGCCCGGTGATCACCGGCGTCACAAGAGCTGATTTAATTAAATCCACAACTTTCTTATCCCTGACATCTCTCAACAGCGCATTAATCACAAGACCCACATTTGCCCCATCGAGAAGAGTACTCACATCCGCCTTCATATACCAAAGGTACCCCGCGAAGCTCCGTCGAATTACTCTGATCACGGTATGAGCGGTGCGCCCCGGCCGAAAGGCAAAGGACTTCTGGGAGAACCGCGCCTCGTAGATGGGCTCGAGGATCATGAGCAGGACCTCCTGGACGATCCGGTCCTGGAACGGCGGCGGCTGGGAGGTGGTGAGCAGGATGCGGATCTTCCTCTTGGAGAGAGCCTCGAGGTCGGTCTTGTCCCTAGGGGACCTTACGTGGAACTCCAACCGAGAGCCCCAGCGGAAGCGGCCGTCGAGAACCGCATTGCGGAGGGCGAGGAGGCCTTCGAGAGCATGAGGAGGGATGGTGTTCTTGGGGACGTAGGAACCGGTATCGTCGGCAGCGACCTTCTGATAGGCGATGACCCAGAGCTCGAGGCGGCGTAGGTAGGAGGTGACGTTGGTGATCGTTTGGCCGGGGTCCCGGAAGCTGTCGATCCACAGAGACGAGCAGATGGCTATCCCATCCTCCTTGATCAGAGAGGAGGGATCCACGGAAGCACCGGCCGCGGCAGAGGACCAGGTGAGATCCCGAGGATGATGTCGCTGGAACCTCGGCGGCGGCGGCGGCGGCAGCTGCGGTGGCTGAACTGTAGAAAGAGGGGAGAGGAACCGCCTAGGGATCTTAAGGAACGGCACACGAAAGCAGTCCATGGGAGAGCGCCTTGAGCGATCGCGGAGGCTCCATCGGAGGGCGGTGAGGGAGCTCCGATGCATCTGAGGAAGAGGAGACAACTCCGAAGCAGAGATCGATGCTCATTCCGCCATTCCCTCTCGGTGACGCCGGCGAGAAGGGGGGGAGGGAAGGACGACGACCACGTAGAAGAGAGCGACGATGGAAGGAAGAGGGTTTTCTCCAGGGCTTAACGAAGCATCTCATCCTCGTAACTTCAGAGTACAGCTCCTCCCCCAATTACTTGCTTTTGCCTCTTTCTATTCCTAGAATCCATTCCCCCACTGACCCCGGGCTTCTGGGCTTTACCTTTTCGACAATAAAAAGTAGCCCAATAACTCAACCCGGCCCACACACGTTTTCCTTATTGGGCTACACATAAGCAGACTCCTAAGTCGGGAAGGCCAGGCCAGCCCACTACTCGTTCCCCGCAGACAATGCACCCGCAGTCCTCCCGTAGCTTAACGGGAATCGTAACATCCATCCAAAACTCAGAATTTACAAAAAGAATTGAGGCTAAGAGCTCTTAAATTACGTAGAAATTTCAGAAGAGGACCTCCAACCCACCAAATCAATGATTGCGAGAGACCAAACGCCGTTGACATTTGACCCGTGCGTCAACATTTGGGCTCCCACTGACCTCCTCGCCTACGTCTCCTTGCATGCACATGTCCGTCTATTTTTTTTTTATTATTATTATTATTTATTTTAATCATTTATTTATGATGTCTTATTATTTTCTTAATTATCTGTTTTCATTTAATATTTTAGTATTTTTGTTTGTTGATATAAAATGGGGAGATAGAGAGAGAGAGAGAGAGTTGGGGTGATCATCTGTGGGATAATCCGGCGAGCCGTGATGCACGCGGGTCCGTTAAAGGCCCTGTCGCTATTGAGGCCGACGATTTTCAACAGAGGACACCGTCAGAGCCCAATGGTGTCCCTCTCTCTCTCTCTCTCTCTCTCTCTCTCTCTCTCTCTCTAGACTTGATCGAGGACACGTCAAAGTACGCCATTAGATAACCGGTCAGGATTGGCTAGGTCAACCCGCCCTTTGTTCTGGGCTCGTGCGCCGTGAGTTGACGCGAGATTCGCGCAGGTCTTAACCACACGAGTTAATTGAAATTCGTAATAAAGCGGGGGTTTCTATTAAGTTGAGCCACTTTGTCCAGGCTAAATTGTAATTAGGCCTCGCACGGGCCGCCGCCTCCCCGGCCCGGTCTTGACGCGGTAGAGCCGGGTTAGTGGACGTTATTTTATTTCACAGGACAATAAAAAATTACAATTTCTTGTGGGGCTTTGCCACAAAAACCCCTAATATAAGCTTCTCTATGAGAGAACCACAAGATGCAACGCTGTAGGGTGGGGGCCTTTCTGTAATTACGCGCGACGAACTAAAGGAGTTTACTCTCATGCACAAGCTTCATAGGGGTTTAAGCGCAAAAATGAAAATCCCAGAAGAGTACAGAGAGAGAGAGAGAGAGAGAGAGAGACAGGCAGATAGAGGGAGTCAACGGAACCTACCAAAGTCCGCGATCTTCCTGGACCGGTTGGGACACAGCGACGCCGGCGGCCCTCCGCCGCTGCCAGAGGGGCGGCGCCGCCGGTGGCCGAGGGCGGCGCCGCCCCGTAGGTCGCTGGAGACCCCTACCACCGTCGCCGCCGGCGCCGTCCCGGGGTCCCTCTGCCGCGGATTGGGCCTGACCAAGGGGCTGAGGCAGACGGCGAACCCCGCCATGGCCCGGCCGGCGGATGGCACCACGGCCTTCCGGATCGGCGTCGGCATCGCCCGCGGCAACTCGTTCGACGACGACTCGGGCGAGCAGTCGCTCCCCGATCCTGCCGAGTCGCGGCCTTCTTCTTCTTCCCTCGCCGGGGACATCCCGCGGCCGTGGCACCACAGCTGATCTCCCCCCCGCCGCCGCCGCCGCCGCCGCATCACCGCGCTGTTCTCCGCCGATTCCGCGGCGGGGAGGCAAGAGCTGTGCTGCTGCTGGTGCTTCTTCCTCTGCCATGGTAGCAGCGCGGCCAGCCAGGAGGTCGACCCCGGCCCGGGGGTGGAAACCGCGCAGCCCTGATCGGCCACCTTCTCAGATCTGGAATTCTGGCCGCCGGCACCGAAGAGGGTGGAGAAGATGGAGAAGCTCGCCGCTTCCGATGAGGATGGCCCGCCCAGCGGGGTCCCGTAGAACAGGGCCGGCCGGCTCCGGCGACATCCCCCCCGGCGGACGTTGGCGGAGAAATCGGGGTCCCAGGAGCAGACGGGGGCGTAGGGGGAGGCCGATCGGGGCACCGCTGGAGGGGACGGGGGCTTCCACGGGGCCTCCGGCGGGTGCTCGAAGAACGCCGACCGGACGGCGACAAGGGCTTCGAGGCGCTCCCGCAGGCACACGGCGCAGACGCCGCCGCCCAACTCCTGCGCGTGCTGCCTGCATCTCGTCATCCCCGCCGCAGCAGCTCGGACCCGCCTACTCTCCTCCCCTCCGCCATCACAAGGGATCCCCGAGCAACATGCCGATAAGCAAGAAGCCTATGAGAAACCCCCTCCCCTCTCGCTGTCTCTCGCTGGCTCGCTCTCGCTTTCTTCGCGGTTCCCGTCGACACGGCTGAAGCGCGTTGCCCCGGAGGAGGAAGAGCAAGTCGAAGGGAACTTTCTCAACCTCTTCTTATTTAAGGACCCTCTGATGGATGGGCAGTTGGACGAAGAACAAGCTGACAATCGGGGTAGGCTTATTTCCACGCTATTTCATTCAAACATTGCGGGGGCCGCAGCTATAGTTTATGCGGGAGAATGACGCCACCTCCACGTACACACAGAAATACGACTCCCTCATCTTTTCACCTCTAAAACCTTCTCGCAGACGCCCAAGAACCCGTGTCCCGCCGGAGAGAGAAGGGGGGGGGACAGTGGACAGCGCCGGCCAAGTGCGTCCATCCACCCCGCCATCGCCGCCGCGGCCGTCGCCGTCGCCGTCTTCTTACTCACATGATGCCCAAGGCAGGCATCATGCTGTTTGTTGGCTCTTCTCTTTTTTTGTCGTGACTGTGCGTGATCAAAACATTTCTCAAACTAAAACTACGAATCAAATAAACTAAGATTGTAAGATTATTAAACTCCGGAAGACGCGAAAGGGATTGTACCCACCCACACACACACACAGGCATCATGGTCACTAACATGGATGGCTAGTAGGGTGGGTCGCTAAAATGGATGATGATGATGATGATGATGATGATGATGATGAGGGAGACAAAACGTGTGGATTGCATTTTCCTTTTGCCGCAGTTCAATCGCGTACAGTTTGTGACGGGAACGAGGAAGCCGCTCATTTTCGAAACGCACTCTCACAAGTGTACCACTCCACATATATCGATCATCGTCGGATCATCATGAGTGTGCTGCCGCCGCTTATTTGACGAAGGTTATCCTGAAATGTCAGACTCAAGGGTTTTCATCATCTTTCTCTGTTTTTCTAAATATCTATCTGTGAGCGAAGATGTTACCTACCTAGCCTTCACAGCGCGACTGTTCTGGTAGCTGCTCTCGCCGCCTCCTCCTCCAGTGCCATCCACAGGTTTGGATCCTCGTAGTCTTTTATAAGCAAAGTGGCTCCCGCCCCCCTCAACAACTCCGGTGGGTTTCCGGTTGTCAGGCCAACGACGGGCATCCCGGCTGCCACGCCAGCTTTTATCCCAGAGACAGAATCCTAAAAAATAATAAAAATAATAAAAATAAATAAATAAATAAGAAGAAAAGAAACAGGGGAATGGGGATTTCATCATTTACTGAGAAGAGGGCTAACCTCAAAGACAAAAGTATGGTGTGGGGACGCTCCCAGGCCCTTGAGGGCTTTCAAGTAAGGATCAGGATATGGTTTTGCTCTCTCGCATTCGCTTCCAATCACGAGCAGATCAAAGAAGTCAGACAAGCCGAGCATGGAGATCATGAGCTCGGCATTCTCTCTGGGAGCATTAGTCACTGCTGCACGCTTTAGTGCACGCTCCTTGATCCATTTGCACAACTTGTGAATGCCATCTACAGGTTTTAATTTCTCTGAAACCAATCTGTACAACCAACTCTATCATTTTTCTCATCCATACTTGTTATGTACAATTAACATGTGATCTGAGTAAGTTTCGAGTGAGTAGTTCAAAAGTACCTTCGATACATGACTTCTTTATCATCCATAAACTTCATGGCTTTCTGTTGATCCCAGTCTGGGAACAGGAAGCTAGCAATATCTTGGTTGTGCTTGCCAGCAATATATTTCACAAAAAATTCCTCCGTGATCGGCACGCCATTATTGTAACCAATCTGAAAGTATATTTTTCGTGCAGGGTCAAGGCTGTGGCATACGGTCAACAAAGAGAGGAAGAAAACTAGACTCTCTGATGGAGCCAAGAAGAAAACTCTACCTCCTGAAGCAACTCACGGAATGCAAAGTAATGGATGGGATCTGAGTCACACAGAGTTCCATCGATGTCAAATAATACTGCTTCAAGAGGCGCAATTGTAGCGAGGAAGCATCTGTTAATGGCCCAAATTAAAAACCTAAACTATAAGCCATCTTAAAGCAATGGTGTCTGAAAATTAAAATGGTAAATTCAATAAATATCTCTTAACAAAGAAAAAGCATAGTAGAATATTTTAATGGCGCACAAAACACAAGGAGAAGAATGTGAGAATCATTTTTCTCCATTTCAGAGACATGCAGATAACCTGGATGGAAAAAATTGCCAACATGTTCTTAAACATTGATACGTTGAAAGTTGATTGTGGATCGGGGATAGAGACGCAATGCTAGGAAATGTTTGGTAGATAATTTGGGAGAAGAAATTATGAGCGGAATTTCAAGAAACTATTGACAGATCAGTATATTTTCCTTTCTTGTGAACATTAATAGACAAAGATATACTGTTGAATCCAGATATACTAAAGAAAAATTAGAATTACTCAAAGTCAAACAGAATGCCAAAGCTATGAAAAATAAGGCACAGCATGATTTTAACAGCAACTGGGTTTCAATTTTCAGTTATATTTTGCATAACGCCGAAACATGAGATCTTTACTTCTGGCACCATCTGGTGGGCATCGATTTCGGGCATTTGAAAAAGAAAGCTTCCACATCTCTGGAAAAATTTCCGCTAGATCAGTATCCCTATCTCCAAAATTTAGATTGTAGCGATTTAGACGTCAATATCCGCTCACCCCACGTAATTACTACCGAGCAAGGTAACAGAAGTTCAACTGAAGGAGATTGAACCTATTTGATGAAAAAATAGTTTGACGAACAACACTAAGTGTTCCTCGTGACGTAAGACTTGACGCTTTATCAGATTCTTGAAAATGTGAGTTATGGAATTACAGTTGGTAAAAGGTCATTTAAGATAATTAGGCCATGAAGTCATAATGGCTCCTAAATTCCAGAGGAGAAGACACTGTGTAGCAAAGAATGGATGGCAAGAAAATCGTTTCTCTGCATTTAAAGTAAATTACCATGTTTATACAAAATTCCGTTAAAAACTACACGAGATGAAAAGAAAGAAAAGAATCCTAGTGGCTTTCCAAACGGCAGCCAGATCGATTCCCCCCATGCGAGCAGAAGTCGGCCAAGAATTTCGCAATCCATGATCAATGACAAGTTGATCGACCTCAGGGGAAGTAAACAATAAGATAAGAAGGAAATTGGCAAACGCATTCCCGAATTTCAACATGCAGAACTGGTTCCAGCGGCAAAAAATGAGGCCCTCTCCGACGACAACAGAAGAAGGAGAAACAATAACCAGACGACTCAACATCATGACTCAAAATCATCATTCGTGTCGACCGTCCCCTTCAGATCGGAGCATGGAAAAAACCAGCGACCGAACAAGAGAAATAAGAAACGTCACCTCTCCGTCGCGTCTGTCGGCATATTCCGATCTGTCAAACGAGTCCCAAACCTAATGCTGCCGCTACCAAGGATGGTCGGCGATCTTCCTTACGTTCAGAGATCCCTCCCCTTCCCTTCTGTCTGCTGCTGCAGACAAGATCTAGACGGAGGAGACGCAGGGGAAGAGAGCGGAGGACTCGCCGGGGCCTGCGTTCATCAAAGAGAAGATTCTTGGAATCTGCTCCACCCACTTCCCGTTCTCTGCAACATATTATATGACCTTTATTATGTATCTACCTTTTTTACATAAAATTATACAATATGACCAGAAAATTAACGGAGTTCATATTGACACTCGACGTCCGGAGAGTTTTCTTGTGAGCTTTCAACCAAGAAAGGATTGTTTTCACAAATTTAATATTTTAACGAATTATATATCTGTAGTGGATATTTAAAAACTGTTCTTTTTATCAGGATGCATCATAAATTAATTCTGGACTTCCTCACTGTGGTGCCGGCTTCGGCCTGGTTAACCAACGTGTCCGAGCGGGGCCACTGCCACCTGTCGGTAACCGTCCATCAGGAACAGTGGAACGCATTAAACACGTTCTCGTAGGTGTACCGGTCAGCCGAGTGGGCTCCTGTCGAGAAAACTCACTAGCCCCGGACAAGGTTCACTTTGTAAACAGTTTGGGCTGGGGCCCGCTGCAGAGGTCCGGCCCAAGAAAGGAGCGGAGGTGGGAAAGAGGAGGGGGGGTGGGTGTTCAAGGGTACCCCATAGATGCCGAAATATGCTTTTGACCGAAAAATTATATTATTCCAAAATTACGAAAAAATAGAGGTTTATCATTACATCAAAGTACCCACCATTTTATTTTAAATCCATATCAAAAAATATAAGCCCCATTTTACTTCAGAAATTATACTTTGGAAAGGTTATTATTAAATTAGTCATATTCACAAGTACTATAAGTTTTGAGTTTGTTATTTGATCACAGTTTAAGAGAGTCAATGAAAAATAATTTTATGGATAATAATCTATGCATAAATTATTTCGTCCAATCTTAGAAGAATACAAGGCAAGATTCCAATTGATGGCTTGGATCCTTCCATGGGATGAAGTTGAGCATGGTGCCCTTCCATGGGTTGGGGTGGGAAGGTAGATACTTCTGTGCCTTCACTAAAAACACATCATACATGCCCCATAGGCTTCTCGTCGAAAGCATCTGTTATGGGGCCTAATGCCCATGCATTCTTATTTTAACCTTGTGTTGTTGCTTGTAATCGCTAACAACCTTCTATAACAGCATAGAAAAGCAGCATTTAGATGATCTCTTGGTGGGTAGGTAGACCTAACCTTGTGTTTAGTTATCATGTAGCAAAAATATAGTAAACACAATAAATCAAATAGTTGTAAGGAACTAGTAATACATGTGATAGTAAATATAATCGACGTGATATAGTTTACTTTTTTGAAATAATTTTGGTGCTAAATAGATAAAGATAAAGCAAGAAAGGAAAAAAAAAACTATACATAGAACACCAATGTATAGATTCCAAAATGATTTGACATACATTTTAAGCCCACTATGTCAAAAAGAGCTTCTCAAGATCTTTATGTTTCACCAATTTCCTCAAAGATTTACTATTGTTAGATGCTAATGAATTTTCCCACAAGATAATTATTTGCATTGTCAAAAATTACAATGCTTGAAGAACTAGGAATTATTCTTTTTGGGTAATCACATCTCTATTGACTTTCTTAACTTACCAAATTGGTTATCATATCAATAATACTCTTTCATTGGCCTTGAGTGTAAAAACACTTCCTAGTTCAATGCATGATGATAATATTATATGATATATCATTATAAATATGACTAGTTTAGAAAGATACCATGGTAGTGATTTGGTGTGATTAACTATATTTCCTTAATAATCATATTGTAGATTTAATATAAAATGTTAACTAAATATCTAGATTTAAATATTTCTATTCATGACTGGAGCACCTGAAGAAATTTAGCAATTTACAAATATTTCACTCATTCATTCCCTCAACTTTATAAGTTGGCTTATGAGTGCAATATCAGTTGATGTGGACTTTTTGTCTTATTTTTGGCATGAGATGAAGTTTTGTTTTATAGGTTTCAACTTAGATGATCAATTTTTTGTAGAACACCTAAAAATATATCATACTACATTTCATTGGTCACATCACATACTTGTAAAAAGATATTAATGAGTTTTCTACCTTACACATGTATTATATCTACACTCAACTCTTAAGATACAATTTGTCATTTAAGATACAACTATTTAAGTTTAGAATTAATACTTAGACTTTTTATAACAACTTCAAAATTAAATTCCTATCATAGATATGGCCAAGCATATAGTCACCAAGAAGCAATTTTGACCAGAAACATGATGTAACAAATAATGTAAATAAATTCAAAGTATTCAAAGTGATATTGAATTTAAATAGTCATTCAGATTTTCTTGAGATCCATTTTGGATATATAATGTAACAAGTACAATAGGATGAGACATTTTTTGACATCAAAGCAATTGTGATCCTATTTTCTTAAGGAGCTAAGTTGAAGTCTGAAATATAGAAATAAAATTTCATCTAATGCTAAAAGCAAGATGGAAATGAGCTACACGAACCTATCTACTAGCCATAAGCCAACAATGACTTTGAGAGCATGGATGTGTGAAAACTATATGTTCCTAAAACTAATAAACCCTTTGTAGATTGCTAAACTTTTAGAGCCACTGAGTCATAAAAAAAAAGGGATTCAAACTTAGATAATTAGAGAAAATTTTTAATGAGATTTATTAGATGATAGTTAATGAAATATTGTTAACTCTAAAAAATCACTACAATAGAAACTTTAGATAATATTTATATTTAAATTGTATACGATGCCATTATTGACATAGTGAGTTGAACCAAAAGCTATATTTTTACTCAAAATTAGACTATATTATGGGCTATCTATTGAGTTGGAGCCATAAGCTAGAGGAAAGAGTGCATTGCGACAAACTATTTTTCTATTGAGCCAAGAAGGTTAGTGGAAGTGTAATGGCTTGAAATGAACTTGATTTTTAGTTATGTAGACATTACAATAGTTAATAATATTAATAACTATTTATTAGTTGGATCCTTGAGCATCTAGTTATTTTAATATTCAAGAAAATTAGTAAAGCCCAAAGAGCTTGATGGCTCTTAGGATAGTGGATGTAACATGTCAAATGAATTCAAAATATTTACAGGTCTACTTTTCTCTTTTGTTTTACCTTTATTTGCTTAGAACTACAATATTTATAGATGAATTCACCTATTTATCTATCCTCAGGTCAGTCACATTGCACATGTGGCTCATAGTCTCTTTAGTATTGAATACATAATTTGATTTGTGCTCATCTATGTAAATATTTTTTATCATTAGAAATTTACTAAGTACCACACTCCCATACGTCTTCTTTGATATTGCATAATATACCACTATAACCTCCTTACATTACCAGGAGGGTCCATAAGTACACCACCTATGAAAGTTATATTGGTTTAAGGGAGATCATATCTATATTGTACACTATACTTTGGACTACCTTTGCATCAGGTACCTTGATATCCACACGTTGAGGATACCTGCATGTATGATGTGTTTGCCTCTTTCACACAAGTAACAACTTTGTCATAGTAGACAATATCATGCTAGTGTTTTAAAGTACTTGGGCTAAAACAACCTTAATGGCATAATTGTGTTCATCTCCTTAGTCACATCTATGAACATCCTTGTATATTCTTCCATCATCATTTTGTGCTTTTTTTTTTAGTATTATATTAGATGTCATTGGTGGTTTGATTATTACCTAATGACATAGCTCTCTCTATGTATGCCCAACTCTAGAGACTTATTATGAAATTCGATACCTTATCTCTTCTTGAACTTGTTATTGTCCAAAATTAGTAAATAATATTATGATGAGCCTCAAGTATTGATGGGCCAATGGCCTAGGTTGATAGCGAGCCCATGACCTAGTTTTATTGTCTCAAGAAGAGGAGGGGCGAAGACATAATTCTAGAAAAGGAGGGAGAAGATAAAGATGTATTGCAATGAGAGAAGAGGGGCTAAGGCCTTAGGCAGAAGAACTAGCTCAATGGTGTGAGAAGGTGGGAGAGTACTCTTCAACTAACTCTCTAGTGTTCTTGGGTTTCTATTGTGAACCTTATTATCTTCTTGAGTTCAATGGCATTCTCTTTTCTTTTTTTAAGCTTTATCTCTTAGTTGTGACATGAGGTTCCAAGATTCCTATCGGCCTAATATCAAAACAACATGATCCTCAGAAGATGGCACCTAAGGACAATGATAACAAGTTTGATAGATTGAAAAAGGGAGATGGACCAAATGAGAGAGGGGATGCAACATCTCTTTGATGCAGGTGGAGATTCAAAGAAGATCTGAAAGAGGGCCAACTGTGTAGCAAACCATCAAAACCCCAGGTCATAGTTTTGCCCAACTCTTACAAAAAATAGAGGGACACCTGAAACTATAGTTGGAGGGAACACATTTTGACAGTAGAGAGAAGGCTACCACTAAGATAAGAGATGCCGACAAGGAGAGAGGTATTAGGAGGAAAGATTTGGCCACACTACAAAGGCAAAAGATAAGTGGAGATGTCCCCATTCAAAGGAAGAGAGCTAGAGAGTTAGATCTTTTGAGCTAAACAATATTTTGAGGCACAAATTGTTTCATAGAAGAATAAAATGAGATTGATAATAATGCGTTTTGAAGACAAACCAATCTCATCTGATTAAGATGGTTGGATGCGAAAGAAATCTCAAGGATTTGACAAGACATCAAGCAACAAACAAAAATGAGGTTTGAGACCACTCAAATAAGGAGTCAATGGGAAACTGTCGTAAGCATCAAGTAGAATGGAACTACCAATGACTATTCACAAGACTTTGAACTCCTATCATCAACAATAGAGGTCTTCTCGAAAGGATATTGGAAGGAATATTTAATAAAGGCTTGAAGTTAGAGAACAAAGCAGAAATTAAACTATTTAAATAGACGTACTCAACAACATCATAGACATAGTTCAGGCTATCAAAGAGAGGAACATAACCCACATGACAGCCATAGAGCCTACAAAATCACAATCAATTAGATCACTGGTTCAATGAGGAATTGGGAGGATCTGATTTTTTTCAAGACTTAGGTACTTCCTCAGCCATCTTAGGAACAACAAGCTAGCTTCCAAGTATTTTGGTCCTTATTCCATTATCACTCAAGTTAGTTTTGTTTCTTACATTTTTAAGTTACCAACTCGATGACCATCCAACTGATTTTCCACACTTCTCAATTGTGGAAACACCTACTAGTCTAGAGTCTCCTCAACTAATACCCCATCCCCCACCTAATCACTTCCCTAGTGAATTGCAACCTCATGCTATTATGAATTCTTGCCACAAAATTGATGACTTGGAACTTCTCATCAAATAGTGTAAATTGGCTACGACAGATGTCATGTGGGAACCTACGATCGTCATTCATAGGCACTTCCTTCACCTTCACATTGAGGACAAGGTGCCTTCCATCGATGGATTTAATGATGAGCCCTGATCCCTAATAGGTATGCGGCCTTGGTTGACAATGAGCCTAAGACCTAGTTATACTGTGACAAAAAGAGGAGGGGTAAAGAAATAACTCTAGAAAGAGAGGGAGGAGATAAAGATGTATAGCAAGGAGAGAAAATGGGACTAAGTTTTTAGGAGGGAGAATTGATACAATGCCATGAGAGAGTAGGAAGGTCCCCTCAAACTGACTCTCTAATGTTCTAAGGTTTCTTTCATGAACCCTATTATTTTCTTAAGCTCAATTACCATTCTCTTTTCTTTTCCTAGACTCTATCTCTTAGCTTTGACCTGAGGTTCCAGAGGTTCAAATCATCAGAACTCTACGCCACTTGTCAAATAAGTACATGCTTGGTTTACTTAACAAAAAGTTGTCTACATCTGAACGAAAATTCATGACTTCCTTAGCATGAGGTACTTTATCAAAGGGTATATGATTAATTAACAATGAATAGGCGATGAAATAGAAAGCCAAAACCAGTGTCCCGCACGAGTTGAGGGGTCGGACCCCGAGCGTGCGTGCCTATTTTATGACGACAGCCTCTGAATATATTATTTTTCCAAAATGGGAACTTTAATGGGCACAATTTTCCTTTGAAGCAAGTATCCATTTCCCTCTTCCCCACATTCCTTGGATTCTGCTCTGCAGACGGCGGCGACGGGGCGGATCCGCCATCTTCCCTCGCTCATCTCGCACCTTTGAAAGGGGTATGCGCCATCGTCTTCGATGAATCGCGAATTTGGATTAGGGTTTCGCCAGCGGGAGGTCTGAGGCAGGGAGGGTCTTCCATGGCGGCGGCCTCGACCTCCACTTCGGCGTCCCTGAAGGAGTACCTGAAGAGGTACGAGACCGGAGGGGAGGAGCAGAAGAAAAAGAAGAAGAAGAAGAAGGGCGCAAAATCTGCTGCTCCCGGAGGCGTTCTCATCGTCGACGAGGACCCCGTCTGGGCGAAGCCGGTGATTCCCGACGCAGAAGAGGAGTCCGAAGGTCCTCGTCGAATGCCTGATTCTATTGACTCCCTCATCACGATTTCAGATAGGATCGTCGGTCGCTAGATTTTGGGATTTAAACTCAATCTTTCTCTGGTTTTCAGCTGAGGAAACTCCGGTGGTCGACGAGGACGTTGAAGTGAAGCGCCTAAGGAGGCTCGAAGAGCTTCGGTCCCGGAAACCCTTCCACAGTATTTCTGAGGATGGCAGCGGTTGGATTTCCGTTTCCAATGCTCCTAAGCTTTCGAGCTCCGGCGGGGAGGTGCCTGATTTGTCGCCACCGCGCCAGAGACGTGCCCGTTTCGACACACCGTCACCTGACCGGAGCGAGATGAAGGTGTCCAGCGCGAGAAGTGATGACTTATCTCCTCCGCGGCAGCGCCGGAGGCATTACGATAGTCCGTCACCTGAGCCGTTGGCCAAGCCTTCAATATCTGGTTCCAAAGGTGTCACGCCTGATATGTCCCCGCCTCGTCGCAGAAAACCCGATGAGGATATCTCGCCTCCACGGCGTGGTATCCGTCCTCCGGTATCTGATCTCTCTCCTCTGCGAAGGAGAAAGAACCTACCTGAGGGCTCGTCTCCACCGAGAAGGAAGAAGGATGCCTCAGAGAACCTATCTCCACCGAGGAGGAGCAGAAACCGGTCGCCAGAGGTCCCATCTTCTCTAAGGAGAGTAACGAAGGGCTTACCTGATGATCTATCTCCTCCGAGGAAAGGAAGAAGGGCACCGCAGGAGGATTTATCCCCAACGAGGGATAGAAGGGTCTCACCAGAAGATCTGTCTCCACCGAGGAGAGAGAAGAAAGGTCTGCGGGAGGATCTATCGCCTCCTAGGCGCGCTCAACGTCATTTGCAGGAATCAAAGAGGCCTCCGGACTCCACAGAGACTGACCTTTCTCCGCCAAGGAGGAAAAAAAATGACTTAGCTGAGGGTCTATCTCCACCTAGACGGGGTGGGCGTTTACCTGAGTCTGATTATTCCCTACCAAGGGAAATCGGGAAGAAGCATATGTCCACAAAAGAAGAACGGAGAGCTGGGTTGTTTACAGGTCGGGAGATGAAGGAAGAAATTGACAGGAAGAAGAAAGAGGAGGCTTCAAGGTAATGGCTTATATTCCAGAGTGACTAGAAACATGATTACATTACTTTCTGGTCTTGTTGAACCTAGTTTAAGCCAAATATTTCATTCACTTTCGTATTTTTGCATCACAGGCTACATCATATATAGTTGGAATTTTTGCTCAATGTCATGAGGTGATATGTGTGTATAGGTTTGCTGCATTGGACCCAGGCTTGAGCGGAAGAGGTGCAGAACCTGTTTACCGTGATAAGGAAGGTGATAGAAAATTGCCATTCAGAACCCTCATATTGATTTTCTGTTTTAACGTTCTCCTTTTCTGGCTCCCGTAGAAAGAGTAAAATGACAAAAAGTCCCTTTTGGTGGTGTTGTTTTCTGATAACAGGGAAGCGTATATCAAAAGAGGAAATGTTGAAATTGCAGAAGGGGGAAGAAAAGGCCAAGGTTCCTACCGGCCTTTTTTCTTTAATTCTCAAAAATCATATTTGCAGTTTTGCATGGTTGCATCTGTAGAGTTCTTTGATTAATAAGCATGTCAATCCCATGGGAAACTGTAGCGAAATTTGAAAAACTTTATGCGGCTATAAAGCATGTCAGGTGTCCTAGTAGGAGTAGGAACATGACTCAGTCCTGAAATCCTTTAGTGAACATCTAGGTCATAATTTGCTGGTAGATGCCACTACCATATTTTTATCATCATAAGTATCATATATACCTTCCTAGGTGCCATATTCATAGTACTAACCAAGGATGGTTGTATTTTCTTCAGAAAATGCTTATGGAGGCAGCCTTGATCAGTATGTCACTAGCATTGCTTTAATACTGGAATTCAGGTCAAAATCTTGATAAGGAGCATTCTCGACAGAAAACATTTGAAAGCATTTCATTGAACTTTCAAGACAAAGAAAACTGTTATTAAAACGTTATTTCTGTATGAAGACCTTACCTATAGATGCACAAATTTAAAGTAATGCATCCTTGTGATTTTGGGAAAATACCTGTGAAGCCAGGCGTACTAAAATGAAAATAATATTTTTGGTACAAACTCCTAGCTTTTTAACACGAAACTGAGAAAAGCATATCCTTGGGTGACTGGTCGCTTTGAGAAGATGGATCATCTGAATCCATTAGAAGCTGCATGAGAACATTCATATCAGTTGATTTTAGCTGTTGAATTGGTTATATAAACATGAGTCCATTTATTTGTAAACAAGGAAAAATATTATCTAGGCGAGTGAAGAGATAAACTGGGAAGAACCTTTTATAATACGTCAAAGTTCTTCAAATATGATCACTAAAAAAATTTAAGAAGACTTGGACTTCTGTAGAGATGATGTGGAAACAGTTTTTTAGTTGATACACTTTATTTTGTTACATTCATTGTCAGTCATTCAAGGATTTTCAAGTTTTTTGCTGTTTAGGAACCGAATTTTGATTAGCTGCATTCATCCAATCTAGTCCTTGTCACATGAATGCGTCTGGCCTTTGATGTTGCTTAGAGATACCCCGTTTTTTACTTGTACCACCGTGTCACACATGCCTTGAGTGTGTCTCCTTCATTGTTGAGCCTGCCATTAATTTTAAGATCTTTTCTAGCTCAATTGAGATCGTCTGTCATTTTCGTTTTTGTATCTGTTTGTCTTTTGCAATGTTGAACTTGTTCGTAACTGACAGTTTCACACTGTTTCCTTCTTCTTTAGGAAAAGAAATTGGAATGGGGCAAAGGCTTGGCACAGAAACGGGAAGCTGAATCTAGAATAGCGGAGTTAGAACTTGAGAAGGAAAAGCCATTTGCGAGATCCAGGTAAGCGATCCGTTATCCCATGAAACTCCTAGGCAAATATATTCATTTTGACGTTTTATTTCTGTAGCTTTCTTGCAAATCGTCAAAACGTTCTTGACCAAGAACACTGATAGACTTTGATATTTTGTGCAAATAAAGAGAGTATTTGTGAATGGTATTTAAATTCTTGATGGCAGAGGCCTTATGTGGAAAAATATGCTAAAAAGCTGGTAATGGGTAGTGAAATTGTGCGGTTCAATATAGCGAACTTTCAAGAGAAATGCAAAATTTTAAAAATTGCATAAGAGGCTCTACTTGAAGAGTGTGCCATAGACAATGTTAAGGTGAAATTTTATTTTTCAGCAGTTAATGACAAGGGTGAAAACCGAAGAAAGATTTTGAGAAGGGCACTCTGCTTTTTTCATAAACGTATTATTAAATCTCATATCTTGGATGACACTGCCATTCAGCTTCTTCACAACCGTCGGAGACCTGATAGAGAAGTTGCCGAGGGCAGTTAGCAGATGTGATGAGGCAGCAGCAATGACGATTGAAATTATTTTCTATTTATCTTTCCTCTTGTCCTTCTTATACTGCAATAATCCTGAAGGGCTTTTATTGAATGGCATACTAAATGTCCTGGAGTATTGGGAATTCATTTTGAATTCTGAATTGGTAGCCCAGGTTTTATGGGAAAGACGATTGAAGGTAACCGCTGAGTGAATAGTCAATTGATTTTAAATGCTTGGCTCTTAGTGAATAGTAGTCACAGATTTCGTGATGTAGAACAAAATCGCAAGAGACAAGGAAGGGCACACAAAATGGAATTTAAACATCTCAACTGGGTGAAACGTTGACAACCCGAATTCGCTAGATATTCTCTGCACGGGATGATCCTTTGTTTTCGGGTATTTTAATTGTATTTTCCTTTTTTTCTGGGAGATGGCCTTTTCTAGTTATTTACTTGGAAAATTCTATTTTTGAGGATATCTAGAACTAATTCTGTACTATTTATAAACTTCAGAGAGTGTCTTTTGAGTCAAATCATTATTTGATCTCTTTACCTCCTTGTCAATTCAAAGCTACGGTTTCCTCCTCCATGTGGATTCAATGAACCTTTTGTGGATTCAAGGGAGACTCTTTTTTGATTCTTGTGGATTCAAGAATCATCCCCTTCGTTTCTTATGGATTCAAAGATCCAGTCTCTTTTCTTTGTGGATTCAAAGTTCGATTCCTTTCCATTCATTTGGCATTCCTTGTGTTGTGATGAAAGGAAGGGAACCAATGAACTTAGTCCCTTTAGTGGATGATAAATTTTTTGCATTATTGAAGGTAAGATTTCCAAAGTAGATTTGGCATAATTATACGCAAAAAATATATTAAATTCTATATATTTCTGGGAAAGTGTTTTTCTTCACAAAAATATGCTTAATGAAAATAATTGGCTAATATTTTATTTTTGAAATTAATACGTGATCAAGATCATCAGCTCTCAAATCGAATCGTATAAGAATTATTTTAATTAGTTGATCAGTCATTGTATAGTTTTGGAAAGAAAAGAATGAATGATAATTCCCATAAGGGGTATGTTTCTTCATAATAACTATCACTTTTGGTGACAGATTTGCTGCATTTGACTACATTCTGGAAAAGATGCATTTAACTATGTCTTCGCAAAAATCATGCAAAACTATGCTGTTTCCTTGTCAGATATAGAAACATCGTTTATCCTTTTTTGGATTCATAACATTTTTTTTTCATTGGAAACGAAATCAGGTTAGTTATTAAAGCGATGGCTTCTTTTGGGAAATTATCTAGCATAATTTAGATCATTCTATGTTTCGACATTTGAATATGTGTGTATATGCATCTATTTGCCGGTATGAAATGATCTACGAGATTTTTCACTATTAATGGAGGAGGTGGCTGTTGAGTTCTAGGAAAAAAAGGTGTTACTTAGTACGAAATGCATACACACGTCTTAGCAAGTTATTTAGCATAATAATTCAGGATTATCAAAGATACTGGGCATGCTGTGCAGTTCGATGGATGTGTGGGCTCTTATTTTATTTAGAATTGTGATGCATAATTTTGATGAATTAACGTATTGGGTGAATAAATCAAGTTGAATGAATGGCTACCTTCTCCGAAGCTTCTTCATCTGTCAGGGGTCTTGGGTCTTGCTTATATCCATACGTTGTGCATGGACTGTAGGGACGACCCTGAACTCGATAAAATGCTGAGAGAGAGAACCAGGTGGGGTGATCCGATGGCACATCTGGTCAAGGTATTTCATCTGCTTCGCTGGTCAGACTCTGATCCTCTGCAGGTCTTCCGGACTGACGCTTCGAATTTTCCTTCTTGGGCACAGAAAAAGCAGTCAGAAACTCTTCTGGAAGACCTTGGTGACGACGAGAGGATGAAGGAGTCTGGGTTCATAATTCCGCAGACCATTCCTATCCACAGTTGGCTGAAAAGAGGGGTTGACCCTCCTGCTAATCGTTATGGCATTCGGCCTGGACGCCATTGGGATGGCGTCGACCGTAGTAATGGTTTGTTCTGCTCCCCCACCTCACCGAAAAGCTTTTCATATATCCAAATATATGCCTTGTCTTATTTCCTCTGATTAATAATTAAACCGGTCTCAAATGCTTCATATTTAGTTGTTTGAACGGGATATTACTTTTCTTAGAATTATGATTATTTATTTATTTATTTATTTATTTTCTGGTAGCAGTATTAATGTCTTACACTGCATATTTAAGTATAATATGACTGGCCTTTAAGATCGGCCTATGCTAACATTTCGTCATGATGCCATTAATGGTTTCTCGAGGCTCATAGTGCCTGTCCAAGATTGGGATTCTCAGATCATTTTTGCAAAGTCAACTTTACCTATTCTGGCCGGATCAGGTCAAATACAGCAGGAATCGGTCCCAATACATCTGTTTGATCTGTAGCTTGGCTGAGCCTTGCATGCACGTTCATTCATTATATGGGTGTTCTTTTTGCAGGATTTGAGAAGCAGATGTTCAAACGTCAGAGCGAGAAGCGAGCCACTGAAACCGAGGCTTATCTTTGGTCTGTCTCTGACATGTAAGTGTTGTTGACTTTTGGAGAATGGTGAGTCTCTTTTCAGTCAACGCCTCACAGGCTGATCCCCAGAGGCTGTTAGTGGAGGAAAAAGGGGGGGATCCTGGGGGTACGGAGCGGAGGCTCCGCTTCCTCAACGATGGTTGACGTCGGTCAGTCGCAATGGGTCGTCGGATGCAGGCTTTGTTCTGTTAAAAGCACTCTTTTTTGGGAAACCCGTCTCCTTGTATCAACGTGCTACGTGCTGGATCGGGTCGGCTTAGATTCACAGATTTGGAACCCCCTCCCCCATCTGTGTATGTATGTGGTCCAGCCGCCGGTTGACTTTGAAGAGAGAAATGGTCAAAGTCCGGTTGTTCTTCCGGAATTTACCCGATTCGAAGGAGATCGAAGATTCACGTAGTAACATCGGCGGTGCCTGCCCAAGTTTGTTTTTATGTTTCCTTATCATGAGAAGTTCAGTCAAATCGCAGCCGTGAGGCCATGCAGCATCTGGTAAGATTCATTCGTTGACTTTTAGAGGCAGGCGTCGACCATCCAAAGTCGTCTCCTCCGAGAGCTCGGTAGCTCACGTGGAGGGATGAGGGAGACGTCGCCTCAGTGGGGAAGCACCCGCCGCCGCAGCTCGGCGACGTCCACCTCCGCCGCGCGGCTCCCCGGGCGGTAGTCGCCGGTGACGGGATCCGGCCCCCAAGACGACACCGCCGCCGGCGAAGACTCGCCCCCGGCCCCCGTCCTCTTCTCCTTCTCCGGCGCCGGCGACGGAGCCGCCTCCTCCTCAACGCTCTTGGAAGCCACGGAGGCGCGGTAAGCCCTCCTGAAAGAGAGAGAGAGGGAGAGAGAGAAGATGAAGAGGAGCAAGCCGGAAAACTGAAGAGGAACTCAGGAGTGTACAACCGGCTCACCTAGTGAGGAAGACTCCGGCATGTTCGGTGAATGCTGTCGCCATGCGGGCGGCCTGGCACAGCGACCGAACCATTAGAACCTCGACGGACTCGCAAGGCCCAGCGCCGCCGGTGCAGAAGGAAACGGAAAGGAGGAGAGGCAAAGGCTCTTCCCCCTCCGGCTTTTCCATCTCATCCTTGCGTGGCCTGCCTTTCTTATAGAGAGAGGAGGGATTCCAAGAATCAACGGCAAGGCATTCTCCCTCCGTTTTTTGCTTCCGGACAACCCCTTGTGCCGCCGTCGCCTCTCACATTTCCGGGTAATTCTCACGAGAGACGATCGTTGGCCGGCTGAAGAAACCGATAACGGCGGACTTCCCCACCCTGCACCGTCACCTTCGGGCCGTGGAGGAGCGCGGCGGCCGTCGTTGTCGACGCAGGAGTTGCGTGTGGAGGACCTCTCATTGCGTGCGGCGGCGGACGAGGTGACGGGTGATGGGAGCATTCGGGTGGAACAAGTCAACGTCCGTACGGATGGATCCCCGAAGGTTACCTGCCTCTCACAGGATCCTGGGGGAGGGGTGGGGCTTGATCACATCGGTCGACCGTTCGCATCAGGTAGAGGCAAGGGGCCCGTGCATGATGTTGTTAGTCAGTCCTGTTGGATTGAGCTTTAAATGCTGCAAATTTATCGTGCTTTGGTTAGAGAAAGTTTAGCTTTTATTTATATTAAATAAATATGGGGACGCTTATACCTTAGTCTGAAGTGTAGGCCTGAAGAGTTGACTTTCTTAATTAGAAAGTTGATTAGCTACATACAACCCATTTTGAGTTAACCCATTTTATCAGTAGGTCAATGAACGAATCTTTTGGGCGCTTTTTGTCCAGGAAGTCCAACAAGCTCCTTTGAAGCGGCTCTCTCCAGTTGACTCATTGGAAAACCATTTCAATAGTTAGAGCAAAACATGTAAGGCAAACTTTTTGAATAGGGAGGGTGAACTAGAGATCTTGTCAAAAGATTGAAGAGCAAACCTAATACTTTCTGAAGTTAACCCTAATATTACTGCAAAAGTAGCCATTAAAGAAGCACCTTCTTCACAATAACCATTTCATAACAATAAAAGCATACTGGGGTTGCAATGCTTCATACAGTGAGAATTCCAACCCCTAAACATACTGGGTTCAAGCCCAGATGCTACTTTCACACTCGAGGTACACATTTCATTTCCTCACAAATGATTGATGCAATTGGTTTAGTAATATCTTGGAAGGCCTCTGCATACTAAAATCTTGCAGGGCTCTCGATGCAAGGCTTGGGGGAGTAAAGTAGATCAAATATCGACTAAATAGCTGAAAAATTATAGTGTCCATGTGCAATTGTTTATTCTACAAATAAAATTTTAAGATTCTATGTAAAATAAACAATTCATTCCTCATGCACTTAGGGGAAGTGAATTGTCGCTAGGGATGAGTGGTTCAACAAGGGGAGAGGAAAGGTTTGAGGGGTTGATGGAGGGATCTATGAAGGGGTGAGATGTCATGGGACGAGATGTGCTTGCTTGGTTGAAGTATGAGAGTTCTGACCATCTTAGGATAGGAGAGAAGGCATGTGGGGCCCAATTATTATTAGATAGTGGCAAATGTTGATAGCCACCTACAAGGTTCTAAAATCAAATTGAAAATGATTTTAGAACAAAAATGGTTATAATTGATAATGGGGGAGTGTTTAAGAATTTAATAATTTATGATTTTTTTAATCATAAAGGGATAGATTATTATTTCTTTTGTGCTACAATCCATCAAAATAGTAGCATTATTGAAAGGAGAAATGAGCCTTAGTACAGTATAGTTCTTCTTGTGCTATAACTAGTGTTCCTAAAACTACTTGGCAAAAATACTCTTGGGCTAAAAATTGTATGTTCTATTGTGAATCAATTCTAGGTAAGATCAATTCTCAAGATTTAGTTTTCTTCCTTCAGTTAAATTATAATAAATTAAAAAAATAATAAATTGAGGAACTAATAAATTATTTGAAATTGATTGAGTAAGATATTAAAAAAAAATGTCTTAGAGGGAAGTGTTTCATATTTCGCAATCTATTACTTCAGATATAGATTTTGTTTATAAATAAATATGTCTCGCATTCCTAGATTTTAAAATAGCTAAACTCTTGGGATCTATCTTTAAAGCTCGCAAACTCTTTAATGATTTTTTTCATAGTGCATGGGCATGTGCGCGCTCTGAACTAATTCTATTGTCTTTATTTATTCAGAAAATGTTATGTTATTATTTTTTTACATCTTATTTGAAAAAATCTATTAATTAACAAGACTAGAGGTTTTTGGAAGCTATAGTAGAATCCTTGAACACTCAGATGGAAAATTTTGGAATTAGGGTGGATCTTTGGTAGATTAAACAAGTACATAAACCTTATGTTGTGTTTAGATGATTTTGTCTAGTAAAATTTAATGATCCTGTGAATTTCTTACAACTCACTTGAAGAGCAAGCTATGGCCATCAGCCTGCAGCCTTGCTAGTGTTCCGGAAACGGATCTGGGTTAGATTGCCCACGAAACCAGCAACGTTGACTTCAGAGCCAATTTTCTACTTTTATCTTTGGGTTTTCCAGAGCCCTCGACCGAAAACCCAGGGAACACGATTTCTAGGCCATTGAAATGATCTGAGTCAACGGCTGTACAGAAGCCGACGACCGAACCTGGTTTCTCCAGCCAAGCTCGAGGTCAACGCCAAAAAACGGGCCGAAGCTACCACACACATTCCCCTCGCCCATCAAGCTCCCTCATCATATAGTAGAAGCCCAAGGTCATGACTGTGACTCAACAAGGGCGCTGAAAGCGCTGGTCTACTAAGGAAAACTACTCGCCTTCTACATCAAAAAAATTACTGAAATAGGGAAGAGAAAATCTTACCCCTTCCCTCTCCCTCCTGAAGGAAAAGGAAACCTGTCGACTCCGAGGATTATTCTCTCCAAAGATCAGCAAACTCGTCGGGCTCGAGAGGATTTTCAAGCTCGTGCATCTTCCTCCTTGTCTTCGCTTTGACCTTTGTGGCATACTTCCCGGCCTTCTTCTTCTTCTCCAGAGCCCGGATCTGAGCACCATGGATGATGGATCCAGAGAAAAATAAATTAGCAAAAAAGGGCAAAAAATCCACTCTTCATCTATGCATGTGACCATATTTTTACAAAACTGTGGGATATCAAATTTCCTTCCAAAAAAATGGCAGATCAGACCAAAATTAGCAAAAAAAATAAAATCTAATTTTTATCCCTACGTGAGACTGTATTTTTTACAATTGGTGAGATATTAGATTTCCATCAAGCTAACGGCAGCTGATGGCAGCAAGCTGCTTGTATAGAGAAGATGCTGATGATCCATTACGGGCTGTGACAAATAATTACTGATTTAAACAAGGGGGCAGCACAATGAATTGGATGAAGAATGAAAGATGAGCACACAGTGCTCTACTCTAATGATAGATGCCTTATTACTGCTACTGCAGGTTCTCTCGTAGAAATTTACAGCACATGGAACGGCATTTCTGGGAACCTCAGAGATTATTCAATGCTAACAGCCACATCCATAACGATTCATGGAACATATCAACTGCTATCTTGACTTTTTCCTAGAGTAATCTTCAGTCTAAACCTAAGAACCATCCGAAAATTACCTGGTTAGGCGATATGTAGAATGGATTCTCGTACAGTGTTGGGCCACCAAAACTCCCACCAAATATCTTGATTGGGTTCAGACAGAATCTCGGACCAACCTGCATAAATGATGGAGGACCGTATTGACTCGCAGAGGTTATCAATCGTGTACACTTGAAAACAATTTAAGAACCCACAACATACCTCTACCAGGGTTGTTTCTTCTATTCCACCTTGGTTGACAATCTGAAATTTTGACCATTTGATGTCAAGGACAGAATCAAAAGCGGGAAATAAAACAAGCACCATTATCATCTCCAACTGAAAAAAAGTGTTATTTCTTATAAATGCATAAATGGTCGAAAAATTAGGGGAAACTAGCATTATCATTGAGTTATCACACTGTTTCTTATTGCCTCATGATTCCTGACTGCCATAATATATACTTCCCACGAAAGTCGAAGTGATAGAAGTGCAAAGCGTAAGGGAAAGCAAACCTAATTCCAAAGTCCTAGTTTCATTTTAGCTGCGAAACACAAAAGGCCAAAATAGAGTACACAACATGCATACAGGAAGTCAGGGACAAAAAAAGGGTAAAGAATTCATTAGATAATGTAGGATAAGATTCAACAAAGGTCTTTAATATTTGGTGAAGAGTTAATGTCTGTAGCTAAGCTACGGATCATGCCAATTGTAAAAGAATTGTGCTTCTAAGAGACAATATAGTGATTTGATTATTTCAGAATGCTAAGTTTCCAGGAAGAGATAGAATGGACAGTTTCAAATATTTATTAAATATTAATAAAATTAAAAAAAATACGAATAATGCATCCAAGATCATTTTTATTGGAAAGGTGAAAAAATTGGAAAGGTGCAAAAAAGGTTTTCAATCACGCTTCACCCCTCTCTACCGACATAATGCATCCAAGGTCGTTTTTATTACAAATGATCACATTCAGCCCATGTTCTAGGTGACCCGGACATTATAGGCATCAGGGCCACATGGTTGCCCCAGGCATCACCTAAACAACTACTATGTCACCTACCATTGCATAAAAAGGTCTCCAGTTCCTAGACAATTGAAGTTTAACATTTCAAAGAGCTGAAAGCATCTTAAAAAGACTCGCATATCTTTCTTCTTTGATGGAAAGGCAAGCCGATAATGATGTGAACAGAACCACCAGACAAAATTGTCCAGAACCTGTCAGAAGAGCAATATTTCAAAAGATGCATCGATTTGCATTCATGACTTGGGCAAATTTGATTCACAACCCAACTCTCATCTACAGAGAGCGATGTTAGTCACCACACAAATGGATGCCAACATAGGTAGATGTTGGAAGTTCTAAGGGTATTTTGAGAAATGTTTTATACGGTTTCCTTCCCTTTCCAGGAAAGTGAGAGGACGATGATGGGTGGAGGCGGTTTCCACCGTCCCTCTCCTCTATCCTCCGTGACTGCAGAATTTTCTCCTCCGTCTGTCTATGTTTTCTCAACAGCATATATATATCCCGAGACAGACCTATCACATCTAAAAAGGTGCAACCGAATCATTCTAAAGAATAAGCTGGAAGACGTGTTTTATGTCTAAAAAATTAGTTGCAGTCAAGAATTTTTTTACACTAACAAGAACATGTCAGCTTCTGAGCTCTAGAGTCGTGCTGACTACGGTAACTATTGGCATAGCAATCAAGAAGTCGTAGCGAGTTAGTGTAAGAAACATGGGAGACAACATAGATGCGTGGGACTGATATGACTATCGCTGAAAACACGAATAACAGTTGGAGGCAGCACGGCACAGTATCTATCAGACTACAATTGATTTAGATAATCTGTTAGACCTACCCGATCCACGTTAATGCATGACGTTTATCCAAGAATACAAAACAAGCTAAATTTCAAATAAATAAAAGGAGAATGCAATGATCATCTCTCTACCTGATAATTACGGAACCATATGTGATCGTCAACAATGGCGAAAGCAAACACATGATCGTGGAAAGGCTTAGACTTTCTATGATCCTTTGGGGTCTCAAATATCTGCAAGCAGAAATAGGAATATTAATATCTTCGTATTCATTAGAAAACCTAAATAAAGAACGCAATGTAGCGTTGTAACACAAACTGCCAAAAGGACCCCTTGTCAGAAACAAAGGGCGTACCTGCGTGATCATCTCTTTTAAAAGCATCCAATGAGGATCTTTATTAAAATTTGTTGTGAAAGTTAAGATTGGTCGTGAACCCTTCAAATGATTTCCAGTGAGCTTCAGCTCTTCCATGGTATGCACTGCAGTAAACAGGAGAGCATGTTAGGTCGTAAGATGTCAACATACATTAAGAAAAAGCAACTGGGCGAGTATTTCCCACTAGTAATCCTAATTGCCAGATTAAGACTAATACCAATGAGAATCCATGAATCCTTAATAAAAACAGAGAAAGATTGGATTAATCTTTTGCCATACCAGCATTAACCAAGAATTTGACAGATGGCCCATTGGGACATTTAGCCATCCAAAGATAAAGATCCTTTTGCTTTCTACACTGTTAGACAAAGTCTAAAGTCAGAAAAAGATGTGCACGGATACACATAACTAAATAAAAACCTAAGACCTTCGATTGACAACTACCTCGAAGAACATGCAGTAGGAACAATTGCGAAGCTCAACCAACTCGTTGAGAGTCGCTCCTTTGCTTGATTTGGACTCGACCTTGTTGTCCTTCTTACAGTGCGGCAACAGCGATACTACGTTGAGCATCAGATGCCGGTACCTGAAACCCATTCAAGCAGACAACTGATGAAAAGATTGAGAAGAATTTCACGGGAAACAAGGTAGCTTAATGATTTAACCAGGCGATGAAGGGAGGGCTACCTGGACATGATTCGCCGGGAGCAAGTTATCAACACTTTCTCCTTATTTCTGAAGACCGGAACCCCGCCCCTGGCGCCGGCGGCGCCGCTGCTGCTGTTTTCTTGGACGGGGCCAACTGCCCCGTCCTTCCAGCCCAAGAGCGTCCGCTTGGGCCGCTGCGGCGCGGATACCTCCTCGGGGGTCGCGGCTTCGGCGACCTCTGCCTGCTGACCGAGCTTCCTCTTCTTCCCCATCTCTCACAGGCGGGGGACAGCGGAAACGGAGAGGGCTTTAGGGTTTAAACACGACCCTTTAACCCGATGGAACGCCAATTTTCTTCAAGACCTTCACCGAAAAGATTTTTGCTTTAATGCCCTTCCAAACTCCAACACACGAACGAGAATGATGGCTACCCCAAGGTTAATTTGCGAATATACTCCGGCCGCCGGAGAGGAAGGCACGGCTCCTCGATCTCGCTCCTCGCTGCCCTCTCCCCCACCTCCGCCGCGCCCGCCGGCAGCGCCGAGACCAGCCGCCCCCTGCGCGCCAGCAGGTGCACCATGCACGCGTAATGCTCCACCCCCGGCGTAGTGAAACCATGCTCGGTTGTCGGCTTCTCTGTACGGCCGTTGACTCAATCTTTTCAACGGTCAAGAAATCATGTTCCCTGGGTTCTCTGTCGAGGGCTCTGAAAAATCGCAAGATAAAAGAAGGTCGCCTTCTAACGGGCCGTAGGTCCACTTGAGGCGGCAATACGCTTTGAGCGGCTGGCACATTTCAATAAAAGACCTCTGCTATTTGCGTGCATGCCCTTTTACTCCTTTTTCTATAGGGGGCAACGGCAGTGGAACCAGCTGCAGGTGAGGAGGGCGCGTATCTCCTCGCTCTGTGGGTGGGACCGGTCGCCGGAGAGGAAGGCGTGGGTCCTCCCCCTCACCACCACCCAGCTCATCCCCGGCGCTTTCCTCACCCCCTTCGCCCTCATCTCCTCCCCCACAGCCCCCTCCGCCGCTCTCCGCTCCGCCGCCGCGTACAGCCGACGCAGCCCCACCAGCGCCGCCGCGTTCCTCGGCTCTTCCTCGATCGCCCTCCTCGCCGCCCTCTCTCCCACCGCCGCCGCCGCCGCCGCCGCCGCCCCCTCCACTGCTGCGCACGCGGCGGCGAGCGGCCCCCACAGAGCCGGCGCTCCCGCCGGAAGCGCCGAGACCAGGCACTCCGCCTCCGCCGCCCGCCCAGCTCGCGCCAGCAGGTGCACCATGCACGCGTAGTGCTCCACCCCCGGCGCCGGCATCGACCGGAGGATCTCCCTCCCTCGGTCCACCAGCCCGGCGTGGCTGCACGCCGTCAGCGCCCCCAGGAAGCTCACGCCGGTCGGCGCCATGGGCATGCCGTGGAAGAGCTCGAGCGCCTCGCCGGCGAGCCCGTGGTGCGACAGCCCGACGATCATGGTATTCCAGGAGACCAAGTCGCGGGACGGCATGGCGGAGAAGGCCCGCAGCGCCGCCGTGACGTCCCCGCACTTGGAGTACATTGCCGCCAGAGCGTTGCCCGCCGCCGTGTCCAGCGCCGGCCGCGTGCGCACGGCCAGCGCGTGCAGCTGCTGCCCCATCTCCAGGCAAGCCGCCGAACCGGCGGCGCCCAGCAGCGCGGCGAACGTGTGGTCCAGCGGCGGGACCGCCGCGGCCTTCATCTCCGAGAACACCTTCATGGCCTCGTGCACGAGCTCGTTCTGCACCAGCCCGGAGATCACCGCCGTCCACGCGACGCTGTCTTTCACTTTCATCTGGTCGAACAGTAATCGCGCCGGCGACACCTCGCCGGCGTCGAGGTAGGCGGAGATCATGGTAGTCGCCGTGATCTGGTCGGGGAAGGGTGTCCCGTCGAACCAGCGGCGGGCTTCGTCCAGCTGCCCGGCCTGCGCGTACCCAAAGATCATCGAGTTCCAGCAGATGGTGTCCTCGCCGGAGGAGCTCGCCGGAGGATCTCGCCGGAAGATCCAGCAAGCCCAGTCGACGGCCCCCAGACGGGCGTACATCTGGATCAGGCACCAGCCCAGCCGCCCGTCCCCGCCATTTTCCACCGTCATCCCGTTGACCACCGTCTGAGCGTGGACCTGCCGGCCAAGAGTGGGAAATCTGAGGCCCGTGCAGGCGTAGAGAAGAGCTATCAGCGTTTCGCTATTTGGTTCCACCGGAGATGTCCGCTTCATCTCCAGGAACAGGCGGAGCGCCGCCTCGTGGCGGCCATTCCACGCGAAGCCGCCGATCATGGCGGTCCAGGTGACGACGTTCCTGATCGCTGGAGCCATCTCCCGGAAGAAACGGTGGGCTTCTCCGACGTCCCCCGCGCGGCAATGCCCGGCGATCATGGCCGTCCACGACACCACGTCGGCGGCGCCACTGGCCTGCTCGAATAGCCGCTGCGCCTCCCCCATAAGCGACCGCTCGGCGTAGGCGGCGATCATCCCACTCCATGATGCTCGGTCTCTCTGCGGCATTGCGTCGAATATCCGCCTCGCCTCGGTGAGCTCGCCGTTCCGCGCCAGCCCGGAAACCATCGCATTCCAAGAGACCACATTCCGCTGCGGCATCGTGTCGAAGAGGGCCTTCGCCTCGCGCGTGCGCCCGGCTCGGAGCAGCGCGCAGAGCATGGACGTCCAGGAGACGACGTTCCTGTTGGGCATTCGGTCGAACAGCTGACGGGCATCGTCGAGATGACCGTAGGACGCGTACGCCGAGAGCATGGCGTTCCAGGTGACGACGTTCTTGAAGGGCATGGAGTCGAAGAGGGACCGGGCCTTGTCGAGCTGGCCCCGCCGGGCGTGCTGGGAGAGGAGGGAGGTGTGCCACCGGAGGACGTCGCTGCCGCGGGGGTCCTGCAGCCGGAGGTGTGGGCCATGAAGGGAGGAGGGGAAGCGAGGGAAACGGAGAGAGCGGCCAAATCGCATCAAATGGAAAGATGAGGTGCGCAGGTTGATGCAGAGGAGTTATCCTTGAGTTTGATGGGCCCAATTTTTGAATCCACAAATTGAAAAGTAAGGTGTCTTCAGTCCACAAGAGATAGCTTGAATCTGCAAGTGGCGAGAGAGAGAGAGAGAGAGAGGACCCCCCAAATTACATGATTAATGTAGTCTATGTGAAATCTAGTTTTCTAGCAGTGGAATAACGTTGTATATTCTACTCGTAAACTTATGTCCCTTTAATATCCTTGTACAGAAGTCAACCGACCTTGTTTATAATTGACTCAAAACTAAGTGAGACCATTCCGTAACGTTAAAAAAAAATGTGGGGGGGGGGGGGGGGCAATTCACCCATAGCATAGTTCCTATGACACCAACACTTGTACTATGCATGCAAACCTAATTGGTACAAGGGGTTGACTCCAATGTTCTATCTTGCTCTCTAAGGTTATTTCTGATGTTGCAAGCAAGGGCTGACCTTTTTATTCGAATAGAACTTTTTATCACACGAAGTCACCATATAACTTTGGGAGACCCGTGCTTACCCTATTTCCTTCATATTTTTTGGGCATATTTGACTTTGAAAACAGGCTTTTTTTTTTTTTTTTTTGCTTGAAGCTCATCCAAAAAAATTAACAAAAATAAACGCAAGCAAGATCGAGGGTTTTGTAATCATCCAGAGCGATGTACCAAGATCAACACCTACGAATCTTCTTATACAGATGAGGGCATTGTCAATAAGCTAGAGACTTTCACCTGGTCAACGCTAGGCATCTAGATTTATCCGTAAGAAGCCACCTTTTTTCTGTTCCTAGCCTAGTGTTGATCAGCTTCAGGTATCAACTATCTCACTTATAGAAAACAATAGTAATGCAATTTTGGCATGGCTGAAAAATCCAACAATATCTTCAGGTTGAAACGATACAAATTGGTTGATCAAACAAGTAAAAGACTAAGAAAGCTCCAAGTATGGACGTTGACTTATATATAAAATAGCACTTTTTACCAATAGCCCAGAAATTTCTCCTCACGCTGACCAAAATTCTGATACAATCAACATTCCAACAAGATACAAATCATCGGCATTCTTCAGCACACTGCTTATTCCACCACTTATGACCATCAAAGCAACATAAAGTGCAAAATAAATGATTCCAGAGGAAGCGAATGAGGAAGAAGACCAATTTGAAAGGCTTTCTATACACAGTGTGACACCGTCAATGACAGCAGCAGGGTTCTGAGAAGAGCTGCTTTGACCCCTTTAGAATACAGCATACTCATCATGACTTGACATCTGCATGTATAGGACTATGGCCAGGCCAAAGACGAAAAAGGAGGAGAGCTCCATAGCCAGAGCACCCCAAACAATGACATTGGCATGCTTTAAGATGGCTGGGATTGCAATGCTTCCGACCACCGAAGCCCCGGTCAGGAATTTGGTGATGTCTACCCATCTGGAGTTTAGATGATATTTTCAAATCAAAAATAGAATGGCGCTCATGAGAAGAAGAAGAAGAATGCTGGGAGAGAAAGTCTGCTCCAGCAAAGGTTTCACTGACCTGTTGCCTTCAGTGGAGATGAGAGAGTATGCATCGGAGGCCGAGAAGAACATTAATGGCATTGGCAGAAGAACATACATTATTACTGCATCATCCACAATCTTGATGGTTAGTAAAAACTCAGGTCGTGCTTCTTGAACGACAAGAGATCTGTCTTGTACGGTTTATCTCCTACCTGTCAACATTGGCCACCAGTTTTTATACACAGCACAAGCCTGCCAATTCAGAGGAGAGAGGAGAGTTTTTTGAGGTGAGGGTTATCTCATTTTTGTGTGGCCGGTAGAAGGATAAAGGCGACCAATTTTAGCAAATCAGGAGAGAATAAGATACCAGAACTTGTAGAACGATTCCAGTAGATACCATAATTGCTAAAAGAGCAAGTTTCCCTGTTTCCAGGCAGGCGATCACATGACGAGGAAGGTCAGGCATCCTGTCTGATTAATAACTTATTAGTGGGCCACGGTAGTAAAGATGGGACCTGGGGAATCAATGAACGAACGCTTTTCATGAGGATGGGCTAAAACACAACAGAAAAAGAATATCTCCTAGTCAATAAAATAAAAATTATCACTAGTTTACCAGGAAAAGCAAGAGTCATGCTAAATAAGCACAAAAGAATAGCAAAACAAATCACTACAACTTGGTCCCAACTAAATAACTAAAAATTAAATTACTTGGTAATATTTTGAGCACTTCAATAAAAGAGTAAAATTTAAAAAGCAGAGAGAAAATAAAGTGAAGAATGGGAACCTGGTTCAGCTTCTATTCTTCAAGTAATAATTTAAGATGGTCCTCAAACTGGCCTTTAGTTTAGAAAACGACACATGATACTACAATCATAGAGGCTGTCACTTATTGCAAAGCCAAATTCCTTAAATCGCTTTTTGGGAGGCAAAATCAGGGCAAGTTGGCAAGTGCTCAATCTAACTATGATTCTCCCTTGTTTCAAGAAGTGACTCACACCCCAGCTTGTCCATGTTATTAGTAAAGCCATTCTATTCCAGGAAATGACATATTGTAGAGAATAGCTAACTAGAGAGAGATAATCAAACAGTAATGAATGCAAGGATCTTTAATGTAGTTCAGTTTTCCAGAATCTACTGCCATAATGGAGCTTCGTTATGATAGAGTTTAAGTAATAATATATTTTATGCCTCAAACTTTTAATACAACGCGATTAAGATCACCTGTTTTTCAAGATAAAAAATAGACATCTACCCATAAAAAATTCAGCAAAACATAGCGTAAGCATGCCAATAGCTATAATAGCTGGAAGCCACAGAAGCTCTAAGACAGGTGAGTGAAAACAAACCTTAAAAGAACCCTTCTTATTATCTGTTCATCATACTAAATCCCTCCATTAATCTTATAGCAATTCGAGGAATACGATTAAAATCCAATCAGAAAATGCACTTCCTGATAAATAGCCCAAAACTGCAAACATTATGTACTGATAAAACATCCGCAGTCCACATATTCTGAACAAGTTTTGGGTTCGTTCGTGGGTGAGTGCGAAGCAGAGAAAAGTAATTAGAAATCAAAATAATCTCCAGGTATATGAGAAATTTGAAAATCTAAAGGGACCTACACATGCATTAGTGTCCTGAAAGTTGAAGCGTTCAACCTTAGAGCTTTTCAGTTTCTCCAAAGAAACTGAAAAGCTCAAAAGACTTATTGCCTTCGAGGCTTTGCTGTGATTTCTTGAAAAATTCCAATTCCTAGGATACAAGAACATAAATTGAGCATTTAATTTTAATAATAGGGCACAAGAATTCATATTCTCCATAAGTGTAATATTCTGCACAGAAGTTGGAAGAACAAGTGTGGCGATGGAGCTTTGTGTATCAACGGGTATCACACTTTGTCTATGAAGGATAAATCCCTTTATTTTTTTACCATACCTATCAGCACATTATGATAAAAATAAAAATAAAATAAAATGAATCATTTCAAGAAAAATTCAGTGATCAGCTGCTGCATCCAACTATGTGGTAAAAAAAACTACGCATTCCAAGTTTATTGGATTCAAACTTTGAAAGTTCACATTTTCCCCAAAAGCACGCTATTTTTTGTCATCCTAATAAAAGACATGTATCTCTCTTTTATGGCTTTATTATGCAAGGAAATAAAAGATACATTTCCTCGTTAACTGAAAATACATATAGTTCAGACTATGCATGAAATAAAGATTGCAATTTGGGACGGCTAGATCGCATTAGATAAATATACAGACGATTATAGAATCCTAATAATGAAAATGAACTCATTTTGAATCTTGCAGAAACACAAACAGCAAATTGAATTTACTGTCAGTCTAGAAAACCCGTTCATGTCATAGAAAGAGTATAGGCCTGTAAGCCTATGCTTTTTCATTCTCAACTCTACTAAAACTCTTTCCAGGAATAAGAGTGCTACAAATATATCCCAGTATCTTGGTCCAAAAAATAATCATCTCAGAAAGGTACATCCTACACAAAAGAATAATATCAATCTAATTAGCTTCAGAAAGATATTTCAACATAAAGAAACTTATGTAAAGTATATCCCATCACCCGAGATGGCAGAAGCAATGTGGCGCTTGTATCTGGAACAACACTAACCTATACATGATAGGAAATTCAACCATACCCAATAGGCCCGATAGTTGGCTTTTACGGGAATGTTTGGTCTCTGGATGCTGGACAGGTTGAATTATTGGGATAACGATGATGATATAACCTGAAAAAAAGAGATTTGAAAATAGAGAGACAAGATTGGGACGGAATGAATCTCAGACACTAGATGATTTCCCAAACAGTTTGGAAAGTATACTTTATCTTGAGGAAAGAAAAGACTATCCCGGATACGAAGGCTACCAAAGTTTATTTTCAAAGGAGAAAGGGGAGAGATCTCTTCGCATCTTTCACTCAAAAAGAAGGATGCCGTTTGAAAAAGTTTTCATTCGCTAAAGTTTTCCCTCGAAAAACGAAAGCTCACTTCCCAGGGTGAACTCAAGACATGACAGTGATAAACTGTTCAAGACATTCTAATCACAATTAACGGGTGCATTTAGCAGGAAGAAACCAGTCCACAAGTAAAATCTCATTCTGTGCGTGGTGAAACTGCACGAACCCTGCCAGACCCGTCTAACGTGCACTGCTTGACCGATTCAGAAGCAGGCAGAACCATCATCAGTAACAAACCGCAATGAAGACAATCTTAAGCCAAAGAATAGAAACATAAAGGGAGAAGAAAACAATTCAGAAGAACGCCAGGGCCACACTAAACACCGCGCAACCATCAAAAGGCAACGAAAGGCAGATCAGGAGACCAAAAGAGAAGAGGACGGAGATGGATACACAACAAAGGAGAGCTTAGAATCAAACCTCTTCTTCCGAAATCTCCACCGGAGATCTTCCCCTCCTAGCCGGAATCTAATGATGAGAGCCGGGAGGAGGCTTCTTCCCAACTGCAGATGGGGCGAGGCGGCAGATCCAAAACACCATCACGCCAGTGCCAGCTAGGCGTAACGACCAATCAATCATCTAGTCTTCACTCTCTTAATGGGCCTCTCGAAACCAAAAAATACGCATTACTCTCGAGCCCAATAGCCTATTTCCTTCAGAAATAAACGAGAGAAAGAAAGAGCTTGCTCTGCCGAAGTGGGCTTACTTCTATTGGGCCCGCACAAACCGCTTACTCGTTTGTGGCCCTAATCCCTACTGGGCTTTCCAAGGAGAAACTGCCCAATTCCGGTGCTTGGGCAGAGCCGGTGGCCCAGCCCTTCGCACTGAATACAGTAATGAAAAGGCCCTCTATTAATTGAAAACTTTCCAGGGAGTTAAAAGCAAAAATCAACCGCGCATGGCTTTTACGTGTCGTTTTCCCGCACGTGCAAAAAAATCGGATTTTTCCCTTTTTGAAAAAACAAAAGATTCTCAGCGCATGTCTGCTGTGCGGAGGGAGGGGAGAGCATGACGATGACGTGGCCCATTCCCAGCCGTCCACGGCTGGCCGGTCCTGTCTAAAATGGGGGGGGGGATGACCTCTGGTTTGCAACAGCTTTCCTTCTCCCCCTTACCAAACAGCACTGTCTGCTCTCTCTGTGACTAGACTCCCACTCCGAGAGAGAAAGATGGAGAGAGAGAGAGAGAGAGAGAGAGAGAGAGAGGGAAAAGGAGAGAGAGAGAGAGAGGATGCAAGAGATTTCGTTGTCCTCTTCTCATTGGAGATAGGGATGGAGAGAGAATACAAGAACATGAGGCCATATTGTGCGTCTCCCGCGCCAGAAAGAGTGACAGAAGGAGAGGAAGTGGTCGTCTTTTCTGGCGTCACAGACGGAGAGAGAGAGAGATGCTCTCGTCGCCTGAGTTTCTATGCTCCTTTCCACGTTCTCATGGCTGAATTGCGGTGCTGCTCACGGCTGCCTGTGGCTGTTCTCCACTGAGTCATGGTAGTACATTCTCTCTTGAGAAGATCCGAAGCCTCATGACTGGGCAGAGGACAAATGTCGACATTCGATACGAAGTAAAGAACAGACGGGGGAAGAGAGAGAGAGAGAGAGAGAGAGAGAGAGAAAGAGAGAGAGACAGAGAGAGAGAGAGAGAGAGAGAGAGAGAGAGAAAGAGAGAGAGAGAGAAAGAGAGAGAGACAGAGAGAGAGACAGAGAGGGAGGGGGGGAGAGAGAGAGAGGATGTAGTGTTCGGTGTAACGAAATAGTTGGGAATCTGCAGTGTTAGGCTGCAAATCTTATCGGTTCAAGCGGTCAGAGGGTTCAGACGGATGTAGTCAGCGGGGTGGGTTCTGGAGGAATCGTTCGGGACGGCTCTCACAGTGGGCAACTTTGGATTTCGTAACCAAGGGATCGCTTTCAGGAGGAATCGTTTTCTTTCTGGGCTGTATCCTGCGAGACAGCGAGGTAGCGCTGGTCGTTCTGTGGGCGAGGGGGGAAATGGGGGTTTGGTCTCCAAATCATGTACGAATCTCCCCGGTTCTTCCCTTGTTGCACTTGTGAGCACGGCACTTATGAGAAACTCCCCCGTTCAATCCCATGGCAACTCACTCTGCTCTCTCCTCGGTGAGATATGGAGGAGACTAAGACACAGATAACGATAGATAGATAGATAGAGAGAGAGAGAGAGAGAGAGAGAGAGAGAGAGAGAGAGAGAGAGAGAGAGAGAGAGAGAGAGAGAGAGAGAGAGAGAGAGAAGAAAATGTAGAGAAGAGAGAGACGTACGCGCCGAGTCAAGCGAGAGAGAGAGAGGAGAGAAGAAAATGAATAAAAGCGTCGTTTTCCTGAGGCATGCGTACGCCGCCGCGGAGGACTTGTCCGATCTGGGTGGTGCTCCCCTCATCCCTTGTCTCCCAATCCGTTCCCTGATCACTGCTCGTCGACGCTGGCATTGCTCTTCCTGCCGCTCTTCAACCTCCCTCTCTCTCTCTCTCTCTCGCTGTGGGGGGAATATTTCCCTCTCTTCCTCTGGCAAGACTACACTGTTGAAGTTGCTTCAGCAGACTCCGGGGGGGTGGAAGGAACCATGCTCAGCGCTGTACAACGTAAGATGTTCCCCGCTTACACAGCCCTTTCTTTCCTTTTCTTCTTCTTCCTCCTCCTCCTCTCTTGTGTTGTCCAGAGATCTCTGCGTCATCACGTACAGGTATATTGTTCAGGTCTGAGGTTGCCGGTCTTCCTTCCTCTTACCTGCTCCATCATAGAGGAAAGAACGTCGTTCCTCATTAAGACGCCATCTCCATGAAAAAGCTCGAGCTGCGATAGCTCATAAAGTCCTAAATAATGAAGACGCTCTGTTACAGATCGTCATTCTTCTTCCAAATGGAAGGGACTAGATGCAGAGTAGTTCGGTTCTTAGTGAGATGGAGCCTTTTCTGTTGAGCATAAGAAGCAATAAATAGGACGAAATCTTTGGGAGATTTCGCGACTCATTGCGTGGAATAGACGTCAGGATCCGTCAGCCTTCATGCAAGAACTAATCAACGAAATGTACCCATCAGGAGTTTTTCTTCACCATTTAATCGCAGTTTCTCTCGACCGAAAAAAGGAACGCAGTTTGCTGCTCTTGATTTATTTTAATGTTCTGCAGGATTTCTACCTCGGCGATGGCGGGGGTTGCCACAAGAAGCTACCCTTTTCTTTTGGGAGGATCAACTCGCCATACTGCTCCAGCTAGCATTCCTAGCCAGCTTGCTGGTAGAACTCCTGTCGAAAAAGATCAGCATAAGAAGATCTGCGGCGCAGTCTTCAACAAAGAATTACTATCCTGGAAGCGTCAAGGTGGCCCTGTCATACAGATGCACCCTGCTTTCTTGCTCGGCTCTGCTGGGAACTCATCTGCTGGGCCTTCTACTTCTGCTACTGGGAAAGGAAGGGAAACCCAAGTCTCCGCTCACTGTTCTTCTCTCTGAGACGACGCTGCTGCTGTCATGGCTGCTGGCAATCCTCACAGTGGTAAATTTTCAGAAGACGAAGACGCTGCGGCTTCCCTGGACGTTAAGGATATGGTGGGTTTGCGGCTTCCTTCAATCAGTCACCACCGTCATTGTCCATCTTCATTCCATCATTTCAAGAAGAAGATATCCTGAAGTGCGGGAGTTCGTCGGTCTGTTGAGCTTTCTTCCGGCCTCGTATCTCTTCTGTGTTTCCATCAGAGGAAGCACGGGCATTAGTTTCTTCACTGGAACAATATCAGAGCCCCTCTTGCAGAGAGAGAGAGAGAAGGATGACGAAGACGATAACATGCGATCTCTTTATGCAACGGCGACCTTCATCCAGCTGGTGACCTTCTCCTGGTTCAACCCGCTGTTTATAAGAGGAAACAGGAAGCCATTAGAACGGGGTGAAGTTCCAGATGTTGACAAGACGGACTCTGCTGAGTTTCTCTCTCAGTCATTCGACGATTCTCTGAGGAGGGTGAAGCAAGCCCACGAACTGCAGACCTCGAGCGTCTACAGTGCAGTGTTTCTGTTCATCAGGAAGAAGGCGTTGATAAATGCAGCTTTCGCCGTGTTGACTGCCTGTGCTTCCTACGTGGGTCCCTACCTGATCGACGACCTCATAAAGTTCCTCGGTGAGAAGAGGAGTCAAAGCCTGAGAAGTGGATACATTCTATCAGTCGGGTTTCTCAGCGCCAAAATCGTGGAGACAGTCGCTCAGAGGCAGTGGATATTTGGAGCTCGGCAGCTTGGGATGCGCCTGAGGGCAGCGTTGACCTCCCAAATATACAAGAAGGGCCTTCTGCTGTCGAGCCTGTCTCAACAGAACCACACGAGCGGGGAGATCATCAATTACATGAGCGTTGACGTGGAGAGGATCACGGATTTCATCTGGTACCTGAACATAATCTGGATGCTTCCCGTACAGATCTCGCTGGCGACTTACATTCTCCATATCAATCTTGGCCTCGGTTCTCTAGTAGCTCTAGCAGCGACTGGCATGGTAATGGCGTGCAACTTTCCCGTGATCAAGCTCGTGAAAGGATTTCAATCGAGAATCATGGAAGCTAAAGACCATCGCATGAGAGCGACCTCAGAGGTTCTAAGAAACATGAAGACCTTGAAGCTTCATGCCTGGGACACACAGTACCTCCGCAAACTAGAAGGTTTGAGGGAAACAGAGCGCCACTGGCTGTGGAAGTCCTTGAGGTTGCAGGCGATCTCCGCCTTCATTTTCTGGGGGTCGCCTACATTCATATCGGCAGTGACCTTCGGAACCTGCATTCTGATGGACATTCCCCTCACCGCGGGCAGAGTTCTGTCCGCGTTGGCAACGTTCAGAATGTTGCAGGATCCGATCTTCAATCTCCCGGATTTGCTCCAAGTGATCGCACAAGCGAAAGTCTCGGCAGATAGGGTAGCCTCCTACCTGCAAGAAGATGAGATCAAGAAAGATTCAGTGGAGATCGTTCCAAGAAATGAAGGGGGGGACATTAGTGTACAGATTGACGGCGGGAGATTCAGCTGGGACCATGAAAGCAGCTCTGCAACCCTAGAGGACATACACTTAACTGTTAAGAGGGGGATGAAGGTCGCTATTTGTGGAACGGTCGGCTCGGGTAAGTCCAGTTTGCTCTCCTGCGTGCTCGGGGAGATACCCAAATTAGCAGGGAGAGTGAAGGTCAGCGGGAGCAAAGCGTACGTCCCTCAGAGCCCATGGATACTCACAGGGAACGTCAGAGAGAACATTCTCTTTGGTCAGCCATTCGAGGGCGACAGATACGAGAGAGTAATCCAAGCCTGCGCTCTGGCGAAGGACTTTGAGCTCTTCGCCAGCGGCGACCTTACAGAGATTGGAGAGAGAGGCATCAACGTGAGCGGAGGCCAAAAGCAGAGAATACAGATCGCCCGAGCCGTCTACCAGGACAGCGACATTTACCTTCTGGATGATCCCTTCAGCGCTGTGGATGCCCACACTGGAAGTCAGCTGTTTAAGGTCTATCACAGCCATGATTATCAATCACCCCCTTCAGAAAAAAATAGCATTTTTTAAATTTTAGATTGACGATTTCGTAAGATTTCCTAGGGTGTCCACATCCATTTTCATTTTTTTTGTTACTGAAACAGGCCACCCTCCTTTTGTGGAATGCAGGACTGTTTGATGGGGATTCTCAAGGACAAGACCATACTGTACGTAACCCACCAAGTCGAGTTTCTTCCAGCGGCTGACCTGATTCTGGTAAGAAAGATTCAGCCTGATCTTCTTGGCGTAGAATCATCCACTCAGAAGGAGTTCATCTGATTTATCTACATGCTGGTGGAAAACATTAGATAACATGGAAAAAAATCCGAAACAGGTGATGAAAAATGGAAGGATCTCGCAAGCGGGAAGGTTTGAAGAGCTGTTACAAGAAAACGTGGGGTTCGAGGTGCTTGTAGGAGCTCATAGTCAAGCACTGGGATCAGTCCTTGCCGTTGGAAATTCACCTCAGATAGAAGAAACCCATGAAAGAGGAAGAACGGCGCCATCAGGTAGTGGGGAGGAGGATGAAGAGCATCCAGCGAGAATCCAACTGCAGAACGGGGATTCTGTTGATCGGAAACAGTCCAAAGAAAAACTCTGCGTAGATAATTTAGAGAGAGGGAGGATCGGGCAAGATGAAGAGAGAGAAACGGGAAGTATCGACAAAGAAGTTTACTGGACATACTTGACCGCAGTTAGAGGTGGAATCTTTGTCCCAATGATTATCACAGCCCAGTGTCTCTTCCAAGCATTGCAGGTTGCAGGCAACTACTGGATAGCATGGGCCTCTCCCTCCACGGAAGGGATCAAACCAGCGGTAGATATAGCCGTACTCTTTGTAGTATATGTGCTTCTTTCAGTCGTTAGTTCACTCTTTGTGCTGGTTAGAGCAATGTTGATAGCCATAGCTGGCCTTCAAACGTCGGAGAAATTCTTCGCAAATATGCTGCACAGTATCATGCGCGCCCCAATGCTGTTCCTTGATTCGACACCAACGGGAAGGATCCTGAACAGGGTGGGTAACCTAATTCCGGATATTTAGAAGTGAGTTCGCTTTCAAGATTTCCACGGCTCTGCACTAACTTTTTCTGCAAAAACTGTAACAGGCCTCCACAGATCAAAGTGTTCTCGACATGGAAATCGCAATAAGGATCGGGTGGTGTGCTTTATCCGTGATACAGATTCTGGCTACCATTGGCGTGATGTCTCAGGTGGCATGGCCAGTGTTCGCCATATTTGTACCTGTGACAGCGATCTGCATATGGTATCAAGTAAGAATTTCTCCAACTTGTACGCTGGCAGATCCAATATCTGAGAATGGTTTCTAATTTTTTTTACCTCCGACTGCTTTTTTTGCCGACGCAGCGATACTACACGCCGACTGCAAGAGAACTCGCCCGCTTGTCGGGAATTCAGAGGTCTCCGATCCTTCACCATTTCGCAGAGTCACTCGCAGGAGCCGCAGTCATCAGAGCTTTTGAACACGGCGACCGGTTCACCGATAAGAACATGTCTTTGATCGACGATTACTCGAGACCGTGGTTCCATAACATCTCCGCCATGGAGTGGCTTTCCTTCAGGTTGAACCTGTTGTCGCACTTCGTGTTCGCCTTCTCCCTGGTTCTCCTCGTGAGCCTCCCCGACGGAGTTATCCGCCCAAGTAAGAGAGCTCTCGGCTCCTTCTTGACCTAATTATAACTTTTGATTCTGATATCTCAAGCGACGCCGCCGTATTGCAGGCATTGCGGGACTGGCTGTGACGTACGGGCTTAATCTCAACGTGCAGCAGGCTTCGATCATCTGGAACCTGTGCAATGCAGAGAACAAGATGATCTCAGTGGAGAGGATACTCCAGTATTCGAGGATAGAGAGCGAAGGGCCCTTGCATGTCGAAGGCTGCAGACCGCCCACCAGTTGGCCCGAGATGGGGACCATCTGCTTGAAGGATCTGCAGGTAGGCCGGCCCTCAAAATTCTGCAAACTGTAGACGGAAATTGAGCCAACTTTCAACTCAGTCCTTTTGAACAAGAATGAGAGATCGATGAAGACCCCGATCTTCTGTAACTTCATCTTTCCTCACAGCGATACTTGCTTGTTTCCCACAGGTTCGGTATGCAGAACGCCTGCCATCCGTTCTGAAGAGCATTACCTGCACGTTCCCAGGGAAGAAGAAGATTGGTGTTGTGGGGCGAACTGGCAGTGGGAAGTCAACTCTCATACAAGCTATCTTCCGAATCGTGGAGCCGAGGGCAGGAAGCATCGTGATCGACGGCATAGACATCTGCAAGATCGGCCTTCATGATCTAAGATCCAGGCTCAGCATCATCCCCCAGGATCCAACGATGTTCGAAGGGACAGTGAGGTGCAACCTTGACCCGCTGGAGGAGTACTCGGATCTCCAGGTGTGGGAGGTATGTTGGCGACTTTGATTTGAATCCTTTTTTCTCTTCAATACTATGAATCCCTAGTGACAAGAATCATGCGGCGTCGCTATCAAACCTTCGTTGATATTGCTTTTTACTTAAGAATATTCACACGATGAAAACTCTGAACTCGGTGGATGTGGATTCTCAAATTCTGAAGAGCTCCGTCTTCACCTTCGCGACCATGAATCCTCAGATGTGATGATGATGCAGGCGGTGGAAAAATGCCAGCTCGGAGATCTGGTGCGCGACAAGGGCAAGAAGTTGGAGGCAACAGGTAGGTCGAATCGCATGAGAATGCACTTTCCTTGATCTTCCTATCAAATCGGCGTCGGAATTTAGATGTTGTTCATAAATAAGAAAACGCGGGCTCTCACAGTGGTTGAAAACGGGGAGAACTGGAGCGTCGGACAGAGGCAGCTGTTCTGCCTGGGAAGAGCCCTGCTGAAGAAGAGGACCATTCTCGTGCTCGATGAAGCAACCGCGTCAGTCGACTCCGCAACTGATAGCGCCATGCAGAAGATTATTCGCCAAGAGTTCATCGACAGCACAGTCATCACCATAGCTCATCGTATACATACAGTCATAGACAGCGACCTCGTTCTAGTTCTCAGTGAAGGTAAGCGGCTCCAGGCGAAAGCACCAAGCAGAGAATCGCATCAATGGCTGAACTGACCATTTTCTCCTCATTCTGCGGCAGGGAAAGTTCATGAATACGATACTCCGGCTAGGCTATTAGAACGGCCAGACTCGGAGTTCTCCAGGCTGGTCAGGGAGTACTCTTTGAGGTCCCATAGCTTCAACAACCTGGCGAACGTACCCGGTGATGCCTAGGGCGAGCTCCCCACCGCCATCGATCAGAAACCATGCAGTCAGATTCTACAAGATGAACTAAGGCTTGGCGAGGCAGTTTAGATCGTGGAGATGGGAGAGAGGAGAGAGGAGGAAAAGGGTAATCGGTATGTCATCACATACTGGGATGGATCAAAAGACTGCAATGTATACATATGGATAATTTAGAGCAGGATGTTGTAAGAGTTTATTTTTCTCGTAGATGAAACACCTTTTAATAAGCCCAGTACGCTGGTTGCTGCTAAAGTTTAGGAGCAATGTCCTGGGTCTCGAGCGGCCCTGGCACTAGAGAAAAAAACATAACAAAATCGAGACCGGGATCGAGAGGCACGATCCAAGTGGAAACAATGTGAGTGGGAAGGGGAAAGTATTTACGGCCAACCTGTTCCCATGAAAACCTCCATAAATAGGAATAATATTTTAACAAGGACGAAATTTAGTAGAAAATCGCTAGAAAAAGCAATTCCTTAGTTATAAATTTAAAAATTAATATGCATGTGTTCGGAATATTTTGTTTTTATTTTTCACTATTTGAGAGCCAAATGATACTTTTTAGCCAATGGATTCATTAGAAAAATTCTCTAAGTTGTATCTAAGTAGCCAATATTATTAATATGATTCAAATCTGAATACTATTAAATTTATGTTTATTTTCTAGATATTATCAAAATAATTATCCCACTTTAGCTTAAGCTATTTTCATATTCTCATATTTCAGTTATTATGTTTTTATCCCATAGAGATTTAAATATTAAATTATATTTAGTTTTCATAAAAAATAATTTTAATAAAATGAAATATAAAGGACATCGCCAAAATGCTTTATTTTTTGATTGCTTAACATCAACATATATATATAGTTAGATATATAAAATACTAAATATCATTTTGAAAAATAAATTACTGAAATTAAATATGTATTTCACATATATTTCTTCTTACTTTAATTTTTTGAGTCCTTAAAAAATAATTAGAAGAGAGAATAATAATTCATAATAAACTACTAATAATTTACATTAAAATTAAAAAAATTGATTGCATGTCTATACTTTAACATTATGTAATAATTTATAAAAATGGAACTTTCAAACTACGACTTTTTAATACGACCAGATTCCAATTGGTAAATTTTTAAATACCATAATGTTTTGGTATTTTATTATTTATACGACTTGATGGTAGGAGCTTTCTCATGTTTATAAAAAAATAAAATAAAAAAACTACTAAATATATTTTAAAACTAATTTATGCGTTTTATTATTTATATGATTATCATTTACTCGATTCAAAAGATGCTAAGTACTCCTCTCGTTTTATTTATGATTTTAATTATTATTCAAAATCATAAAATGTCTTTAATAAATATTTTAAAATTTTATGACTATTAAAAAATATATTTCATATATTTTAAAATGTGGATTTAATATTTAGTTAGTGTAATTTACAAAACTAAGTGGTGTGCTGAAGTTTGGATAATATAATTTTCAAATATAGAAATTATTTTGTTTGATAGAGGCAAAACACTTTCAAGGAACACTTAAAGGACTATATTTTACCATTAATATAATAACTTGCTTTATTATTGCATTAAGTATTTAACTTACAAGGAGTTTTGAAGTTTAAAAAATGTATGCACTGATGAAAAGGCCACTTTACATAGGGGAAGTGCATTCTTTATCAAAATGAATATTTCAAAAAAAATTGTTGTGGAATAGTCAGCACACCAATATTAAAATGTTAACATATAAAGAGTTGCATCAATCAATGGTGTTGTACATTAGGGTCAATATATGAGCACATGAAAATGAGGTTGTCAAAGCCAAGTATCAAACTTGAGAACAATATGAAAGCAAGATGAACATGGTATTTTGAGCTTATGTTATGAGGCAACATATCGATTTTAATATATTTATTTTACACTAAAATATATTAAAAGTAATAGCATATGTCATGCTTCAATTTCAATACATGGAAAGTAAGTCAAAGCCTTGCATAACTATGGGCAAAATGACATAGTAGTTCAACCATAATATTTAAGTATGGCAAGCTTAATATCTCAAATATAAAAAACTATGGTTCAATCAACAAAGCATAAGCTTAATATAGTCATGTATAAAAATAAATAAATAAATCAATCTAATTATGTCAGCTGTAAAAAAAAGCTCAGATATAGAGGAATAGAAGAGTGAGTAGTAGGCAAACAGAAAAAGGGATAAACCTAGAATATAAATATTTTAAAATCATTTGGAATGTCACAAATAATAAGTATGCATCAAAGTTGAATCTCTATTAGTTAACTTTGAAAGTGTTGAAGTTGTAAGAAGAATTTCCAACTTCAAGCAAATGCACTGACGTGACTCAGTCGTTGTATATTAAATCACGCAAATTTAAAATTTATAAAACTAGAAAATATAAATTTTCGGATATTTAGAAGTATTTCAAAATAAATATATCAATTATAATTCAATACAAATCCCAAAAATAGTGGTAATTTTCCAGGTCGATCACAAGGATGTAATATAATATCTGGTAATTATTCAGAATTTTTCTCAATGAGTACGATTTTCTTACGAATTTTATACTAGGAAATAAAAAGGAAATATATTTAAAATTCACAAAAAAAAGGAAATAAGGGTGCGGACGTCAGGATGATGTCAGCGCCCGGCGAACGCGAATCAGGCGGAAACAGAGTTCTGCCCGGCGATTCTTACGTAGGCGATTACAGACGACTCAATTAATCAAATTAAGATCTGTAAAAGCCGGAAGAATCGTAATTGAACGAAGTATAGTTTGGTAAATAAAAATCAACAAAGTATCACTAAATGAAGTGTAAATTAAATTGAAAGTAGGAAAACAGAGTTCCGGCGTCGCGACGGCGATGCGTCGGCGATGCACCGGAATCCTGAGCGTTCGGGAGGATCGTCGTGCAGTGTCCACGGCCTCGAAGGCTCTCCTTGGACAAAGACGACTTGGGCAATCTCTAGATAAAGCAGGAAAATAGAGTTCCGGCGTCGCGACGGCGACGCGTCGGCGATGCACCGGAATCCTGAGCGTTCGGGAGGGTCGTCGTGCAGTGTCCACGGCCTCGAAGGCTCTCCTTGGACAAAGACGACGTGGGCAATCTCTAGATAAAGCAGGAAAACAGAGTTCCGGCGTCGCGACGGCGACGCGTCGGCGATGCACCGGAATCCTGAGCGTTCGGGAGGGTCGTCGTGCAGTGTCCACGGCCTCGAAGGCTCTCCTTGGACAAAGACGACGTGGGCAATCTCTAGATCTTCTCGCGAAGTCTAGAGACCAATGAAGTGGGTCGTCGAATCGTCTCCGGCGGCTGTCACCCGGCGGAGCGGAAAAACGGCGACTTTGCGGCTCTCCGGCGGCTGTCACCCGGCGGAGAGGGGCTGGATGGAGGTGAGGCGCGTGTTAGGGAGCTTCATCCTCAGGTCCGCGCAGCAAGAGGAGGCTCTTCATCGCATCTGGTACGCTCTCAGGAGGTGGCGACTGGTCTCCCGGCGGATCGTCCTCTTCCCGACGACGGCTTGTTCGTCGATCAATCGGAGATGATTTACTCGATGGATTGCGATCCTTTTATCGCGAATCGTTCAGAAATTTTAGTAGCAATGCTCCGCGAATCGCGTTGACGAGATTTTCGCTGATGATCCAGCGATTCCGGTTGCTTAATCCTTCACCGGCGATCTGCAGGAAAGTCGCGATAATCAGTTAAAAATATATGAATTTTGACTCTGGGAGGATTCGAACCCGCGGCGGTCGCCCGCCCCTGAACAAGGTGGATTTAGTCCCACATCGGTTGTGCGCGGATTATTCGGGCGATTATATAGTAAAGTTAGCTTTCTAAGCAAAGTCCTCTCGCGTGTACGACCACTCCTTGCCCCACAGCCGGCTGACCACCGGTGACGTGGAAGGGGAGTGGCGCACACGTGCCCCTATCGATCTAAGCAAGCCGCTCGAGCCCCTACTCGCGGCTACTCCCCGACTGCGCTTCCGACCCGCTTGCGGGCCCGGCTGGCCGGCGGATCCCCTCATTTTGCAATATTTTTATTTTTATTTCTTGTTCTTCGTTTTATCTCAAAACTAAGACTGTAAAAATCGTATAAAATCACATAATTACCCAAAAAATCACGTTAATCAACTGAAAACCACTTTTCATGCTTTAACACAAATATAAGTCTATTTATCATGAGTTAAGGCTAAAAATATATTATTTACTAATTATTAACTCATGATAATGAAGACTTATCATGCACCATTATATTCAAATTTTTAATTTAGTTATGCTTGAAATTATTGACATCATAGTGGTAGAAGTTTATCATTATCACAAAGTGCTTCTGCATACTAGTTGCTATACTTTCATACACTAGAATTAGAATAGTAGGGTTTGGTTGCTTGAATTTTTAAATGTAGAAGCAAATGCAGAGGCATTTGGGTTGCTATAGTTGTAAATCTAGTGCAGGAGATTCAACATGATGTAATCAATTGCTATATATGTAGATAGTAAAACTTAGAAAAGATACAACTGAAGACTGAACAGATTGAGAGAATTGAAACATTAAAAATTGTAATCCAATAATCATTTATAGTGAGTTGAGCATCCAAATTTTTTAGTGTTCCTTATCATTTGCCTTAGAATTATTTCTATCTACATCATTGAAAAAAAACTCAATCCAATTTCTCCTCTTCATTTTTTAGCAACCTCATTGAACCAAAGAATTAATCATTATATTAAAGTATTATGAGAAAATTGAAATTTAAAATTTTAAACTACCATTGGAAATATCATGCTATTTTTTCTAATATAAAAAAATAGTGAAAACATCACTTCAAATTTTAATTTATCTTAATTAAATTAATACATTAATTTTTTATGGAATAACTACTGCAATTTCAGTTTCATAGAGAATTATAAACATGGTTTCTACAAAATTGAAAGAATAAACATGATTTGCTATAGTAATTTGGATAGA